ATGAAAATATTGTCCAAGATGACGAAAAAAAAATTCTGATAAAGTTTGAGCTCTTAATATCAATATTAATATCAATATTAAGAGGTGGCGTTGTAATTTTATTGCGATTTAACGAATTAGTGTGTTGTAAAAATCAATACATATTCTTGTAGGGAATTGAACGATCTACAAAAAAGATCTGATATGATTTTTTGCATAGTCGACTCTTTTAAAAGATATTTGAGGTTAAAGTTCAACTTCAAATAGTAAATGATGACTTTTATAGTTTTTCACTAAATATTGTCTCAAAAACATGAGAATATCAATAATCGTTGAAAAAACGGTTTTTTCCTATATTTAATTTTTTTTAATTCGAAATTTTTTCTTTACCTGAGTAATGACAAAAAAATTAATCATTTCCTTAAAAAATAATAAATATTCTATTTACACTTGACTATTAGGTAATGTATAGTAATAAAAGCCATGTTTCAATAATTTTCCAATTAAAATAAAAAATTTTATTCCAACGTGACCTTTTTCACTATTTTGGAATCAAACTAAATTTTTCTTGTTACAATTGGGATATTTTTGCTGATGGTTTTTAACTACTCGCTATAAGTATCAAATATACATATACATATTTAATATATTTGATTTACCCATTGACTTTATCAATAAGAATGTAGAATTTTGGACACAGGATGAAAGCTATCAAGATAATCTAGTATTTTTCAAACGTCTTAGCGTTCTCAATGATGTAGCAGAAAGAGGAGTTGCATTAATAGAAGAGTACAACAAATGTTTGATTCTAAGATAGTGAAAAAAGTACAAGTTATGGAATAACATTTTTTATTTTAGTTGATAAATTATTGAAACATGGCTTTTATTACCTAATAGTAAAGTGTAAATAGAATATTTATTATTTTTTGAGAAAATGATTAATTTTTTTGTCATTACTTATGTAAAGAAAAAAATTCGATTTTTTTTTTTAAATCAAGTAGACTTATACTTATACTTATACTTATAGAATTTTTTTTTATTGATATTGATTATTGATATTTCGTAGAAATTGTATTGTTTTACCAAAGAACACTCGATAAACTTCACGAAAAATATGATATTTCATGTTTTTGAGCCAATATTTCGTAATAGAGCATGGAAAACTATAAAAGTCATCATTTACTATTTGAGGTTAAACTTTAACCTCAAATATCTTTTAAAAGAGTCGACTAAGCAAAAAATCATATCAGATCTTTTTTGTAGATCGTTCAATTCCCTACAAGAATATGTATTGATTTTTACAACACACTAATTCGTTAAATCGCAATAAAATTACAAACAAAAAAATGTTTTTTTCCCGTGTTATTTAAATGGAAAATAAAAAATCGCGATGAGCCACCTCTTAATATTAATATTAAGAGCTCAAACTTTAGGAGAATTTTTTTTTCGTCATCTTGGACGATATTTTCATGGTACCTAAAGAAAAAAAATTAAAAGTTTTTTTTTGGCCCACCCTAATATATATAATGTATACATCAAGTGTACACTTGATTTACTTTTTATTTTTAAGTAATGGTTGTTATATTAACCTATTTTTATTAATATTATGGAAAATTTGTACACGTGTGGTAAATCCCCGACATACAGCCGCCTGACGCCTCTCTACCAATGGGATCACCCATTTTTTATAACAGAAAAAAGGATTACTGATGAATTCTCAAGATAATTCATTGCTTACAAGTTGACAGCCAGTAAAACATTGCATTGATCTAAAACTTTTACGTTTTAAGGAACCATTTTGCTTAAGCCAGCCATTCTGTAAGGTATAATAATTATAATTAAACAATTATATGATTTTTCGTTTCGGGTGTTACAGTGGCAAAGTAAGAAGAAAACACACTTATAACGTGAAAATTATCAATTTTTTCGGTACTGTGACGCAATCCACCAATACTACGATAAATAACCTCAAATCACAACGTGGAAAAACGGTTGACAGATTGACAGTTTCTTTTTCGTATTTCCAATTGTTAAACTTTAACAGTTAAAGGCACAATGGTCATTCAGCCAGTTCACTTGAGCACAGATTTTAAAGACTTAAAAATTACGCGTTTCTTCTAGTTTGTTGTTGTTGTACATTATAATTTGGAATGTTTTCTTTCAACATTCATCAGATTTGATGCGAAAACAACATATTTATTTTTTTACCCTTGGTATCGTTTGTAATGGAATGGCAAACGATATTTTTGATATTTTTTACTGAAGAGACCAATGCCTATAAAACAACAAACCTTGGTAGGTATATATATATAACCATATATGGTTACCACGTAATTTCTCATTGACAAACATATTAAAAAATTAAAAGTTATACAAACAGTGGGTATTTGCTAATTTTGACAAAACTCAACAAAGCTGTAGGATGTAAACTAGATAAAGCATTAGCATAAATTTATTCTATGAAATATATTTATATATCTATTTGATTATGTTAGTTTTATAGCCTAATTTGCCCTGGGTTTTCTCAGATAATTTGTTAAAAAAATGGTAAAGAATTGGCAAGAAATCTTTTAAACAATGTTTTAAGATTCCAAAAATTCCACCATCATATTCGCAAACCTATAGGTTTATAATAACAAAAAAGTTATAGGCTACTTTTGATTGACGCGCATTTCTCAAATTTTCTCGAAAACTATTCACTTTAGCTATGTGACATGGTATAGTATTTTTACTCAGAATTTTATGTAGAATATAAAAATTTTAAAATATATGGGGTGTTCTATTTGAAATAACAAACTTGATGTCACTTCCGGTTAAACCGGAAATGTAATTTTGGACCATGAATGTGAAACACCCTGTATATGCAACGAAAATGTACTTCAACATGAAAATGCAGTTAATCTTCCTCTTCCTCTTAAAAGTGAAGACCTTCTTCAACAAAAACCACTTCATGACACTTACTTGCAGATTGCACAGTGGATAAACTTAAATTTTAGTTGGAAACAAAGTCTTTATCTATAGTGTTGCTAAGAAAGTTTTCCTTCAAAATCAAATAGAATATTTTTCAGGCAGCTTAAGTGGTGCTGACCTTCCCAAGCAGCAATAACTACAAATTTACTACTAAGTCAACTTTAAAGTAGTTTTTACAGTTACCTAACCAAAACGGTTTTATAAAGGTATAGATACGAAAAATCACCAAATTTTGGAAATGATTTGTTTTGTTATTTTACCTACATAATAATAATTTGTTTGACACCCCTTTGTTTTTGCCTAAAAGCCTAAAATGGCGAAATTTTGATTTATTGTCCTAAAAGGACATTTTTTTGTGCCTAAAATAGGCATTTTCAGTAAAAAAGATATTTTTCATTGCGGAAAAGTAAATTATTTTTTTCATGCTCTTATTTCGCTTAGGCGCCCTTGGCGAGTACGAGGACCAAAAATTACAAAACTAGTGAAAACCTAATTTTGAAACAATTCAATAGCATAAAATGCGGCTGAGATATAAATATAAAAAAAATTAAAGTTTACGTGTATTTTAAATGGGAAATCTTTATATATACCTACGCTTTGGTAGAGTACTTTGAGTTAATATTAAGGGCTCAAATTTTCAGGGATTTTTTTTTTGAACATTTTCAACAAGATTTTAAGTTTGGAGCGAAAAAATAAAAATAGTCGTGAAAAAAAGCACAAATATACATATATACGAAGTGCGTTCAGAAAATAACGGGAATTGTTAAATTTCGCGGGTTCGGAGGGTCCGATTGTCATAAAATTTTCTTTGTTATGTTGGTATACATGCCCGAAGTATGATAAAAACTTTAGCTGTTTTCATTGTTTACTTTGTCTGTTGCAGCCGCTAGGGTTAGACGTGTTTTATGACCTCGGCGATTTTTCGTTCGTTAAAAGAAATGAATCAAAGAATTTGTATCCAATTTTGCTTAAAAATGAAATAAATTCTGTGAAATGTTAACAAAGGCCTATAGTGAGTCTGCTATAAGTAAAACAAGAGTTTACAAGTGGTATAAGAGTTTCCAAGATGGCCGTGAAGACGTTGAAGATGACGAACGCCCCGAACGCACAAGCACATTAACATCCGATAAAAACATGAAAAAAGTGGAAGTAATAGTTATAAACCATCAGAGAAGTCGCTGATGTTGGTATATCGATTGGCTCATCCCATGAAATTTTCTCGAATGTTTTGGGTATGAAACGCGTGGCAGCAAAATTTGTTCTAAAATTGTTCAATTTTGAACAACATTTTTGGCCAAAAACAATACTGTAATGATGCCCCAGCCTCCATATTCGCCAGACATGCCTCCGTCTGACTTTTTCTTATTCCCAAAAATAAAGAGAACCTTAAAGGGCCGTCGTTTTGCAAGCATAGATGACATTAAAAGCGCATCGCTGAAAGAACTAAAGGCTATCCCACAGATCGAGTTTTAGAAGTGTTTCGAGTATTGGAAGAAGAGCTGGCACATGTGCATAATATCCAATGGGGACTATTTTGAAGGCGACAACATTAATGTAGAGGAATTAATAAATATTTGTTTCAAAAAACGAAAATTCACGATATTTTCTGAACACACCTCGTATATATATATATATATAATTAATTCCCTTTTACCACTTGGTGGTGTAGGTTTCAATTTTTAAGGGCCTAAAATCTGGTCTTTGGTAATAACTGTCCAGAGTGTTTATAATATATTAATTTTTTGTTTAAGACATTGATTAATAAAGCAACAATTTTCATCAAATACTTTTCTTCATGGGTCCTTTTTGAAAATTACAAGAATTATGGTTGAATTATTGATATTAAACTTACAAAATGTCTGTAATTTCTGATTCTAGAACAAAAAAACTACAGACAAATTTTTATTATGTTTAATTTTAAAATTTGTATCACTGTAGTCTGATTCACGTTAATATTGTTTAATGACAGAAGAAATCTCATGGTCCGGTACCATGGCGTGTATGTCGTTACAGCAGGTTCCAGCAGAGAACCTGACAGTACTACTGTAGTAGTGGGCTTGAACTTGAACCCGCAACAACAAGAATCAATGTGAAGAAAACACAATACGCGCTTTGTTAAATCAATCTCGTTTTTTGTGATTTCATGCGTTCAATCTTCGTACGCAATTAAACGATTTAAAATGTCTTCAACGAACAAGTTTTGTTGTTTTTTTGTGTTGACGCTTTTTTGGATTTATTTGGTACCTTGTGGAAGTGTAAGTAAGTTTTTATATCTCCTTACATCATTCCTTTTTGTTACTGATAGACCACAAATTAAATTTAATATTTAAAAATAAGTTCAATAACTCAGTGTTGGAATAATTTTATAAGAGTTTTAACACCCACATAGAAAAAAGATCTTAAATTTCATTTAAATTAATTAGATTAAAATAAGATTAATTAATCGATCCACACTAATTTTCGATGAATTTCAATCGCAAATAACTTGTTTATTTGTTTTCGGATTTAAACAAATATTAAAGAATATTGTAGATACATTAATGGAGAATCGCTCACATTTTAAAAATTACTAAAAAATACACGTACGTTTATAATATACAGGTTTAAACAAAAAGATGTTTTTTACTATAAGTTTAAGACACTCTATAGAGTGGCAAAACCGTATATTGTTCTAAATTAAGTTTTAGTTATCAAGTCACATCTATTTTTAACAGTTTTGTTTTTGGTTCACCTTGATATATTTATTTTTGTGGAAAATATGGAATGTTTTAAAAAACATTGCAATTTCCAATATTTTTCCTATAAAAAGAACTAAGGTTGCTATGGTCCATCTTTTTATTTAAACCTGTATATTATAAACATACGTCTATTTTTTAGTAATTTTTTAAAATGTGAGCGATTGTCCATTAATGTATCTACAATATTCTTTAATATTCGTTTATATCCGACATCAAATAAATAAGTTATTTGCAATTGAAATTCATCGAAAATTTGTGTGGATCGAATATTTTGCCTGGGAGTGTATCATTTGACGACAGAGAGGCACTTTATTTTAACGATTGTGTGACATTTGACAACTGTCAACTAACTTCAGCCCGTGACTAAAAACCTGTCGCTAACATCAGCCCGTGACTAAAGCGCCATAAAGCCACAACTTGTCAATGTGTATTTAAAAGGTCACTTAGCGTCAAGAAAACATGTACGATAATGTTCGTTTTTCTTGAAAATGAACTAAAAACGTTGGTTTCATTATTAAAATACAATGGTGGTTTGTTCTGCATTTGGTTGTAAAATTTATAAAATTTAGTGAGAAGAAAGAGACTGTAGTAATTTTTGAAAATTTGAGATATTTTTTATATAACTTTTCAACTTTTCTTGAGTTAATATTTAATTTATGTGTAGTAGACTGTTATTAACGTATGTGACAAATATGCAAAAATATTACACTTTCTAAAACCATCAAAAATACAATAACTTATATTATTATTAATGACATTTAAATTAAAATTATGTTAAACGCTTTATTTACCGTTAATTTTTTATAATTATCATTCATATGGTGTCCATCCTAAAGTAGGTGGACAGACATAAGCGTTTTTTCACATCTGTTAAGAACTTATAAAACCGTATGCGCAAATGATGAATAAAAACTTACTCTCTAAAAATGAATTAGTCAAAAATGACTAATTTAATAGTTATTAGTGGCTGCTTTTTCACTTGTACCATGGTTAACTATGGAATACCATGGTATCCCAAAATTTAACAGCCAATTCTTATGTAAAATTGTCCCCTGAATCCGAAAATACCGTCAAAAAGTGGAGCAGTTCTTGAGATATGGTCAATTCCATATTAAATGGAAAATTGACTATATCTCAAAAACTGTTCTACTTTTTTAACTTTTGACGGTATTTTCAGATTCGGGAGACAATTTTAAATAAGAATTGGCTGTTAAATTTTAGGATACCATGGTATTCCATGGTTAACCATGGTACAAGTGAAAAAGCAGCCACTAATAACTACACTGTTCAAAATTTCATGACCATTTTAACACCAAATTAACACCATAAATGGTCTATATCGATACAAACCAAAATGGTGTTAAATATGGTTCGTTGGTCCAGTGTAAATTCAAATACTAAAATAGTGTAAATTTAACTTTCACACGGTATTAAAATAAATTTTTTGGTCAAATTAAATCATACTACACAGAAAAAAAGGAAAAAAGGAAACAGGAAGTTCCTTGACGCATTACAAGTATGTATATTACCAGTGGTGTTATTCCAGAAAATTGAACCTTCAACTCGCTAGAGATAATGTTTTTAGTGCGTTCCACCAACTTAAAATACTTCAAATATTGACAGCTTTTTCCACTTATTTAAGGTCTCTTTAGTATCGAACAACTTGTAGTGTCACACCAAAGCAAAGGACTACCTGAGCTTATATACTCTTCATGTAAGTCAACAGAGGCGAGATTTAAGAACATCACGTGATCCACACCGCCTTTGCCGCGATCGGTACACACTATGCAACCGGGAATGCACGGCAAATTGTTTTAATCGTTTACCATATAACATATTTAGTAAACTGAACCATACAGCGGGTTGGTTTCACTAAAGTTTTCTGGGTTAATTTAACCAATTTACAAAAAATAAAATAACTATCTGGTTTAGTACCGTCAAACTAATCTTTGTTTATATTAACCTTCCCACAGTTGATTTAAATAAATTCTTATGGGTCAACTAAATTAAGATAGTTAAATGAACTATTTATTTTTTTCTGTGTAGGTGCACTTCTCAAATATTTTTAGATAAACACCGTTTTGGTGTTTGCTGTATAAAATATTTTCAACCATAAATCATGGTGTTATATTAACACCACTTGGTGTTGGATTTTGACACCATTTTAAGATTACTCTTCACACCACAGATATTTTAAACAGTGTATTAATTTAATTTTAAACTAATTCATTTTTAGAGAGTACGTATTAAAGTCATTTAAAACGACTTTTGGAATTAAAAAGTCCCTAGGGCCATGTCTGACCAATATGGAGGCCAAGGCATCACTGCTTGTTTTCAATAAATAATAATAAACTTCTAATCTAATTAATTATTTGCAGTTTCAAGTTGATGAGAATAAGCAACTAAAAAAGCTATTTGGACCGAAATTTGGCAACTATGGTAACCAGCCGCCGCCGAGGCACGACACACCAGCTTCATCGTGCAGCTGCAGTAAGTGAAGAATCAAAAAATGCCCAAATTAAAAAAAAATAGTAAAATTTTATCCGAAATCACATTTAATAATACCAATAATGAATATTGATGATTAAATCAAATGTCATTTGATGATCAAATCAAATGTAATTTGAATGTAGGAAGTGTCTACGTATACTGTTTGTTGCGACGGTTATTATATATTTGCCCGCCGCACAGTGTTTCAATTCTCGAAAATATCGGCAAAACCTCAAAAATTAACATTTTTTTCAGGTAAATTTTGAGTTAGATGCATCTATGGGTAGTTAATACCTAATTATATAAAATACGTATATTTTGTCTTGTATATCAGTTTAAACTTGACGCTTTCAGTTGAAGGTACTTTACACGCGATCGCTGCGGAAAATTGTTTATTGTTTAAAAGTGATTAACTTGTGTTTGGTGTGTCCGATTGTTATGCGGTTTGATGAAGGGTGATCTTCAAGGTATCTACAATTCAGATATGTATTTGTTTTTCGTAGATTTTGCTTGTACAACGGGTTATTGTAACCGACAAGATCGGTCTGTTAAAATCGCAAACTTTAAATCGAGCTTTTAGAACAATGGAGCTACAAAAATTGTAATGAATTTTAAGGCATCAGTTCAAGATCCGTTGAATAGCTTAGAGTTTTGTCTATCAAGCCATCAATAAATTAGCTGCCCCAACTTGCCCCCGGCTCTTTAAAACTACATGTTCTTGGACGCTCAGGCACGGTTGTGGTAAAAAACCTCGCGATTTTAAGCCTATGTCGAGCGCGTATCTTTGTTTTTGCTTTACAAAATATAAGATTTTTTTATTTTGGGTTGAGTTTATGACGTTTACTCGATTCACTCAGTTTTGACTCAAAACGTTTATTACAACAGCGGTGTCTAGACTTTCACTTGCGTAAATCGTTCGTGACTACTAAGATATTTAACACCGATTTTACATATTTAACCCACCTCTTGTAGGTGCGTTAAAACAACTCCGCATGCGCATTGTAGTATGTTAATGTCAAAATTTAATTGTGGTTATTTGTGTTGACAATTTTTTTAGCGAATTAAGAAATCGTTGCTAAAATATTAAGTAAAAGAAATAATACAAATTTAAAATACTTAGTATAAAATCTGTAAATAAATTTTGAAAGTTTCTCGGGAGAAAACGATGGAAGATGTTTTCCATTGGCTTATGGCATCTTCCGATCCGTATATTTCTAGCTTCAGAAAAATTGCTCCGAAAAAGAGCAAATCTTTGTCCCGCGAAGCAATAAAACTGTTGCTATCTTCTGATGGTTTTCCATGCTCTGCTAATGATACAACGAGCGAATCCAGTGGCGGAGATTGTTTAATATATATGTAGGTATTAAATAATATCATATAAATGTAATTATAATAAACTAAATTAAGCTATTTTATAAAAAGATGTTTTATTACATTTTAAAAAGAACCTCTTACGGATTTTTAATTAATTTCGACAATATTTGATAAAAATGTCCGCCATTTGAGGTGTACCATTTTGAATTTTGGAATTCTCATTCCATATTCATTATCAGCGACCACAAAAACCCCTGTATGGTGATTTTCAATTAATTCCGTCAATTTTTTTACAAATATGTCCGCCATTTTGGATCTACCATTTTGAATTTTGACATTCTGATTCCAGATTCGTTATCAGCGACCCCAAAAACCTCTATATACGGATTTTTAGGAGAATCCGACTGCTCCTTGATATTTTGCCGAAAATTTCGAGAATTGAAACACTGTGCGCCGCGGCGATTTGTTTATCTAATTAATAAAATTAACTTATTATTTTTATAAAACAACATTTTATGAAAGGGTCCAATCGACCTCCGCGACGGTGCTTTTTTTTAAATATTATTTAGTTGCTGCTGAGTAGCAGTAGACACATCTTAAAATGTATAATGGGTTGCATACAATACTCGTATTAAATCGGCAGTAAAGTTCTACTTTACTGCCAATTTCTTTTACTTTACTGCCGATTGTTGACTACTTTACTGCTGATCTCGGATAAACTTTGTTTCATTACAGCTTGCGGCGAAAGAAACGAAAACAGCAGGATTGTTGGGGGAAAGCCAACCCAACAAAACGAATTTCCCTGGATGGCGAGGTTGTCATATTTCAACCGATTCTATTGCGGCGGAATGTTAATAAACGATCGTTACGTCTTGACAGCTGCCCATTGCGTTAAAGGGTGAGAAATTTTTACATAAAAATCATTAATCATCAAGCTAAAATGCCCTTTAATGTATTGTCATCAAGACAAACTGCTCTTGAGAAAATGTACAGTTTTTATATAACTAATAACAAAACAGTTGTACAACATAAAAAACAGTACTTTTATTACCTAAAATAACATATGTACTACACAATTTTTAACCACATTCTTCATTTAATTGTTAACATTATAAAAATTGTAATACATCTTGTCTTCATTGAATTTCTTGAAACGTTTTCAACAAAACAATTTAACAGGATTAAAAGTACTTGCAATGAATAATTTATAGTTAAACACTGTATTTTTCAATCTTCACTCGAATTTATTAACTTAATTGCCTGATCGTTTGCATTTTATGGCAGATTCATTACTTTTACTACCATTCAACTAACTATGTTATGTCTTTCAGAAATATAAGAACAGCTATAATATTTTAGTTTTTAGTCAAACGACTTTGAGAAAAATAAATCCACCAGTGAGTTATGGATTATAACTCACGTTCATATTTAAAATAGTATTCTATTTATTTATTACTATTACAAGCAGAATTTACATTGATATTGAAATTAAAGGAAAACGCTAACGGTTTATTCGAATTTGAAGTCATTGTAAAGTTCGTTGGTTCATTGGAACCAGACGCTCCCATATCGGTACAGCTGCTGATAGTGCTGGAAGAAGCCGACGCATTAGAACCTTGTATTTTTTCTGCAATTTGTATTTCGTTATGCACCGATTCTTCTAGGTATCCTTCTGCTACCGTCGAGGACTTCCATCCTCCGTGACGCTTCAAAGTAGTCATGTTAGCTCCTGCATTGGTCAAAAGAGTGGCCGAAGACCTTCTCAGGCAGTGACCGGTGTAGAGCGCTGGTTCCTCCAATTTCAAAAACATTGCAATTCTTGAAAGTATCTTCGACAACGTATTTATTCCCACACAATGGCTGGTACACCTTCCATTTTTGTAAAAAACAAAAAAGCGGCTACAACTAGTATTCTTTGGTCTTAAAGACACGTATTTTTTAGACAAATTGACTGGAAATCCTTCTTCAAGTACGATGAAACTCAATTTCTTGGTTTTAGTGTCTGGCAAAACTACGTGAAAATATTTCCCTTTGTCTAGAATATTTTCTATTTTCAAATTGAGCAATTCATCGCATCTACAAGCTCCGCTAATCCCCATTATCAAAGCCACTTTCATCAACAGGTACTTGTCGTCGGGAGCTTCTTTCAGAAACTTCTCTATTTCAGGTCGTTCTAATGTCTTGGACTTCTTTGGTTTGTATCCCTGTGATTTGCTTTTCAAAAAGCTCGTTAGCCATATTTTGAAATGTCGATTTTTTTATAAAGGTGAATAGTCGAGCGAAGCATCGAGTATTTGGTCCATAGCGACGATGGGGCTAATTTTGTTTGCAAATGTAAAAAATAAGCCAATAGAACATTTTCAACGATACCTTTTATCTTCCATGAATTCATCCAAGACTCAAACATTTTGAATTCTTTGTCGTAAGCATCTCGGGACTTTACTGGCAAATTCTGCATCGCTGCTTCTTCCGCTTCCGTAAGGATATCCTCAGGAACGTAATTTTTATCGGTTTCCTCCATTTTCTATAGGTTTTTTTCTTCAAAAAAGCTGACAAGTATCAAAATTTATTTAAACATTTGCTAACAATGTATCATGCCTACTTTGACCAAAATGTAAAAAAGTCACTGTCAAGCCATTCTGACATTTATAGGCTACTGAGACGCAAGTAACTTTGATTTGATGACAAAGCTTATTAATTATTATCTCATAAAAAACGATTTCTTCCACTTGTTGGATAAAACATTGTATGCAACTCGTGTGTTATGTTTCCTAAGTCACTTTAGAATTTAGAACCATAAATAACTATTATTAGGATTCATAAAAAATCTACTATTCTTTTTTTACTTTTTATATCGAAAAATTGCATTTCTTTTTCAGGTTTATGTGGTTTATGATCAAGGTCACTTTTGGAGAACACGATAGATGCAACGACTCTATACGACCCGAATCCAGATTCGTCCTGAGAGCTATAGCGGGAGCTTTCAGCTTTCTGAACTTTGACAACGATATAGCTCTACTAAGACTCAATGATAGAGTACCTATCACGCAAACTATTAAGCCCATATGTCTTCCAAAAATTAGAGGTAAATGGGTCCCCCAAGTGAAAATGATTATTTTATATTTTTGGTTGTTTCACTGTTAGTCTAGAATGGGGTTTTTGGGAAGCCACCAGGTCTAGTATAACATATCATAAGTGATTCTGCACTAATGCAAAAATTTTAAGAAATCATACATTTTTAATATTAGAGCTTCACGGAGGTTAGAATTTCGTATGTTTTTTGTAAACATCCCTTTGTATATTTGAAATAAGTTATTGTATCTTTTGACACCTAAATATTTTTAAAAAATACAATTGTACATACATAACATATTTATAAAAAAAATCTACCTACTGAGAAATTACACTTCACAGTGGATAGGTTTTTAAAAAACAAATTAATGAACTTTTGAATAATAAAACAGCAACACTCTCATCTACATATAAATTCTAACTGACCTTCAGGAATCACAAGCATCTATAATGTCGTAAACAGAGGTTTTTGCTTATTTAAAATGATTAAAGCGCCATCCATTGCATAAAATTTAAAGCAAAAACAGATTCACGGAGGATAGAATAAATGTTTGCAACACCTACATAAATGGTTATAAAAAATATTTCTTTTAATTTTTTGAAAACATATAGGATAACCTCGAAAGAGTAACAGTCACGGAGGATAGGTTTTAGACTTTTAAAACATTGTAAAAAATAATTAATTCGCCCAAATTTAATAGTAAAAATCGTACTTTTTAAAATAAATTTTATTTTCTAGATGATCTGTATGTGGGCAAAAAAGCGATTGCTTCAGGATGGGGGACATTAAAAGAGGACGGAAAACCGTCCTGTATCTTGCAGGAAGTCGACGTTCCTGTAATAAGTAATGAAGAATGCAGAAACACAAACTATTCCGCTAAAATGATATCGGATAACATGATGTGTGCTGGGTACCCCCAAACAGGAAAAAAAGATTCTTGTCAAGTAAAAAACGATTTTTAAAGCAACAAATTTTTTTAATTATAATTCTTAAATATTTTTAGGGGGACAGTGGGGGCCCTTTAATCACAGAAAAGAAGGATCAAAGATATGAATTAATTGGTACTGTTTCTTTTTATTTTTAAGTTTACCCATGGTTTTCTTGTATCATGATACGAGGTGTGTTCAGAAAATAACGGGAATTGTTAAATTTCGCGGGTTCGGAGGGTCCGGTTGTCATAAAATTTTCTTTATTATGTTGGTATACATGCCCCCGAAGAATGATAAAAACTTTAGCTGTTTTCATTGTTTACTTTGTCTGTGGCAGCCGCTAAGGTTAGAAGTGTTTTATGAGCTCGGCGATTTTTCGTTCGTTAAAAGAAATGGATCAAAGAATTTGTATCCAATTTTGCTTAAAAAATGAAATAAATTCTGTGAAATCTTAACATAGGCCTATAGTGAGTCTGCTATAAGTAAAACAAGAGTTTACAAGTGGTATAAGAGTTTCCAAGATGGTCGTGAAGACGTTGAAGATGACGAACGCCCTGAACGCGCAAGCACATTAACAACCGATAAAAACATGGAAAAAGTGGAAGAAATGGTTGTAAACCATCAGAGAAGTCGCTGATGATGTTGGTATATCGATTGGCTCATCCCATGAAATTTTTTCGAATGTTTTTGGTATGAAACGCGTGGCAGCAAAATTTGTTCTAAAATTGTTAAATTTTGAACAAAATTTTTGTCCAAAAACAATACTGTAATGATGCCCCAGCCTCCATGCGTCTGTCTGACTTTTTCCTATTCCCAAAAATAAAGAGAACCTTAAAGGGCCGTCGTTTTTCAAGCATAGATGACATTAAAAGCGCATCGCTTAAAGAACTAAAGGCTATCCCGAAGATCGAGTTTTAGAAGTGTTTTGAGTATTGGAAGAAGAGCTGGCACATGTGCATAATTAGTGATGCGACGGGCGAATATTACGAAGCGAATATTCCCATAAATTCCGTAACTTACGGTAATATTCGCTTACCCTCAAAGGAATATTCGCTTTTGGGTAACATATCACGGTAATATTACCGAGAACATTCCCGGTAATATTACCCAATAAATTCGCTATCGCGTTAATTGCGTGTGATTCCCCGGCGGACGGCGTGTGATTCCCGGCGGACGGCGTACTTCCCTGGCACACTTCTTGTACTGCATTATTGCTTGTTTTCGGCCACCAGTCATTAAGAAACTTTTGCTTCTGCACGTTAATGCGACGCGATTGTGCTGTGTTGTGGTTTGTGATTAACCAAAGTTCCAAGTGCTAAATATGCCGAAATATAAAGGACCAATATGGGATTACTTCAAAGAAAACTCAATAAATGGGAAATATTATTATGTTTTTTATTTTGTTTTCGTTGGGACGGTTACTTTTTAAAATATATTATTATTTTTTCTGTTCTCTGTCTTTTGAACTGTCATTAAAATATTTTATTTTTATCTGTTCCAGTTTTATTTTTCGGGTACGTACTTTAGAAAATATGATTTTGTTTAAAATTATACGTCGTATGACATATTGTTAACAATATGTATAATTATATATGTATATATGTATACAATAAATTAATACAAAGTTATTCATTCTGGGCTCAATTTTAAAGCTAAATTATTGAAATTTTGTTTAATAGTATATTTTTAAACAAGGATAATAAATTACCTACCTAATGCAGTTTACCGCTAAAAAAATAGCGAAATTTCCTAAAATTCTTATAAATTACGGTAAGTTCTCGTAATTTACCGAATATAACCGACCAAAAATAAATTACGGTAATTTTTACATCACTATGCATAATATCCAATGGGGACTATTTTGAAGGCGACAACATTAATGTAGACGAATAAATAAATATTTGTTTCAAAAAACAAAAATTTCCGATATTTTCTGAACACACCTCGATTTTCATAACTTTTTCTCTTCAAATGTTTTTTTTCTGTACTTATAAAACCAAAATACATATTTTTTAGGAGTTGTGTCATGGGGAAACGGTTGTGCCAGACCGGGTTATCCAGGAGTTTATACAAGAGTAACAAGGTATCTGGATTGGATTTTGGAGAATTCCAAAGATGGATGTTTCTGTGAAGACTGATTTATTTAAAGAAATTAAAACAAAAACGAAGATATAAATTAAAACTAAACATTGTCGTTGACAAGATGTGATACATTTTAAATAAAAATTAATTAAACTATTAAAGATAATTCCTACAAGATTAAAGCAATAATACACTAAATGATTTCTGTTTTTTTATTAACAAAAAACTTTATTTATACCTAAATTATTATACAAAAGCAACGTGTCATTTAAATTAAATATAATATAATTATAATAATAATAATTACTTAAGTAATAATATTAATAAATATAAAAATTTTATAGCTCTTATTTTATTTCTTTACCTATCAATTATAATTTTCAAGTAAGTAAATATTCCTTAACAAAAATTATCTTAAAACCTAAAAAAAGATTTTGTCAATAAACTGTAAAATTTTGGAATTGACGTATTTTGTGTTTTAGTAAGAATAAAAAAATACTTAAGGTGATAAAGGGACAAATTAAGTAGACTGATATCCTCCTAACTGTATTCTTTTAATAGGTACTTATTCAAGAAGTTTATTATAATTTATTATTATAATAATATAATATATAATTATTTGTAAAAATAATGTCTAATCATTTGAAACACTTTAGTACATAGCCGGATATTGCTATCAAATTTACTTCATCATATTCAAATTTTTCGTGTATCAATCAGCATAAAAGTCCACCCATATGGGTCACAGAACCAGCATATGAAACCTAACTGTTTTAAACAGAATCCAGTTTTATAAGAGACCACATTTATTCACCGGTGTGTTCAAGCAAAAGCAAAATTATGAAGTTTCTGTTATATTCTGTCCTGTGCATTTTTTCTGCAATATCTATGGTACGTATGCAGTATATTATTTATTAATTATTTCTCTCGCCGGGTTTTTCTGATTTTATTGTACATATTTGTGCTTTGAAAAGTTTTTTTTATACATTTTACAATATTTTCTTGTAAAAGATAAATTCAAAAACCTAGCATCAACTTTGACTGTGAATACTTTAGAGAGGTATTAAGAAACTTAATCCATTGAGAAGTATTCAGCACCTTCAATACGGCCAATATTTTTTCATTTGCAGTGTTGTCCCATAAACTAATATTATTTATCTCCACGCGGTCTATAATTTAAACTTTATTGTTGTCAACATTCGATAAAGAAATACCTTGTTATGGCCTGGGCCGATAAAAAATTTTATGAGGCAAGTAATTAGTTCGATTTTTTCTCGCTAGGGGTATTGCTTTAACAAATTAATCCTTTTCTAAGAAATTAACGTACTAAACTGGTTTAATTTATTTATAATAAGCACTAATTTGTTTGTTTTACTGTTAATGTTTAATATTTTTCAATAAATTATTGTAAAATTAAATATGAATAATAAAACAAAAAGTTTTCAGTGGAATTAAATGTTAAACACAGCTTAAACATTCCAAATTACCTATTTTTTAAATAAAAATCCAAACAAATTGAAATTAGATACCAACTTATTTATTAAACAATTAATTAAATTCAATGTAATAGCAAAAATCCATTTCTACTTAAATCATGTAGCTAGGTATTGTCAAACTATTACTGCTCCTAAAAGCAATAATAATTATTGTACATTTAATGTAATCTTTAGCTAATAAATAAATGAGATTCTAAAAAAGTGAGGTTAGGCCGGTTTGATGTTGAATTAAATTGACCTATATAAAGTGCTTTGAAGATAAAATGTTTTGGCCAAGAAGTGCCTTTTTGTGCTTCGCTCAATTGTAGGCCTCCGCTACGCGTCGGCCTTCAAACCTTGAGCTTAGCACAAAAAGCCTTACTAATGACATAAATAACTATTATTTTCTAGGTCTCTTCTCTTAATAACACAACACTAGAAAAAGGTCTTCTGGACTTTTTCTTCAACAACTGCAAACAATGTAGTAAGTATTATTTTTCATTAAAACGTAGCTCCAGACATTAATAAAACTCTTTGATACAGTTCAACCAAACCTAAATAAAAAATATCAAAAAAAACTAGGAATTATCTGAATTTCTAACTACAGAAATCAAGATATATTTTTCTAAAGGTGCTAAAACCAAATTCAGGTTTTGAAATTCTGTTCCAAAAGTTAAGTTATTCTTGGAGATTTTTTTACATTTGGGGATGGAATTTTTTTAAACCTAAAGTGATGGGGCAATTCTGATATCAAATTGGAGTTCATCGCATCAAAAACCTTCAAACCACAAAAAAATATTTTATGAACGAAAACTGTCCAAAAGTTTTAGAAAAATCTAAATAGTAATTTAACCATCGACAATAAAAATGATTTGTTGCATATTCTGGAGGTTTGAAATCAAACGAATTTTTTTATCAAGAATACATTTTCAATGTTTTACTTTTTTAATTTATTCATTTCCCTCTTTTAGAATGTGGTGTACCAAATAGAGAGTCCAGACTCATTGGTGGCGAATACTTGAGAACCTACGAATTCCCTTGGATTTCTATGATACAAATTAAGTCCAGTGTAGCTCCAGCTGTGCTGATAAACGACAAATATGTCATAACGGCTGCCAACCAAGTTTTGGGGTAAAAAATAGAATCCTTTTGATTTAAAGTTTTTCCTTCACCTACAAAATTTGCCAACTCAAGCAAGATATATAACTTTTCTTGTATATTTTAGCCTCTCACCTCTGGACATCAAAGTTACCCTAGGAGCTTTTGACAGGTGTTTTCCTGACCAATCATCTGCCAATGTGAGTGTGGACCAAATCATAGTCAACCCTGACTTCAGTCCGGGAAACAGGGCCAACGACTTGGCCCTAATAAAACTGTCCACCCCTGTAACTTTTGATAAAAGAGTTCGACCTATTTGTCTTTCAACCCCAGGTAAAACAAAATATCTATGGATCATTTTCAAAATTCTTGTACATTTAAAGAAGAAAAAAGTAAATTTCCAAATGGTGTTAAGCTCAATATTTTATATGTATATATATATAACCATAAAACCCCCTTGATTTTAGGCTACAACTATCTAGGCCAAGTGGCCACTGTGGTGGGCTGGTCGGAGGCCCAAACAGTCGAAGGTCCCATAGTGGCGTCGTGTAGGCCGAGAAAGTCAGGGTTGCCAATATTGGGACACGACGAATGTTTGGGAACAGCTGCAGATCCTCAGTACTTCAGCGCTGATAAGGGTTGCGTAGGTGTAGTGGGAGCCCCCAGCGTGGTTTGCAACGTAAGAAAAATACAATTTCATGTGTTTGAGTTGTTATGTATAGTTTGTTTCATGACTGAAAAATATTGGGTTAAAAGTTAAACGTTAATATCTTGGAATTCTATTGAGATTTATTTATGAAATTTGGTATACTTATAAAGAATATGTGTCTTAATAACACAGCAAATTTTCATAATTTTATCTTAAATACTTTTTATGATATATCCGTTTAAACTTTGACCCACACTTTTTCACTTTTTGAATGGACTATAATATAAGTTATTTTTGACGCATTTCTTTGTAGGTTGATGCAGGAGGGCCTGTAATGTACAGATCTAAATCTGGAGTCTATGATTTAATAGGTAAAATAATATTAATACACAAAAAAATTAAAATTAATTAATATTTTTTTATTTAGGTATTTTGTCAGATCAAAATGACTGCAGCCCCAAACCCAGTACGGCCCTGTATACAAATATAAATCAGCATTTGAGGTGGATTACACAAAACACCAAGGATGCATGTTATTGTTACAAAACATAAATTAATTTTTTGACAAATATTCTATGACATTTTTTAAATCTGTTATTGTTTTTTAAATTTCTTGTATTTTAATGTTATATATTTCTTTACAAACTGTGTTTTTTATTTATTATTTTTATTAATATTTAACAATTATTTTAGAAACACATATGGTTCCTTAATAAATAAATAAATAAATGCTTCTTAGGACTAAATAATTTGTTTTATTATAATAATAGTTAATTATGTCATTAGGTTAAGAAGTAAAGCTTTTTGTGAATGGCATACAAAATTTTATCTTCAAAGCACTTTATATAGGTCAATTTAATTCAACATCAAAGCGGCCTAACCTCACTTTTTTAGAATCTCATTTATTTATTAGCTAAAGATTACATTAAATGTACAATAATTATTATTGCTTTTAGAAGCAGTAATAGTTTGACAATACCTAGCTACCTAAATGATTTAAGTAGAAATGGATTTTTGCTATTACATTGAATTCAATTAATTGTTTAATAAATAGGTAGTTATCTAATTTCAATTTGTTTGGATTTATTTAAAAAATAGGTAGTTTGGAATGTTTAAGCTGTGTTTAACATTTAATTTCACTGAAACCTTAAAGCAAATTAAAACTTAAAGATAGTTTAAATCGTAGAAAAACAATCGTGCGTTTTCTTCAGGGTTGGGTCAGTAGAAAACCTTAGGTAATTTACCTTGGTAGAAAAGGGTATAAACTTGTTTTCGACTTGCGTCGAAAACCTATAGGGTTTTCTACCTACGTAAATTACCTTATTCGACCTTCTCCTTCCACTTCTCTATAATTGATAAATTTTGCCCTCATGCCAAAAATTATGTTGGGGTCTCCCAACCAAACGTGGCCCTTTTTTTCCCACCATAATAATGTTAAAAAACTCCAAATAACTTCAAATTTATGGTAGGTGTCTGATTTTTCACAACATTTAACAAATCATAATAAACAACAAACTTGCATAACCTCACATTTTTTTATATTTGACGGTATTCTACTTTTTTACGTTTTCTACCGTCGAAAACGTCGAAAAAGGTTTTCTACATGTCGAAAACAAAAATGTAGGTAGATACCCAACCCTGGTTTTCTTGGTTGCCTAACCTCACTTTTTGTTTTATTATTCATATTTAATTTTACAATAATTTAATGAAAAATATTAAACATTAACAGTAAAACAAACAAATTAGTACTTATTATAAATAAATTAAACCAGTTTAGTACGTTAATTTCTTAGAAAAGGATTAATTTGTCAAAACAATACCCCTAGCGAGAAAAAATCGAACTAATTACTTGCTCATAAAAATTTTTATCGGCCTAGGGCATAACAAGGTATTTCTTTATCAAATGTTGACAACAATAGAGTTTATAAACTTATTTATAAATTATAGACCGCGTGGAGATAAATTTCCTTTTTACATATTATTTTTACTATGAATATACAGGGTGATTACAAAGTTGATTTGTTTAGGGCCCTAACGTTTTTTTATTAAAATTTAAAAAAATATTTGAGGTAGAGTTTGTAAGAAAACTAAGATCCCTCTAAAAATAATTAAAATAAAATTTTACCAAATGTTCTTTTGATAAAAATTAAACTTTTTTACATATTTTTTATTTATTTATTCGGGGGTTCAAGCCTCAGAATTTTTAAACAAAAAAGTGAAGAAAAAAACAATAAGTTGACTTAAATCAATTTTTTTGGCAGGTATACGGAATATTTAGTAGTTTTTTGTATAAAATTATTTCAGTTAAACTTTCTTTTAACACTAAAAATAAATCAAATTCACATTTTTATCAATCCTACCCTTATCCCTTATATAGTTTCGTATTGGTGAAACAAAAATTATTATTCATTAAAATATGAAAAAATATGCAATTTATTTAAATCACAGAAAGTTAGCAATAGACCCACATATGAACAACATTTTTTTTTACTTAATATAGGTATTATATTCACTTAAAAATGATGTTTGGAACAAGTTTTTTAATAATTATAATTTATGTTTTAATTTTGATAAATTTTGCCCATGGATACAAAAAGTGTGGTAAGTAAATTATTATTATTATTACTATTCTTATTATCAGGCTGTATTATTGGTCCTAAATGGCAAAAAGTCAATAAACAAAGTACCAAGTGATTTTGACAATAATTTATAAACTAAAGTTAAGGTTTTTTTTAAAGAATGTGGCATTCCCAATGAAGTTTCACCGGGTAGATTGTCCCATGTAAGGATAGTGGGTGGGTCAAATTTTACGCCCCATAGATACCCATGGTTAGTTTTACTGCAATTTAATGGTACATTTTTATGCGGTGGTACCATCATTAGTGACCAATATGTTTTGACAGCTGGACATTGTTTTGGAGATTCAAGGTAAGGCTTGGCTGAATTATTACTCAACTCAATTTTTTTTAAACATGGTAAAAGTGTTAATTTTAGGTATGATCCAAGTTACTTAAAAGTGGTAGTGGGTGAATACAATAGGTGTAAAGAGGATACCAAAACTACCATATTATCAGTCAATAGAGTTATATACCACCCTAAATATAACTACGAAGATTTTTCAAATGATATTTTATTGCTGAAGTTAAGCATGAAATTAACATTCAACAAATACATCAGGCCCATATGTCTCCCACCTTTTGGTAAGCACAATACACTCTGTAAATATAAATTGGGCCACCCTGTATACAGGGCGAGTCATCTCCTTCTTATAGGGGTAACAGGGGGTAACTTTAAAATTTCCAATGGAACACCCTATTTTTTATTGCAGATTCGGATCATTCGACTAAAAATAGGTAGATTTTGTCTAAAACATTTTTTCATATTTGTAATAGATATCTATATATATATATATATATATATATATCCATATGGCGCTGTAATGAAAAAAAATCAATTTTCTTCTGTACACGGTGGTCAAAACTAAAGTATAGGCCGAACAAAAATGCCAACCAAAACTGATAGCATAATCTGATTATAGACTCTTTTGGTAACACAAAAATGTATTTATCAAAATCCCAGCTGATCCTTTATTATAGTTTTGCATATTTCTTAGTATTTTAAAATTGTTTATGCCATTTCGATAAAATACTCCAGTACCATTATCAAATGTTTTTAAAAATTTGGCAGATACATGACTGAAATATGGATAATTGCAATATCTTATTTATTGTTTTAAGGTATCTAATACAAAACTAATAAATAACTGAAGATTCTTTGAAGCAATATCGATTACTGCTTGCCTTAAATTTTCAGTAAAACTTTTTCTTGGGTTTTACATGGAATTGTATTTAACATGGAAACAGTATTTTCAAATTCTTCATTCTCTGTGCAAACATGCTTCTTACATCTAGCGATATCCCCTAGAAAGGAAGAGCATATCAAAACTTTAGTTCGTTCGTCCGTCCTCTTCCCTTAATAATTTTGTTATGCCTTTTATATCTTGCCATTTTGCAGATAAAGCACATACATTCTTGGCTGCCGCAAAATTCTCTAGCAATTTCTAAATTTTCAAAATTTGGCAATTGTGGCTATAGCCATATATGGAAAAATACCGTTTTTACCATATTGAAGTAGGTAATTTTGAATCGCTTGTGTGTTCGTTTGAAAAAGGCTGCAGTAATTTTTATATTTTCTCAGAAACCCTAAACTCTGAATTTTTCGATTACCAAAAACAATTTTGTTTCCACAGCCAGCACATACCTTCTTTCGATTTTCTTCATGGCTTAACTTGAATTTCGGTTTAATTTTCATTTTAAAATACTATTAAGTATACATTAAATAAACAACTAAAGCAAAATGTCACTTGCGTTATAACGTATAGCAATTTTTTTCATAACCACCTTAATTATTGTTTTACAAAATTTGCAAGTTGTAATTATTTCATAGACAAACTTTCAGTATTTTTTATTATAAAAAATATTTAAGATATAAATCTTCGTTTTTTTTGTTATGTTTTGTTTTGAGTGGTAAAAAATAATAGGTGACTCAATAAATTAATACTGGGGAGTAAAGTAATTTAAATGATACAAAGTTTATTATTTTGCTTAATTTTATTAAAATGGTACAGGTAGTTTTAGTACAATAATTGCAAAATAATATATAGAAATAGAAAAACAAAAAAGTTTGCAAAACTTTAAAATAGGATCAGCTGGGATTTTGATAAATACATGTTAGTGTTACCAAATGGGTCTATAATCAAAATATGCTATCAGTTTTGGTTGGAATTTTTGTTCGTCCTATACTTAAGTTTTGACCACCGTGTAAATACGATTCTGCAATAATTTTTCTATAAAAATATCACTTTTTTGGTAATAATTATCTTATTAAATTAAATCTGATTTTTTTAAGTACCCACGGTTTTTTAACTAATATTTAAGTTTCCTTTGGTTTAAGTTTTATACATTATTTCATTCGGTGATAATTATCAATTGCGCACCATGGTCACTTTTTACCTGCCAGCATTAAATTATTTAATTTAACTAATTGAAGTATAAAAAACACTTCTATTTGTAGAGTAACAAAAAACAATAATAAACTGAAAAGGTTTTATATAATATTTTGAGAAAGTTTATGCACATTTCTTCTAAAAACACTTTTTAATTTTATCAAAACCCCATTAAAAAGTATTTTAATAAAAACTATAAAACATCATTAAAAACTATAAATTTTCCACTTTTAATAATTAATATCTCCGAATACTCTAAAAATACAGTTTTTTAGATATTTTAAGAGATGTCCCTCTAAGATACTCTGGCCAAAGTGGAACCGTTTTGGGATGGGGACAGACTCAAGAACAAATAAAAATCCCATCTTGCATCCCACAGGAACTGACTATGCCGATTCTGCAGCGGCAACAGTGCGGCGACGTTGCCTACTCGCTGTTCTGTGCGGGATTTTTGGAGGGGCAAAAAGATTCGTGCCAAGTAATTGAAAAAAATTAAAAAATCGCAAATTTATTCTTAATTTTCAGGGGGACAGTGGAGGTCCGTTTCAAGTTATTAATAAGAAGAATAAATACGAAATAATTGGTAAGTTTTGGGAGTTTGGAGATTTTTTGGTACACCCTGTATTTTTAGGTATAGTTTCAAATGGTATAGGTTGCGCCTTACCGAAAAATCCTGGTTTATATACAGATGCGACAAAATATTTACCATGGATTTGGAAAAATATTGGTGATTCGTATTTTTGTTGGTACTGAATAAAACTGAGGAAAAAGTCGATGGAAGCTAAATCGCAACTTTTTGGTGGCCAAATAAAATACACAAAACATGTTTTCGATTATATTTATTTAAAATAGCATTAATAAAAATTTTTGTTTATTATAATAATTAAATATATTCTTTTAATTAATATTATAGGCACTATAATGTGATTTTAAAACATAAGAAGGTATTATTACAACATAAAATACATAACAAAAACTACACTAATTAATTAAAATTAATTGAACACTGTTTTAAATAATTATTAAGTAATTAAACTTAAAATTAGTGATTGTACAAACAATTCATGTCTTTAATAATTAAAGACTTAAAAATAAATATAAGAAATAGAATTAATACTATTTAGTTGATTATGGCACGCCGTTTTAACATTTATTAAATAATTTTTTAATTTAAAATTTTATTGGTTTAAAATTTTCCGAACTAAAAATTTTAGGTTTACATTTATAAATTTATAATATTTTCAACTATCATGTATTGAAAGACAAAATTTACTAACCAACAGTTCACTTCTGTATTAAACAATTATTTTCTATCAATTTTTGCAAAAATTTTTAACTATCATTTTTTAATAAAAATAATTTCTCAAGTATAATTTATTTGGGTGGCATTTTGTTAACTTAAATAAATATTTTATTAAATTATTGAGATTAATTGGGTAAAGTTAAATTTTTTAGTATTTAAAGATACTATCAAGCCATTTAAAATAAAAACACATATGTATAAAACATTTTCTACCAAAATAGTTTAAAATTTTAAATTTTTGTAAACTCAAAACTATTGATAATCAAAAAATATTTTAAATATAAAATGCAACTGTAAAAGTTTAAGTTTAAAAATATTAATTTTTAAAAAATGGAATTTTAATATTTTATTCTTCAAAATTATTTGTTTGAATATGTAAAGTCATTTAAATGATAGTCGATAAATTTTCAATACAAAAGTTTGAACAGTACATTTAAATGTTAGTTTTAAATTTTAAAGTGGTAATTTTTGCATTACATTTAATGTAATGTGAGAATTTTTGTATTAAAAATTTATCAACTATCATTTAAATGACTCTTTAAAAATTTAAACCAATAATTTTGTAGAATAAAATATTACAACCAAAACTTTTAATAATCAATATTTTTAAACATAAATTTTTACTGTTGCATTTTATATTCAAAATATTTTTTGACTATCAATTGTTTTGAGTTTAAAAAAATATAACTTTATAAATTTCTGTTAAAACATAATTTAAGTGCTAAACTTTAATCTTTAAACTTTTATCTAATAAATGCTAAAACGGCGTTAACTAGTTAACAAAATTTAATAATATATGTATTTTGCATTTTTTTATATATATATTTTTGACTATAAATATCACTATAATTTAAGCACATTTATTAGGCAAATTAAGGCACAGTTAAAACTCTATATTTTTATTGACAAATTCTATTGGGAATGACTAGGGTTTTAAATTGTCGAAAAAAAAAGATTTTTTTTTGTTTTTTTCCCAGGCTTTTTAGGGAAAAATTGTTTTTTTGGAAATTATACGAATTTTAAAAAAGTAGCAAACAACATCTTACCATGATTTTAATTCTAAGAAAATATTCTTTATTACAGAAAAAACCTAAATTGAATTGACTTAAATTGGTTTAAAAAAAATAAAAGTTTTTAAAAATATTCACCAATATCCTTACTAAATTAAAATAATAGGATTATGATATATCATTAAAATCAGTGTCGGAAATTCACTTTTTTCCCGATTTCAGTGTATGGATATTATCCGTAAAAATATGGAAATTTTCAGAAAAATTGACTTTTGCAATTTTTTTTGCATAATCTTTTAAATAAAATGAAAAAAATTCAAGTGAATTTTTCTGAAAATTTTAAAACCCTAGGAATTACTTAAATATTAAAATTGTGTAAAATAAAAAAAAACTGGAGTAAAATTTATATTGTCATTTAAACTGGGGTACCTGCCTTTTTGGGTGTAGCCTCGTGTTGCCTTCTTAGCCTTCTTCTAAGCTCGTTGGGGAATTTTTCGTAGCATTTTTTGCAAACAGGTTTTAAGTCGCATTCGTAAAATTTGGTTTTTTGATTCATTTTTTGGTCGCAAACCGAACAAGCAAAGTGATGAACGCACCATGCCTTGTTTAAGGCAGTGAACACTAAAAAAAAAAAAAAGTGAAAAACTTTTTCTTATTTTTTTTTTGTTCATTCAAAATCCTTGCGAAAGTTAATATTCTCTTTACTTAAAAGAGTAATTGATTATGTAACATAAAAAATGTCTAGACTTAATTATATTTACTTTTTATGGCATATACAAGAAAATGTTGACACAAAATTTCTAACAAATCCATATAAGTAAAAATAGTTAAGATTCAATAAAAACAAGTTTAAAATTAGTGATTTATGTAAGATTTTGTTAAGTAAAAATTGGTTCATTAATTAAAAAAAAATCGAAAAAAAATACTTACCATCTCCTCCAATTACTTGGTTACAAACATGGCACAAATTGCCGAATAATTGATGGTAATGAGTTTCACAGTAGGCCAAGCCTTTTTTCTCATAATGCCTGTGTCCCAAAAATGGTTTTTCGCATTTTGCGCATACGAAATGCTAAAAAAAATTAATTGTATTTTAAAAATAAACTTTTTTTATTAAATTTATTTTGTTTTTTCAGTATTTTGTCTTGCAATTGCTTAAATATTGAAGTTACAAAAAACATCTTAAAACAAAAGTTGTAGAGAATTTTAATCCCTACAATATTGCTTCTGGTTAATTTTACCAAAAAAAAAAACAAGGGAGAAAATTTATACAATAGCGACTATATTCGCCTCGACGTGTCAATGCTAACACAACTTAAATGTCTTGTAACTGCTTAAATATTAAAAATTGCAAAAATGTTGTTTTACAAAAGTTGTAGAGGATTTCAAACTCTACAATATTTCTTTAGGGTATTTTAACCGAAAACCCTCAATAAGGGAGAAATTTCGTACTAAAGCGACTTTATCACCTCGACGTGTCAATGCTAGCACAACTTCAATGTCTTGTAATTGTTTAAATATTAAAGTTGCAAAAAAAAGTCTTGAGTAAAAATTGTAGAGAATTTCAATCTCTAATAGTATATTAAAGTACAAGTTGCAGAAGGCCACATATTCTCGCACGAATTCGAAATTTGGCCTCGAGCGACGAAGGAGCGAGTGGACGAACGAATGAGTGCGAGAATAGCCTTCTGCAACGTGTGATTTATACTATTTTCTCGATTTTAACTTTTATTTAGGTTTTTTTAAATGTTTTGTGGTCGTTGTTAGTTGGGGGATTTTTCTCGCAAAATGTCAGTTGGCAACACAAAATGACAGTTGCATGGACAGGTAGATTTATTTTTATTTACTATTTATTAATAATCTGTCTGTATTTGTCAACTGGATAATAAGGTTTTGTGTAAGTATTGTATTATTTTTTAATGTTTTCTGATATTTTTGAACAATTGTGTTTACTTTTAGCAGTGAAAAATGTCACAGGAGGTTTTACAAGCAACACTGAACATTACAATAAAAGTTTATAACAATAATTGTGCTAGTGATTAATTTATAGTAGTTTTGTGTTTTGTGTACTGTGGGTATATAATATTTCCAATAAAATATAGTTTGATTGACCTGTCTGGCTCATTTATTTGTCAATATTTGTTATCCTGCACAAGTACAACTGAACTGCACTTTTTCACATTAAACTTAAAATTTTGCATTAAAATGCATTGTTGGAGCAAACTTAATATAACAAAACAATAATAAAGGCTTCATTTTCAATAAAAGTGTAGTTCAGGTTGCACTAGTGCAGGATAACAAAGAAAGCTATTATAAATAATCCTAAAAGTAATGAATTTGAGGTTATTAAACAGTTTGACATTTTGGGGGTACCAATACTTAAAAACTAAATGTTACCAAAAATCGTTTAAGAATGAGCTTCATTCTTCAACGATTTTGCGTGCGAGAATATGACATTCTTACATAAAAATCGAGAAAATATTTATTTAGGGTATTTTAACCGAAAACCCCGAATAAGGGAGAAATTTCGTAGTAAAGCGACTTTATCACCTCGACGTGTCAATGCTAACACAACTTCAATGTCTTGTAACTGCTTAAATATTAAAAATTGCAAAAAAGTTTTTTTACAAAAGTTGTAGAGAATTTTAAACTTTAAAATATTTATTTAGGGTATTTTAACTGAAAACCTTCAATAAGGGAGAAATTTCGTAGTAAAGCGACTTTATCACCTCGACGTGTCAATGCTAGCACAACTTCAATGTCTTGTAACTTGTTAAATATTAAAGTTGCAAAAAAAAGTCTTGAGTAATAATTGTAGAGAATTTTAATGTCTAAAATATTTATTTAGGGTATTTTAACCGAAAACCCCGAATAAGGGAGAAATTTCGTACTAAAGCGACTTTATCACCTCGACGTGTCAATGCTAACACAACTTCAATGTCTTGTAACTGCTTAAATATTAAAAATTGCAAAAAAGTTTTTTTACAAAAGTTGTAGAGAATTTCAAACTCTACAATATTTCTTTAGGGTATTTTAACCGAAAACCCTCGATAAGGGAGAAATTTCGTAGTAAGGCGACTTTATCACCTCGACGTATCAATGCTAGCACAACTTCAATGTCTTGTAATTGTTTAAATATTAAAGTTGAAAAAAAAAGTCTTGAGTAAAAATTGTAGAGAATTTCAATCTCTAAAATATTTATTTAAGGTATTTTAACCGAAAACCCCGAATAAGGAAGAAATTTCGTACTAAAGCGACTTTATCACCTCGACGTGTCAGTGCTAACAGAACTTCAATGTCTTGTAACTGCTTAAATATTAAAAATTGCAAAAAAGTTTTTTTACAAAAGTTGTAGAGAATTTTAAACTCTACAATATTTCTTTAGGGTATTTTAACCGAAAACCCCGAATAAGGGAGAAATTTCGTACTAAAGCGACTGTACTCACCTCGACGTGTCAATGCTAGCACAACTTCAATGTCTTGTAATTGTTTAAATATTAAAGTTGCAAAAAAAAGTCTTGAGTAAAAATTGTAGAGAATTTCAATCTCTAAAATATTTATTTAAGGTATTTTAACCGAAAACCCCGAATAAGGGAGAAATTTCGTACTAAAGCGACTTTATCACCTCGACGTGTCAATGCTAACACAACTTCAATGTCTTGTAACTGCTTAAATATTAAAAATTGCAAAAAAGTTTTTTTACAAGTTGTAGAGAATTTCAAACTCTACAATATTTCTTTAGGGTATTTTAACCGAAAACCCTCAATAGGGGAGAAATTTCGTACTAAAGCGACTTTATCACCTCGACGTGTCAATGCTAGCAGAACTTCAATGTCTTGTAACTGTCTAAATATTAAGGTTGCAAAAAAAAGTCTTAAGTAAAAATTGTAGAGAATTTCAATGTCTAAAATATTTATTTAGGGTTTTTTAACCCAAAACCCTCGATAAGGGAGAAATTTCGTACTAAAGCGACTGTACTCACCTCGACGTGTCAATGCTAGCACAACTTCAATGTCTTGTAATTTTTTAAATATTAAAGTTGCAAAAAAAGTCTCCAGTAAAAATTGTAGAGAATTTCAATCTCTAAAATATTTATTTAGGGTATTTTAACCGAAAACCCCGAATAAGGGAGAAATTTCGTACTAAAGCGACTTTATCACCTCAACGTGTCAATGCTAACACAACTTCAATGTCTTGTAACTGCTTAAATATTAAAAATTGCAAAAAAGTTTTTTTACAAAAGTTGTAGAGAATTTCAAACTCTACAATATTTCTTTAGGGTATTTTAACCGAAAACCCTCGATAAGGGAGAAATTTCGTAATAAGGCGACTTTATCACCTCGACGTGTCAATGCTAGCACAACTTCAATGTCTTGTAATTGTTTAAATATTAAAGTTGCAAAAAAAAGTCTTGAGTAAAAATTGTAGAGAATTTCAATCTCTAAAATATTTATTTAAGGTATTTTAACCGAAAACCCCGAATAAGGGGGAAATTTCGTACCAAAGCGACTTTATCACCTCGACGTGTCAATGCTAACACAACTTCAATGTCTTGTAACTGCTTAAATATTAAAAATTGCAAAAAAGTTTTTTTACAAAAGTTGTAGAGAATTTCAAACTCTACAATATTTCTTTAAGGTATTTTAACCGAAAACCCTCAATAAGGGAGAAATTCCGTACTAAAGCGACTGTACTCCCTTGACGTGTCAATGCTAGCACAACTTCAATGTCTTGTAACTCTTTAAATATTAAAGTTGCAAAAAAAAGTCTTTAATAAAAATTGTAGAGAATTTCAATCTCTAAAATATTTATTTAGGAGATTTTAACCGAAAACCCTCCATAAGGGAGAAATTCCGCAATAAAGCGACTGTACTCACCTCGACGTGCCAGTGCTTGCCCAGGGCCGTAACCACTCTTTCCTCGATGGGCCGCCTGCAGGCCCCGCATATCGGGATGCCCATTTTGTCGTGGCACCGCAAACAATACAACTCGTTCATGTCGTTTTTCGCGAATCCCGAGCGATTTCTGACTTCGCGCGCGTTGCCGTCCAGCTCCACTCCGCAAGCGGTGCAGTTGAAGTGGTAGGGGTGGTACATCTCGCCGCGGAACTTCAAAGGTTGGTCGTCGATTAATGAACTGGAAGAATTTTTTTTTTGAAAAATGCCAAATTTTTGCCGGAAATTTGGCAACGTTGTTTTTAGTTTTTAGATGTATGGCAACGTTGTAAAATGTAAAATTTGCAACGTTGTAGTTGAAAATGTGAAATTTGTTTTATGGGTCAAAATCAATGTTTTTTCATTAATATACTTTTGCATTAGGTTTAGCCCTTGAACGAAAATCTATACAAAAAAATAAAAGGAAAGAAAATTGTAGTTATTAAACTAAAATTTGGAATAAAAATAAAATAAAATTTTTCTTTTAAATTTGGTTAAGAAATTAAAGTAGGTACCTAAAACTATTAAAACTTACAATAAAATTAACTTAATATTTTTAAAATTTTAAGCTTTAAACGTCAAAACCAGTTTTTTTTCTACGTTTTAGCAAAAAACAAAAAACTAAAAGTAAGGACAATCTTAAAATTCAATAAAAAACAACAGAAATTAATTTACAAAATGTCTAAAAATTAAATAAAATAAATATTAAAATTCCTTAAATATGGGGACAAAATTTACAAAGTATGTACTAAAAGTTTTGTTTTTAATGCACAAAAATTAATATTAAAAAATTTTTAAAATTCAAGTAAAAAAACAAAATAGTTTCTTCAATTTAGTAAAAAATTACAAAAATGTCAACTGAATTTAATTTTTTTTTAATAAATACTAAAAATGGCACAAATTCTGAAAAAGTAAAAACAAAAACTAAAAATAAGAACAATTTGTTTATTTATTTTATCAAATTTGTTCTATTTGAATACTTTTTTTGACTTGTCACAAACTTTTTTTTGTAAAGTCGACCAATAAATTATTATTATTATTAGTCTAAAAATTCCATTATTTTTTTTTTAAATCAATTTAGGTAAAAACTTAAAGAATACCAAGGAATGTTAAAAATTACAAAAAGAATCAACTAAATATTTATTAATTTTTTTTTTAAATCACCAAAAAAAAATTACAAATTTATTATCAAAAATTAAATGAACTCGAAAATTAATTGTTTTTTCAATTTTAAAATTCCTTAAATTTGGGGACAAAATTAGCAAAGAATATTTTGTTTTTGTTGCACAAAAATTAATATAAGAAAAATTTAAAAATTCAATTAAAAATATATACATAATATGTAATTTTTTCCTAAATTGAAGAAACTATTATGTATATATAAATTTTCTTAAACTAAGGAAAAAATTACAGAAAGAGACAACTACATATATATTGCTTAAATTTTATTTGGGTTTCAAGGCAAAAATCTTGAAAAAAAAATAATACAAGAACTAAAAATAAATAAATAGAGAAATTTTTAATATTGAATTAGTGGAATGGAATTTATTTTACTGGAAAATAATTTAATAAACGCAAGAAAATAATAAAAAATAAATAAAAGCAATTCAGTTTTAATTAAGTAAAATTTGTTTATTTTTATAATTTCACGTTTAACGGGTGGGGCATTCCACGTTACTCGGTAATTTTTGTCCCGCCCGTCACAATTAAAAATTGTGAGTAAAAACCACAAGTTATTAAATTAATATTTTATAATATTATTTTTATTGTGCTTATAACTTATTAAAAGCATAATAAACAATATTTTAAAATAAATTTTATAACGTGTAGTTTTTACTCACAATTTTTAATTGTGACGGGCGGGACAAAAATCCCCGAGTAACGTGGAATGACCCGGGTCTAGGTATTAACAGTAATAAAAAAAATCATCAAATTTACGAAATGTCTAAAAATTAAATAAAATAAATATTAAAATTGTGTAAATACTAAAAATGTTGTTTTTAATGCACCGAACATAATATAAGAAAAATTTCAAAATTCAATTAAAAAAACAGAGAATTTATAAATTTTCTTTAATTTAGGAAAAATTACAAAAAATCTTAACTGAATATTGCTTAAATTTGATTTTTTTAATAATCCCTAAAAATTTGGTTTGTCTTAAGGCACAAATCCTGAAAAAGTAATACAAAGCCTAAGGACAATATCAAAATTCCATTTTTTTTTTTTAAGTCAAAAATACCAGGAAATGTTAAAAATTTCAAAAAGAGTCAACTGAATATTTCTTCAATTTTGGTCTTCAAAAATTTTTAAAAAACACTCATCTAGAAAAAAAATTGGTAAAAAATACCGCAGTAAACTAATTGTTTTTTAAATGTTAAAATTCCTTAAGGAAAATTTAAAAATTCAATTTAAAAACAAGAATTATAATTTTTTTTCAGTTAAGGAAATAATTACAGAAAGAGTCAACTATTTATTGCTCAAATTTTATTTGGTTTTCAAGTAAAAAATATTAAAGACATTAATATTTAAATAATGTAATGGAATTTAATTTACTGGAAAATATAATAATAAACTCAAAAAAAATATATAAAAAAATAAAATGAGCCAATATTCATTAAAATAAAAGCAATTTTATATTATCTGTTTTAATTAAGTCATTATTAATCTGTTTTAATCAAGTCATTATTATTATTATCATCATTATCTTTTTTAATCATAACAATTTGTTTTTTTATTTAACGTTTAAAAATTATTTAAAAATTTAAGTAAAAAGTTTAAAATACAAAAAACTAGATATTTCTTAAATTAAGAAAAAAATTACAAATTTAATATCAAAAATTAAATGAAAACAAAAATTAATTGTTTTTTCAATATTAAAATTCTTCCTAAATTTTGGGCAAAATTACTAATAATATTTGCATAACAATGTAATACAACGTTTTTTTAAATCCTAAACCAAAAACGTTAAAACCAGTTTTTTTCTACGTTTTAGGGTAAAACTTTTAGCAAAAAACACCAAACTTAATATGTATATTCAGTGTCAACTGAATATTGCTTAAATTTGAATTTTTTTAATAAACACTACAAATTTTGATTGCCTTAACACAAATCTTAAAAAAGTAATACCATTTCAAAATTCCATTATTTAGGTAAAAAGTTAAAAATACCAGCAAATGTTAAAAATTACAAAAAAAAAAACAATTTATAAATTTTCTTCAATTTAGGAAAAAGTAATATGTATATATTGCTCAAATTTTATTTGGTTTTTAAGGCAAAAATCTTGAAATAGAAATTACACAAGAACTAAAAATAAAAAAATTCTTAATATTGAATTAATGGAATGGAATTAATTTTACTGGAAAATAATACAATAAACGCAAAAAAAAATAATTAATTATTCATTAAAATAAATGCAATTTTATATATCTGTTTTAATCAAGTCAAATTTGTTTTTTTTTATAAAAAAAATCATAAAATATCATCTAAATTTTTAAAATAAAATTATAAAATTAAATAAATAATATTATGTACTTACTGGCACTTGTGACAAACGTATTTCCCCAATCCTTGCGCTTTAATTTTTGCATTGCACTCATGACAAAGGGCTCTACCCCCGTTCTTAATGAACCCTGTCTCAGCTAACTCCATATCACACATTTGACAGAGAAAGTGCTCGGGGTGCCAGCTAGCATTCATAGCCTTAATCACACGCCCTTAAATTAAAACATCAAGTTGAGAAATAAAATATCTATTTTCAAGTGATTTTTTTCACCTATGATAAAGCTGTTACACTTGTTGCAGCAAGGCGCAAAAAGCACCTGAAAGTCGTGTTCGCAATATTTACGCCCGTCGTACTCGTAAAAAATGCCGTTGGGGAATTCCTGAAAGCATTGGGCACATCTGAAATAAAAAGAATATCAAAAAATGTCTAACATTGTATTTTTTGTTACTTACACAAAACACTGCTGATGCCAAAGCTGCCCTGTGGAATTGACAATTTTTTCTTGGGCCCCAAACCCATCTCCACATCTGGCACAAGCCATATTATCTCTGGACATATTTGTAATCCTTTAAAATGAAAAAATAACAATAAACATAAAATTTACAACTAAAAAAACATACAGGAAAACTTACTTACCCAGTGGTTTTCTATATGAAACTAGGTTTAATTTAAGTTTGTTATCAAAAACCATACTCAAGTTATTCATAATAAAACCACAAAAATGTTTAATATAAAGAAATTAAACCATTACTAATAATTATCATACATCATAAGAAGCCAAGTATACAACAAACCAATAAAAATCGTTGTATTTGCATTATAAGAAAAATCAAGACACCCAATCAAAAAATCAACCAATCAAACATCATCAAGGTTAACTTGATTTAAGTAACTTATTGCCAATAAGGTTAGATTTTAAATTTAAATTTGTAAATTGACATACCATTTAGTGACATTTTTTTCACCAACAACCTCAGGTTTACTAATTTCAACAGGGGAATAATCAATATCTTCAAACTTTTTATAGCTACCATCATGTTGATGTTTTCTTCGTAAAAACAATTTACCATCCTTAAAATCACCCATAACAGGTACATCAGGTGATTTGTCTTTAATATTCCACATAGTTATTGTTAAAAAAATTGGTTAATTATGATGAAGTCATAAAAATTGTTTTCAAAGTTGTCATGATTTGTAATGGTTTAATTTAATCATTATATCAACAATTTTATCATTTATCAATGTTTAAACATATTTACTAGTTATTTGTTAGAAGTAGGTATTATGTGCATGGTTCGGTTTAGTTTTTGTTATTTCTACAGAATATTATTATTAATACAAGCATATATTTTTAAAGCTTTATTAGTATAGAATTTACAATGTTTAATATACAGTTAAATTGTTAGTATAGTAAAATTGTTAGTATAGTAAAATTCATATCTACCAAGTTGATAAAACTTTAGTTTAAATTAAGGTAAGTTTACTTTAAATAAAAATTAATATGTGTTAGGTATGTTTTTACTATACTATGAAAAACAGCGTTTTTATCTAATACCAACTACATTACATCAATAGGCAAGGACAGGAAGAAGCTATGAATAAATTATAATAATTTTAATTAATTAAACCCAAATGTTATGGCATCTATAAATAGAAAATGGGAAAACTGTTTCATGCTTACCCAGGCATAGGACTTGGACTTGGCGACATTATAAATACTCCTCAAAAAACCGAAAATATAGATCTATACAAGAACTGAAAAACAGTTTCACTATGTACAGCTGATTTTTGAATAGCGTATATCGCAATAATAATGTCCGATTCTTGAACAAGCTTTATACAGAACAAATGAAAGTCTACGAAGTTACTTGGTTTTTATAATGTCTCACCTAAAATTTCAACCTAATGGTATTTAAATTTTGTAATTTTGCACGGTAAATAAACTAAAACACACCCAATTATTGTGGTCACTTAACCCTACCTTTATTTTGCAACCAGATCGCCGACCAATCAAATGCGAGATGTCCATTTTGAGAACGGATGCCCTATTTAAAAAATAAGCGCCAAATTTGAAAACCTAAAAAAAAATAAACAATAAATTGCTTAGGATAGTAATATGTGTATATATTTTGTAAAATAAACATTTTTTATCAGTTTTAGTTGTTTATTATTGTTTTATTTACTTTTTAGAAATTAATTTCAAATAAACTAAACAGTTGGCAGCACTAGCTATCAAAATACAATTTAAAAATTTTAATTAAAATGCAATAAACGTTTTATTTTGAACATAGATTAATTTAATCTATGATTTTGAACGAAATTTAGTAAAGAGACATTTAATTTAATTTAATGTAACAACTGAGTCAATTAACATTGTTTTATTTCTCTTTTTCATACCTTTATAAATAAAAACATTTGATCTGTAGAATTGGCAGAACTGCCGGTGCAATTGACAGGCTAAAGTAAGGTTATATTTACATATATCAACAATTTTGAACGAAAAATAGCATTTAATCGTCGAAATGACGGCTTTTGAGGAGTTTGGATGCCTGCCCGAAATCTCCAAAGCCATAGACGAGCTGGAATGGACCTTACCTACGGACATACAGGCTGAAGGTATACCGCTAGTTTTGGGCGGTGGTGACGTATTGATGGCTGCTGAAACTGGGAGCGGTAAAACGGCGGCGTTTTGTCTGCCCATAATTCAGATTGTGTGGGAGACTTTGAAGGATATAGAGAGCGGGAAAACTGGGGGTGGTACGAGCGTTTCGCCTGCTTGGACGATGTCTATAATGGATCGGGGGAGTGCCCTGGCTGTCGCCTCAGACGGTTTGAGGGTGCAGAGCAGGGAGTTCAAGGAGTGGCATGGAGTGAGGTGCACGAGGGGGGTGAGTTAGGGGAAGGTTGTCAAAATTGCCAATTTTAAAATTATTCGTTGTCAAATCTTTAAAAAATTTGGATTTTGAATTTTAAAACTGGGGTTTAAAATTTTTCAGAAAAATTGACTTGCATTTTTTTCATTTTCATTTTAGGTATTCAAAATTCAAAAGTCAATTTTTCTGAAAATTTACAAATTTTTAAGTTATAATCATAATATTATGATTATTATAATCATAATATTATGATCTACCGGGCCGATAAAAAAACTGTATTAACTCAGTATTAACATACAAACTTTAAATTTATTTGACACTTAAAAAAAATATTATTTTGTAATTTAACTTTTTAATTGGATATTTTAAATGGATTCATTTTTGCAAAAAAGGCCCAACTGACAGTATATTTAACAATTTCGCTTATTTTCTTAAATTAATTTAATTTAATATTTAGGTTTATTTTTTTTGTAATAAAGGTTATTTTTTACAATTAATATAATGTTAAGTTGTTGATTGCTACTTTTTTCATGTGTATATTTTCCAAGAAAAAAATCAATTTTTCCCAAAAAAGCCAATTTTTCCAAGGCCTGGAAAAAACGAAAAAAAACAGTTTTTTTCCCAATAAAGGATATTTTTTTTAAATAATAATAATGTTAAGTTGTTTATTGCTACTTTTTTAAAATGTGTATATTGTCCAAAAAAATTCAATTTTTCTCATAAAAGCAAAATATTCGAAGACCCGTGAAAATACGGAAAAACAGGTTTTCCTCCAATTTTTCGTTTTTTTTCAACACAATAAAACCATAAAAATGTCAAGTCTTGTATTGTCAGGATTTATTTTTGTAAAAATAACATTTTTAAAATATTTATTGTTAGTTCAGAATATTAAAAGCACGTTGAAAGAATGTTAAAACCATGGTTCGAAAAAATCATGATTTAAAAAAAATCAAAAATCAATGATTATTATTAAAAAATTCAAAAAAATCAACAAAAAACGCATTTTTTTAATTTGGTTTTATTTTTTTTTAATTATAAGCTTTAATAATAATAATGCTTTATTGAACTAAAACCAAGTTCAAAGGCTATTGACCGTAGTCCTTCAGCCGATTATAAGCTTTTTTTAATAAAATAATACTAAAAATTACCCTACTATAATAATATTATATTGGCACTACTTTATAAACAAATGAACCACCGTCATATATTTTTTTGTATATTCCTTTATTATTTTAGCATGGGAATTTATATAAATAGTGTCAAGATATTATTGTGCTTTAGTTTTAGGGTCTTTAATCTCAAATTGACCAAGCAAAAAGGCGTATGAGACCCGTATTTTTTCTTTTTGCAAAAATTTGTTTTTTTTCAACCGTAGAAAATTTTTGAAAAAAAAACATCGATTTTTCTCTTTTTACGAGTGACATTTGTTTTTGAAAATGCGATAACTTGGACAAAAATGTTTCGATAGTTACATATTTTTTTTTAATTGTAGGTAAATGTTTACTATATACAAAAAAATATATTAAAAATTAAGTGAATTCACGCAATTTTTTCTAAATTGTTTTATTTAAAATAGGCAAAAAAAATGAAGGTCAAAATTTTGACATTGCCACATTTTTTTTTTACTTCATATTTTTTTCATTTGAAGTTAACTTTCACCAAAAGTCCCCAGTTTCTTGTGCATTCGATTAATTACCTACCTAATACTTACTTTTTATTATTTTAACGACTATTTCCCTCGTCTTAATTTCCATCAATCACAAACGCGCAATTTTGAATTACAAATGGTTTCTAGGTGAAAAAACTGTGTGACAGCACCTGTCAGCAGTTTTTTTTTTTGAGTTTACCCGCGGCAAAACTTGACAGCTGTTGTCACCAAAAATTGCAATTTATATTTTAATTGTTAACTGTTACTCATGAAATAGTCTTGTCAAATACCATTCGGACATCTAATTTTTCCTGTGAAAAAAATCGAAAAAACACAATGCTAATATTTTTTAACTAAATGCATTTGTGCATTAGTGCAAAAATCCTCCTCTTCGACTCGGATTTTTGTTGCCACCAGCACTCATGCTTCTTGTTAAAATATTACTTAGCAACGTGTTTTCTCGATTTTTTTCGGAAAAATTAGATGCCCTTATGGTATTACTTACGAAATTTAACACAGATTTACTTACATTTTCGGTGAAACTAGAGGTGGCAAAAATACGTTAAATATGTCTAAAAGTTCTAAATTACACTTTATAAAGGTCACCCCAGAAAATGGCATTTTCATTAAAAAAATATTAATTCCGAAACGACGAATTTAACCAACTCGTAACTTCAAACAAAAAAATATGAAGTAAAAAAATGTGGCAATGTCAAAATTTTGACCTATTTTTTTTCCTTTTTTAGTAAAATCAATTTAAAAAAATTAAATAAATTTGCAATTAAAAAACGATCGAAACATTTTTGGCCAAGTTATCGCATTTTCAATAAAAGCTCTAAATCTTATGAGTTTTCTTTTAGATTTTAGAAAGTTTTTTTAAAACTAATTTAAATCATCGATTAAAACAAAAAAATCACTTGATTTAAATCGTGTTAAAAACGCAAATTCAAGAATTTCATTTTAGGTTAGCACAGGGAAGTGGGGTTATGAAGCTACGGTCACCGATGAAGGTTTATGTAGAGTGGGCTGGTCGACTTTACAAGCCAACTTGGACCTCGGTACTGACAGATTTGGCTTCGGGTTTGGGGGTACAGGCAAAAAATCCAACAACAAACAGTTTGATAACTACGGCGAACCTTTCGGGAAAAGCGATGTAATAACGTGTCTGTACGATGGTGATAACGGGGAAATAAGGTTCCTAAAAAACGGTACGGACTTGGGACCGGCCTTCAAACTGAATAAACAACAACTAAACACCGCGTATTTCCCTGCTGTGGTCCTCAAAAACGCCGAAATGTCGTTTAATTTTGGTGACAAACCCTTTAAGCACAGTCTGCCCCCAAACTACAGCCCCGTGATATCCGCCCCCAAAGAAAAAGTCTCCACTAACACGAACGCCCAAAATTCTTCATCACAAACGGCGAAAATCATAAATAACGCCCCACAGGCCATAATAATAGAGCCTTCGAGGGAGTTGGCCGAACAAACGTACAACCAAATAAGGAACTTCAAAAAATTTCTGGAATCCCCGAAAATTCGCGATTTGCTTGTAATTGGGGGGGTTAACGTCAAAGAGCAGATCTCGTTTTTGCAACAAACTGGCGCTGATATCATTGTGGGAACTCCAGGTAAGATATGTTTTTTAGGAGTCCAGAAATAAAATTCCAGTAAATTTGGTAAAGTACCAAGTTTATCTTGTGTGCTACACCCCTTTCTACACCGCACTTTACCCTCTCGCTTGATAAAGTTTCATGCTAAATAAGTGTCTTCTTAACACCGCTGTGGCCCGGGTTGTTTTTTTTAGAATTGTGAGTAATTTGAATTTTAATTTCTTTATAAACATTACATTACAGTGGTTATATGTAACTAATTGTGAACAAAAAAAAATAAAAACTTGTAATCTTTACATTAATTTTGTTCAAGCTTTTAAAGTAAAAATCAGTTTTATTTTCTACATAATATATATATTATATTATATAGTATAGCTAGCTAATCAGTTTAATAACTAATTTATCAAAAAACCCTATATTATACAGAAAGTTTTAAAATTAACAAAACATGAAAATTGGTAAAATTAATGTTTTAAATAAAAAAAATATTAATAAAAAACTTTAGTTATCAATATCAATAAATTAAATTAATTAATTAATTTATGGCTGTCGAATTTAAATTTTATTTTATTTATTTTTTATTTTCTATAAAGTATTTTAGCTTTTTTATGAAAATAATAATAAAGGTTTTTTAAGTAATATTTTTTTTTAATTTTCTTAAATACGTTATAAATTGCTGTAAGCTTTTAAAGTAGAAATCAGTTTCATGTTCTACATAAATTTAATTCTCCAGTAGATATAATTCATATTATGGGGTTTAAAGAGGAGAAATGTACTAAAAATTGAAATATGCGAAATAGTGCAATATTTTTCTTTATAAAAGTTTTTTGGTCCTGTGAAAATAATATTTAATATATATTTATTTAGGTTTACATATTACTTTACTTTACTAAATTTACTATAGTATAACTAGCTTAGCTAATCAGTTTATTAACTAATTTATCAAAAAACCCTATATTTCTATAGAGAGTTTAAAAATTAAAAAAACATCAAAATTGGTAAAATTAATGTTTTAAATAAAAAAATATATTAATGAAAAATGTTAGTTATGAATATCAATAGGTAAGTTAAATTAATTAATTTATTGCTGTCAAATTAAAATTTTATTTCATTTATTTTGTATTTTCTATAAATTGTTACGTATTTTAGGTTTTTTTATGAAAATAAAAATATTAAAAGTTTTTTAAGTATTAATTTCTTTTTAAAAAATTTATAAATTGCTGCAAACTTATGAATATCAATAAGTTGAATTAATTAATTTATTGCTGTCAAATTAAAATTTTATTTCATTTATTTTGTATTTTCTATAAATTGTTACGTATTTTAGGTTTTTTTTATGAAAATAAAAATATTAATAAAAGTTTTTTAAGTATTAAATTCTTTTTAAAAAATTTATAAATTGCTGCAAACTTTTAAAAGTAGAAATCAGTTTAATTTAACATTTAACATTTCACAGAATTTATTTAATTTTTTAAGCAAAATTGGATACAAATTCTTTGATCCATTTCTTTTAACGAACGAAAAATCGCCGAGCTGATAAAACACGCCTAACTAACCTTAGCGGCTGCCACAGATAAAGTAAACAATGAAAACAGCTAAAATTTTTATCATACTTCGGGGGCATGTATACCAACATAATAAAGAAAATTTTATGACCGGACCCTCCAAACCCGCGAAATTGAACAATTCCCGTTATTTTCTGAACACACCTCGTATATTTAATTATCCAGTAGATACAATCCATATTATGGGGTTTAAAAGAGGAGAAATGTACTAAAAACTGAAATATGCGAAATAGTGCAATATTTTTCTTTATAAAAGTTTTTTGGTTCTGTGAAAATAATATTTATTTTTTATTTATTTATTTACGTTTATATATTACTAATAGTAATTTACTATAGTATAGCTAGCTACAGTTTTTTAACTAATTTATCAAAAAAAAACCTATATAGGTTTTTTTGATAAAAAAAAAATAATTAAACATGAAATATGGCAAAAATATAAACGAAAAATTTTAGATATCAATATCATATAATTTATTTTAATTAATTTATCACTGTTGAATTACAATTTTATTTTATTTATTTTTTATTTTCTATAAATTGGTAACTATTTTCGGATTTTTATGAAAATAAAAATAATAATAAAAGTTTTTTAAGTATTAAAAAAATATATTTTTTTTTAATTTTCTTTAAGTAATTTATAAATTGCTGGATAAGACTTAAAACTTAAAACAAAAATATCGGAAAAATGTAGGAAAAAAATATATAACATGACAAAAATATCAAAAAATATGTAACATGACAAAAATGTCAAAAATTCCCAATTTAAAATGTCAAAAACAACAATTTTAGGTCGTCTGGAGGACTTGATCCAAGGCGGCTATCTCTCCCTGGCCAACTGCCGTTTTTTCGTCCTGGACGAGGCAGACGGCCTGCTGAAGCAAGGCTACACCGATTTCATAGAAAGGCTGCACAGGCAGATGCCCAAAATTACGGCGGACGGGAAAAGGCTGCAGATGATCGTTTGCAGTGCGACGTTGCACGCTTTCGAGGTGAAAAAAATGGCGGAAAAGCTCATGCATTTTCCCACTTGGGTGGACTTGAAGGGGGAGGACGCAGTTCCGGAGACTGTACATCATGTTGTTGTAAAGGTAAGCGACGACAGAATATAGTTTTTTCCGGAAAAATTTTCAGAAAAATTGACTTGCATTTTTTTAATTTAATTAAAAGGGTAATATGAAAAAAATGCAAGTTAATTTTTCTAAAAATTTCCGACGCTGATTATAGTTTTTTTTTGTAATAAGGGATATTTTTCAAATGTATATTTTCCAAAAAAAAATTAAATTTTTCCCAAAAAAGAAAAAACTAGTTTTCCACCAATTTAAAATTATAAAATTTAAGAAGGTATTATACTATTTTTACAAGATAATATATTATATTCGTCGGTTATTTTCTAATTTTCAAATCATAGAAATCTTCTTCAATACAATTGTATTGTAAATTAAATTATTTTACCACCTAAAAAGTATACTTACCAAATTTAATAGTTTTCTCACCTAAAACAAGAAAAAACTTTACCTATTTGGGTAAAGTTCATTTTTTTTATCTGGACTGCGGCAACGTTGCAAATTTAGGGTTTTGGTTGGTAAATACAGTTGTCAAGTTGGTCGCATTGATTAAAACAACTAAGCTAGTTATAAATCTAATTGTGGTTATCACATACTTCCACACATATACCGCTTATTGCCTAAATTTTGTATAGATGACCTTGTTCCCGTTTCTAAGGGGAAATTTGTTCTCGTAGTGTGCCATTTTCCTTTATGCGCATAGTCAGTTCATAAGTGGGGGATTTAAAATATATGATACCATAGACATCACATAACATTAGATAGAGAAATTAATACGTCCACTTATGACGAATTGTCACTAGTAATACCACTAGAGGTCAAATTATTAATTTGACCTCGTGTGGTATTCGGTAAGAAAATTCCACACCAAATTGTGTTTAAATAACTAAAATTTATTTTTTGATTTAACTTGACCTCGACTTGATTATTTAGTTACCATGGCAACTAAGTCAACCCCAACCTAAAAGTTATTTTAGTTTTGAAGCTGTCAAGCGGCACGACGTAAAAAAATGTGAAATTGTCTGCTGTAATGATCAATCATCGTGCAATGACTTATTTACCCGCATTATTAGAGGATTGTGGCTCCTACTTGAAGAAAGAAAATTTATTTTGAATTGTTCACGAATATTTGCATATGCATAAGTGCTAAATGGAAAAAAAGGTGAATAGAATAGTGTCTAAATATTATATATATTTCATTAGACATAGACATTTAATTTATTTCAAGTCATGCATTTTCGCCATTAAGTAGAAAGGAGGTGTCCAACGAATATAGAAAACATCTAAACTTTGTAATGGAAATGTATCAAAATTATCATGTAAACAAATAAAAACCAGATTGTCAAAAAAATATTCTGTCATTATAAACGTCAAAAAAATTTCCAGTATAATTCGCTGTTGGGTACCCACGAGGAAAAAATTTCCACTAAAATTCAACCGTTGCCATGGTGATCTATCAAAAATACACGTTTTGATTGGTTAAAAATTACAGGTGTGGAATTTTCAACTAAATAAAATTTAGGTTATATAAAATTTTTCTAAATTATTTGGTTCCATAGCATTTTTGTGATTTGGCTTTATAAAAAGTAAAAAGTGGCATAATATGCATATTATGTAAAATCCACTAAAATCTCGTAAAACAATGGAAAAATACAATGCCAAAACAATTGGTATACAACAGAAAACAAACAAAATTGATAATTATAATAACCATCTACATATTTATATGTCTATCATAAAAATCTTTTGGCTATGATACGATAATTGTGATCAAAATACGATGTTGCCAAATTCTTGCTTTTATAAAAATGCCATTATAAAATCTAAAATATCATCATTTTGTGAGTTTATTATTGTTAAATGCTTTTTTTCATACAATTTATATCCAATTTATTAAAAAGTATTTATTATACTTCTTAAATAGGGACAAAAATATGTTAGATTTATGGCCTCAGCGTACTTAAACACTATTTGGCCAGCACATTATTTTTTTAATTTTCTTCACTGATCAAGGGTCTCATTTAAGAGAGTCTGAGTTTAACTCACCCCTTGAATCATTTATCTACTGGTTAATTCAATTTTTTATATCACCATGTTAAATTTTCTTTAACCATGCACCACATGGCTATATGCACAGGATTTCTTCAAATATTTCAATCTTAATTCATCCCTTTCTTTCTTCGAATATTTTCATATAATTATATATTTCTGATTAGTAGTTATTAGTGTATTTCTACCCTGGCAATCCGATCTCGTCCCTCCTGGGTCGCACTTATATTTCAATTACTTTTTCATAGAGCAATCTTGTTTGCAGGTCGACCCGCAGCAGGATAAATCGTGGATAACGCTGCGCCGGCGCATCCCGACAGACGGCGTGCACGCGCAAGACAACGTAAAACCCGGAATGAACACTCCGGAAGCGCTAAGCGAAGCCGTTAAACTGCTAAAGGGCGAGTACTGCGTCAGAGCCATAGACGAGCACAAATGGAGCGCGCCATCATCTTCTGTCGCACCAAGAACGACTGCGACAACCTGGAAAAGCACCTGAAGCAGCTGGACGCGAAGAACTACTCGTGCGTGTGCCTGCACGGCGACCGGAAGCCGCACGAGCGCAAGGCCAACTTGGAGACCTTCAAAGCGCAGGGCGCCAAGTTTTTGATCTGCACCGACGTCGCCGCGCGCGGGCTCGACATCACAGGTACGGTTGCAACTTTTCATGAAAACTTGAAATTTTTGAAAAGTTGCGTTTTATTTTTCGGAAAAGTTCGGAAAAGTTGGTAAAGATGGAAAAGTTGAGTTTTTTGTAATGTAATATAATAAATAATATATTTCTTATGTATTTATACATACGTAACCAAATAACAAAATAAAATTAACAGACAACATAATAACAACAAAAATAAACTAGGTTTGAATTAAAAAAATCATATTTTTTAAGTAAAAAAGAATAGAAATTTATACACACCATAAAAAACACATACGAAATAAAAAATATGAAGCAAAAATTATTAAATTTATTGTTGTTAAAAATTATGGAAATTTACAAGTAAAAATTTAAAAAGAAAAAGAAAAGAAAACTTTATTCTTTTCCACTTTTATATTTTCACTTGCAAATTTCCATAATTAAAAAAAAATAATATTTTTTTCATACTGTGTATAAATTTTAAATACGTTATAATAAAAGAATCTTTATATAATAGAAAATGCTGTTAGCAGACACCATTTTTGATAAAGTTTGACAAAATGTTATTCCAAAAAACAATGCTTTTAGCATGTTTTACTAAAAACACTTCTAATCTACCGATTTATATCGAATTTTGACCAAATTATCTACCAAAAAAAATGTATGGTAGTGGAAACACTGGTTAGAAGTCAACTCATTGTTCATTGGCTCCCACCTAATAACTTTTCTAACTTTTCATAGGGGGTGCCGAACTTTTCCAACTTTTCCAACTTTTCGACCGAACTTTTCCTTGTTTGCAACACTAATCACAGGTAGGGTTGGGACAGTTGAAATTTTCAAATGAAAATTTCAACTTTGAAAGTTTCAAACTCGAAATATTTCATTTAGTTGAAAAAGTGAAATTTTAAAAAATTTCAAATGAAACTTTCAATGCGAAAATTTCAACATTGCCCGTGAAACTTTCAGAAGTTTCATTGAAAGTTTTGCAATTTACTGAAAATTTCGCATAAATTTCACACGCGGCCTCCCCTGGGACCTTTAATAATAATTTACAGCAGATTCCGAATCGACCAATAAGAACGAGTTATCAAGCGTCTGGGCGTTTTTGTTTAGTTCGGCTTGGATTTGAATACACTATAAGTAATTATTGTTACTTATATGCAGAAATAAATTTAAATAATTTATTTCAGTTACCAATTTAATTTGTAAATTAAATCAGACTTTACAATTTTTTTAAAAGTATTGATTAATTTAAACTTTTACTTTTGCTATAATTGCATCGGAAAACGGATAAAAAATGCCTTTGGCTCAATTTTCGTAAAATTTCAGTAAAATATTTAAAAATAATAAATATATATAAATATAAAACAATGAAAGTTTCACAATCTCATTAGCTTACAAAATGGTACGACACAAACTAAAACACAAACAAAACAAGTTAACGCAACACAAAAACAATAATAAACAAACAGAACAGGTTAACACAACGCAATAACAATAATTTGAACACTGAAAAGTAATTCGAACCTTACCGAAAGCAAAAACAACAAGTTAAACAAAAAATAGAGCAAGTTAACACCCAACAGCATCGCAAAAACAAGAATTTTAGCAGCAGATAATTAAAAAGCACGTTAAAGATTTAAAAACACTCATCAAGTGACATATTTAAGCCCCGCCCAACATGCGCACCGTCCTTTCTTAAGGTGTATGTATCTTGGTGGGATTGTAAAGCAGTTAGAGGAGGGGAAGTAAAACATTGGCGGACGTTTAATTGTTTTGATTTAATCGTTTTAAAATCTTGTACTGCACGCTTATGGCAGAGGGGAAATAAGTATTTTGTTATCCTATTCGTTCAACAATGGTTGTTTTTCTCTCTTATTTATACGTTTATCTCACTTATTCGTACGTTTCATATAGCATGCATCTTTGTTTATTAAACGGCCTAAGAGCCCATTAAAGTTTCAATAAATTTCATAAATTTCATGAAATTTCAGAAATTTAGGACATTTTAATAAATGTCATAAATGTCATGAAAATTTCAAGTGAAATTTCAAGTACAAGCAAAAAGTGAAATTTTCCCGACCCCAATCACAGGGTTGCCGTTCGCGATCAACTTCACCCTGCCGGACGAGAAATCCAACTACGTGCATCGGGTGGGCAGGGTGGGCAGGGCGGAGCGCATGGGGCTGGCCATAAGTCTGGTGAGCACGGTGCCCGAAAAGGTGTGGTACCACGGCGAGTGGTGCCGCAGCAGGGGGCGCAGCTGCAGGAACACCAACCTGACGGACGTCAAGGGCTGCTGCGTGTGGTACAACGAGCCGCAGCTTCTGGCAGACGTGGAGGACCACTTGAACGTGACCATTCAACAGGTGGGGGCGGATGTCAAGGTGCCGCGCGACGAGTTCGACGGTAGGGTTGTGTACGGGCAGGCGAGGAAGGCGCAGGGCGTTGTTTACGAGAACCACACCAAGCAGATGGCGCCCATCGTCAAGGATCTCTCCAGGTTGGAGAGCCAGGCGCAGTTGTTGTATTTGAATAGGCATTTGACCAAGTTGGCTGGATAAATAAATGATTTTTTGGCAATCGTGTTTTCTTTCTGTACATTCCCGATGTGAACCTGCATTTTGTTGGTAATTTTAGACAGTTACAATACGCTTTTGTATGGCAAGCCGTTTTAGTTTTTATTACACACGGCTATCAAGTCTCATTTTAATTCGACTTTATTTCTATGAGACATTAGATAATTGAAATTATATGAATTTTCCTTAAGGGAAATTACATTTTAATTACAAATTATAAATGAAATTCCTTTTTTAATAAGCATTGAAATTTTGGGTACATTAAATTGAAAAGATTAGATGTAGAGGATGATTTACATTCGAAATTGTAATAAAAATACTAAAACAGTTCATTTTTATTTGAAATAATAATAAAAATTATTTTTATGACAAATAGTAATTTTAATGCAATTTTCGTTAAGGAAAGTAGTTTTTAATATAATTAAGAATTTAAATGCATTTCCGTTAACGGAAATGCAATTTCCCTTAAGGAAAATATCATTTCTGTTAAGAGAAATTGTATTTCCCTTAACGGAAATAGCATTTACGTTAAGCACATATGTGACGTTAAGGGAAATTGGCGCCATCTATGAGAGGACGGCTGAAGTTCAAATAGTTAATTTTATTAAAATTTATAATATGAAATTATTGCACTGTGATTTTACAAAAGATTTATTAGTAAAAACAATTTTTTTGATTGTTACCTTTTTAACCTTTTTTACCAACCTTTTTAACCAACCAACCACACATCCACCCACAAAATATCACCCACCAGTGTTGCCAGATGTAAAAAGTGAAATTATCGAACAATATTGACAAAATTAATTATTGAATTTTCAGAAAATTGTTACAAAATTTTTATTGATAATGTAATAAAAATAGTATGGGTACTACTCGAGAAAACGAAACTCTCCGAATCGAATCGCAATGACACCGATCGAGTTTGGAATCGCATCATTCGAATCGAATTTTGTGTGGCAACGCCGCATGTGTAAGGTGTGTTTTGACGTTTTTAATAAAGGTTATTAAAACGAAAAGAAGTAGTAAATAGCAAACTGTAGTAGTAATATTATTAATTATTGTTAATTGTGTCATATTTGTTGCATGTTGCATTCAAACAAAATGAAAGATTCTGGCATCCCAACCAAAGTTGGCAGAACTCTGTAAGCGGTGGAACCTTCGGCACCTTCACCACAGATAGCGCCACCAATTTCTCTTAAGGATAATGTAATTTCTGTTAAGGGAAATAGCATTTCCGTTAAGGGAAATAACATTTTCGTTAAGGGAATTGTAATTTCCTTTAACGGAAATAGAACTTTATTTTTGTTTAGTTAAAAATAAAAGTAATTCGGGCTATTTTTTGTACACATGATCATCAAGTCTCATTTTAATTCGATGTTATTTTCTGATTCTCTAAATATTGTTAGACTCTATATATTGCGGTTCTAAATTTTATTCGGGAACAACATTTCAATGAGTATTTTAAATTAAAATGTTTTTAATTTTTATGTCATTTAGGAAAATATAAAACTATATCTTTAAGGACAAATGCATTTATATTCGTAATAGTAATTTTAATTCGTTTTATTTTAAATACTTAGCCTGGTCTAACATAAATAAAATGTAACATTGTATCCAAGTCAGAAGCTACTTAAATAAAATTGAATTAAAATAAAATCCTTTTAATGTGTCATAAAATTGCTCCAAAAAACTAAAACAGTAAAAATAATTTGCATTAAAATTATAATTAGTAAATTTATAAATTAATTTAATAAAATTTCTGTTAATGAAAATTGCTTTCACGTTAAGGACAATATTTAAAAAACCAATGGAAATAAATACAACAAATGCATTATTTTTACCATTTGTAAAGAAAATATGCATTCAATTTTGAAATTATAATAAAAATGTAATTTCCCTTAAGGAAAATACATATAATTTCAATTATCTAATGTCTCATAGAAATCAAGTCGAATTAAAATGAGACATGATAGCCATGTGTAATAAAAACTAAAACGGCTTGCCATACTTTTGGTCATTTAATATAGCACATTTATTTATATGTTTGCTAGTTTAAACAGTTTACGAATTCGAAAAAACGGCAAAGAAAAGTTGGTCTTGGAATATCAAAAGGATTTATTTACCTTCACCCTTTGGAACGTCAATTTCAGAAATTTACTTAAGAGACCCTTAAAGCCTATTTAGCTTTATGGTGGTATATTGGTATTAAGGGTTCTTAAAAAGTATGTTTTATGGAAGCAGTTAAATCCAAATTTCCGTAGGAAACTGTCCCAAGACTATTTGAGTACTTTTTACAGCCAAATTGCTGTTATATTACTTATTAGTATATTGTTATATTGCTTGATGCTAATTTTGTTATATATTACAATAGTTTCACAATGTTACTTTGTTGTTACCTTGCTTATTGGTAATTTTGTTACATTACAATAGTATCGCAATACTATAGAAGGTGCAAAGTTTTAGTGGTAAAAATAAGTCTACTCTAAACATATGCTTAGAATGTTAAGAAAGTAATTGCTATAGAAAGTTCATTTAGGAATATTCCTGTTAAGGATATTTAGTTCAGTTACCTATATAATAGTAAAATATACCATGGTATGTATAAACTACGTATAAAGGTATACTTATACCCATACTTAAGTATCTAATTAGCAATTAGTATTAAAAAACACAATCCAAAATATTTTTTAATAGTTATTTTTCAAATTAAAACAATATTCGATAACAAAAATACTTTTACTATAGGTATTTTATTTTATGTTAAAAATAAATATTTATTAATTTGTATACCGATTTTTTATTTCTGAATCAACATTTTTTTGTATAATAATCCTAACTATCTTCAACTTCAATCTAATCTGACTTATCCCACAAAATTTTCCAATTTTACTTTTTATGAAATAATGGTTATGGTTTAGAGGTCAAATTGTTTATTTAATATTTTTAAATAAATATATTATAATATGTCGCAAAATTTTTTAAGGGGGCGACAAATACATTTCACTGTCATATTATGATATTACTCACTATAGTGAGGCGTATTTGTCGTTTCCTATTATAATAGTTATTTACGATATAAGTGGGATAAGAGCTTTATTAACGTACGCATGCGAAATTTGCCCAACGAGTGCGTAGCACGAGTTGGGCAATCGCAAAAGTACGTTAATAAAGCGTTATCACACGTATATTGTACAAATTTTTATCTACGCCTCTAAATGAAAAAATAAACGGTAATTGAATAGGTCAATGCAGAAACTGAATATGTCCACTTTTTAGGGATATTGAGTTAAACATGGATTTACTATAAGTAAAGGGTTCCCGAACGAATGGCGTAGAAATTTCACATGTCACGGTAATCTAGATTATACAAAGGCGTTAATATAGTAGATCAACTGAATATGTCCAGAACATGTCCACTTTCTGTTCAGGTTTTCTTATTTATCTCAAAACTAGATAGGTAGGACATATTCAGTTTCTGCATTGACGTATTCAATTATTTTTGTCTAAGACTTAATTTAGGGTTATTTTGACATTTTGACTTTTTTATTTGATTGGTTAAAAGAAGAGAAAAACGCGTGCGTTAATGAACTTCTTATCTCACTCAAAATGAGTGGGATAAGAAGTTCTTATCTCACTGGCGTAGATAAAGAATTTTATCTACTCCTACATTGACGAGCTGTGACTTTATGGCGTTTTATTGACGGGCTGAAGTTAACAACAGTGGCTTTTCGACATTTTACGTCACGGGCTGAAGTTAGCTTTATTATAAATTGGGAAAAAGTGAGGTTAAATTCGGGTGACAGTTGACAGATGTCAATTTTTAACAAATAAAATTGGCTTTAAATTCTGTTTTGTGTTCGTCGTAGATAAAGTATAGTATGCAACTCGTTTATAAACTTCTCTAGACACTCGTTTTTATTAAACACTCGCTCGCAAGCTTCGCTCCTGCTTAATTAAACTCGTAACTAAAATGGCGTTTATAAAACTTGATACATAATATACTATTACGAATGTAGAATACAACATATTAGAACGCGTGGGTATCTGACATATTTGGGAATATTCTCAAAAGCTTCCTAGAAGCTCCATAAGAAACCTTCTAAGAACATTCCAAAAACGTATTCTTAAAATGTTCTTGGGATGCTTTTTAAGAAGCTTTTAAGACTCTAATCATCATTAGAAGGGTATCTATTGAATGTTTTAAAAGTCCCTAAGAACATTCGTAGCAATAAGGGAAGCCTCTAAGAATATTCCATTATTCCGGGTCATATCTTCTTAGAAGATTCTTAAAATCAAATTTTGCTATCATGCTTCTTAACACGTTGATGGACACAGACAAATTTTTGGCGGGACCTGCTGCGTCACTTGAATAATTCATAAACCTTTTATCCTATCATCAAAAAATTTTACCGGTAACTTGATGATGCCTTTAGGGCTGTATATGGCCTTTAAAAAAGTTTGACGGCTATAGCCGTCATGCCCCACTATGAGATTTTTTTCAAAAAAAAAAGGTGTGGTGGGTCATGACGGTCATAACCGTCCATGTTTTTTTCATTTCTACTTATCCATTATGGTAGTATAAAGTCACTGGTGAACAAATTATACTTTAATAATGACAAAAAGTCTAGATTCAAATTTAAATATTTATTTTTAATCTTAACAGTCTATATATATCTATAAAATAATTTATAAGTTATAAAATACCTATAAATAATATAAAATTTATTTTATAAAAAGAAATTGCGTTTTTAGGACGAGAAAAAACATTTTAACGATAAAAATATAGTTATAGAAGTTATATAGTGATAAAAAATAATATAATTGTTCAAAAACTTATACTTACTAGCTTTGTTACATCAAAATTTTACTCCACCTTACAACAATCAAATTTTTACTCCACCTAACAAAAATCGGTCACAAAAACGGCCGAATTTTAGGTTTAAAATTTAAAAAATTAATTTGCAACCAACTACATTCTGCAACCAAAAATACATGACGTCTCATGGGACACATATGTCAGAGCTTCCTATGGATCTCATTATTAATGCGCCTGCATATGCAGGCTTGTCATAAATCAGCTAGAAAATTGCGACTGCTATAGCCGTCGTGTCATATTGGGCCCGACGGCATTTGCAGTTCTGTCCATGAACGTGTTAAAAATAGCTTATGTTAATTATAATTAATTAAGCATTTTTAACAACAAATGGGTCTCCATAAAATATTAAAGTATTTACTCGAGAGATAATAGTTTTAATATTATTCTAAACCAAAGCAATATTGTATATACTACGGCAAAAATGTTTTAAAAGAATACGCTTACATGCTAACTAGCTTTATCGACCTATTCGTCTAAGGACACCTTAAAGCTCACTTAACTACCATTTAGCTTTATAGAGGTGTCAGAGGAGGATTTATGAAATCTGTGACAACCTCATTAAAGCAATTATAATAAATCCTTTAGGTTTTATTATCGTTACAAAAATAGGCCTTGAAGGCATTAAAAGGACTTCCTTTTTGGTTCTAGCAATAATATTATTTATTACACCTAGGTTTTATATAAAACCCAATATTATAATATATTATTTAATTGATTTATTATAATTACTTACCTACGATAATTTCTTTTGGAAATAAATAAAAAAAACACCTTTAATTTATAATTTATTAAGTTATTTGCCCTTAAATCATATTATAATATAAACTAAATATAAATATAAATCATATTATAATATAAACTATAAACTATAGTTTCAGTTGTTTTCCAATACAATACATAACGTTATGCCAAGAGTCCACACCATATAAAATATATTTAAATACAGAATCGCACGCGCTTTTTGGTGAAGTACTTCGGTCAGCTTCACTTATGTAGCCTGCCAATGAATTAGTTGTGTATGTTGTTTTTCCAAAATGATGGGTTGAGCAGTCTATAGCTGCAGAATTCACAGTTAAAGAGTTAATTCTCCCTTGGTCAATAGACTTGCGTGCTTTTTCTACGGTATCTATACAAATCCTACAAAATGTATTATAATATTTTAATATTTTCCTAAAACTAATAATAAAGTTGTCTACGTATAGAAAACTTTATTATTAGTTTTAGGAAAAAAAAATATTTATATATTTAAAAAAAGTTTTTACTTTCTAAAAAAACAATATTAAAATATTAAAACTTGAAATAACATGTACAAAGTGGCATAAAGCAGGAAAACTTATGGTTGTCTCATGAGAGAATAATTTTTATTTAAGAGCAAAATAAAAAAAGGAAACCTATTTTTAGTCAAATGATCCGAATCTGCAATAAAAAATTCCATTGGAAATTTTAAAGTTATATTCATTATTGTTTTTGTAAATAAATACTAAATAATTTCAGATTATTCAGATATAGTTAAATTTAGTATAAAAAATAAACTTACTGCTTTTCTTCCTCCCAGGTGTACGCCTGAATAAAATCTAAAATGTAATTATTGTTTCAATAATAATAATAATAATGTAATATAATAAAAAAACTTACCAGTAATGACGAGTGCTACAATAGCAAACAAAATATATTTTGGAAACATGTTTAGTTAAGAACAGTACAGTATGAAAAATTATCTCTACCTTTTATACTTTAATTTTTACCAATTAAAATTAAATACCTCGATAAAATGCAGTTATGTTTTGTTTTATCTTAATATTAAAAAAATTGCAATGCAATGCTAGCAATGCAATTAACACAAGTTATTTAAGTTTCATTAGGTTGGTAAAAAAATTTTTTTTATAAACATCAATTAAAATATATTTTTAATTTGCTATATTAAAAATATCATTGGAGAAATTTTTAAATAAATTAAAAATATCATATCTCCTATAGAATAAATAAGCAGATTTTTTAATTGAATGGGTTATTTTTAATTTAGATGGAAAGTTTGGTCACCCCTGGCATTCCAAACTAATTCTGTCGCTAGATGGCAGCACAATCACTGGAGTTTGTTGTTGAGTGGCGTTTGTAATAACAGGGGTATCCGAACTCTCGGAATTAAAAATATCACATTCAATTAAAAATACCTACCTGCATTTAAAAAAAAAATAAGAATTGGTGTGATATTTTTAATACATTTAAAAATTTCTCTTATGATATTTTTAATTTATCGAATTAAAATGTGTTTAACTAAAAAATACAAATACAATTCACTTAATTAAAAATTTGGCATACAAATAAAATCAACTTTTAATTCAGCAAATTAAAAAAATGTGTTAAAAGAAAAAACAATTAAAAGAAGTAAATATTTTAAATTAAATATATTAAACATATCAGTTTGGCATAAGATGGAAAATAAGATCTAATTTTTAAAATATATGCATAAACAAAAAATATCACATGAACATGTTTTATCTGCGAATTAAAAATATCATAGCAGATATTAAAAAATAAAATTTAATTTTTATGCCAATATATTTTATAAAATGTTTTTTAGTTTATCAAAAATTAATTTTTTCAAAAAAATATATGCAGCTTCGACACCTTGTATTTCTGAAACTATTGAGTTTTCGGTATATGTTTATTAAGAAAATTAATATTATTTTAATGTTTTTTATTATTTATTGATCAAGTTATTAAAGGTTCCTTTCGGACCACCCTGTATGTACATAATATTATAGTATGCCCTGCGCATTCACCATTTTTTCAAATATAGTAGATTACCTATGTCATAAGGAGTAGAAGTGACTCTTTTTGTGGTGAGTACAGAGATTGACGGCCGAAGCGTAGCTGAGGCAGGCAACTGTACGAAGCACAAAAAGAGCTTCTACTCCAAATAACATACAATTTTTTTTTCAAGGGCGTAATATAAATAGGATAAGCAATAGAATTATTTTATTTACTTATAACTCATGTGGTATAAAATGTTGGCTAAAAGCATTAGAAATTATTGATAAAAACTAAAAAACTTATAACCCTTACTTGCAATGCCGATATAAATATCCTAAACTAAAAATAAACACTGCTGTCAAAATGCTGCGCTTGAATTAATTTTGACGTACTGACATTTGTTTGGAGTTCCGACATTGGCGACTCGTCTATCATCATAATATTATACTAATTAACTAGTTGTTCTTTATTTCGTTCAATTAAAATTTAATAAATAATCACTAAATATTCCGTGCGATTATAATTAATATAATTAATACATCGTGATTGCTTTCTATGAAATGCTAAATTAATTTGATTATTTGACGTCTATTGAGACACCTATGAATTTACTTCTATCCCTAGGCTTTTTTGAGTTTTTTGTCTGCCGCTAATGAAAAAGACGCACTTCAACTATCTCTATACAGGCATATAAGATTGTATACCATGGCCGCTTGAAAAAAAAATGTTTTATCCGAAATCGGCAGTAAAGTAGTCAATAATCGGCAGTAAAATAAAATAAATCGGCAGTAAAGGAGAACTTTATTGCCGATTTAATACGAGTATTGTAGGCAACCCATTATACATTTTAAGATGTGTCTACTGCTCTTCCGTCGCGGAGGTCGATTAGACCTTTCCATGAAATGTTGTTTAATAAAAATAAAAAGTTAATTTTATTAATTAGATTAAAAAATCGCCGCGGCAGGCAAATATATAATAACCGTCGCAACAAACAGTATACGTAGACACTTCCTACATTCAAATGACATTTGATTTAATCATCAATATTAATTATTAGTATTATTTAATGTGATTTCGAATAAAATTTAATATGCACCTCGGCATTAAAGTCATTTTTTATCACTCACGTGGTTATTTGCCCATTCGTGATAAAAAATACGACTTTACTGCCTTGATACATAAATAACTATTATTTGATAATAAAAAGGACTACTTTTGCAAAAAAAATAAAAGTTCTCAATTGTATTAAGATCCGGTAAACAAGAAGGCCACTCTAAAACAATCACACTTTCCATTTCCAAACAATTTTTGGCAACTCTGCTCTACCTAAAGGTATGCAACTCAAATAGCACAGATCTGTCAATGGTCTCACATGATCAACAACTATCAAAGCAGAAAACTCAACATAACCTCAAAACAATTGACATTGAAACAATAACAAGTCCATGATTTTGAAAAACTTCATTGTCTCCACGTTATTGTTAGGGTTAGTAAACAACAACTCGTGTCACAAAAATTCGTGACGTTAAACTAAAAAGAAAAATTGCAGATTTGGGCGTAGATTCGGCTCTGCGAACATGTCGGGCGAAATGTGCTCCTCGAACAACTCCTACGTCCCTGGGACCCACTCAGTGGCTTACGTCACCACCCCCAGCGAGGAGGTCGCCAAAAAATTGGCCCACGGTTTGGTATCGCAAAAATTGGCGGCCTGCGTGAATTTAATCCCCAAAATTACCTCCATTTACGAATGGGACGGAAAAATAAACGAAGATTCTGAAGTTATGATGATGATTAAGACCAGGTCATGCAAAATTAACGAGTTAACGCAGTACGTTAAGTCCAATCACCCGTATACCGTTTGTGAAGTCATCAGCTTACCCATACAGAACGGGAATGACCCGTATTTGAAATGGATTAGTGACATTGTACCTTCCTCTTAATCTCTCATAATTTATATTTATATTTAAGTTCATAAATAATAAAAATATGCAACTATTGTTTGGTAATTTTATCTATTTTGGATGTCATATGGAGAAAGTTAACCATTATTAGTGAATAATTAAAAACTGCATACCTATAGGCTAAAGAAGTATCGCTAGTAGCGCCACCACTCGGCTGTTATCATCAAAAGCGTATGATACAAACTAGTGTTTTTGAGAATAAAGCCGGAAAATGTTAAAAGAGGAAATCCTTTGTTGAGTTTTTATCGGTTTTCCAATAAACAGTGTTAATCCGAATAAAGAAATAAATTTCATACAGTCCCTGTAAATATAAATTGTATCTATTAGATACAATAAATGGACATTTTAGTAATGATTAACGTGAAAAGTGTAAACATTTCAATTCAGTAAAAATCGTCAAACAAATAAGTCGTCTAAATTTAAACAGCATTTAGCATTATTAAAAGCGTTGATTAAGAATTCTTTAAAGTCTCCACTCAACGGTAAAATACCATTATATTATGTTTTATATATAATATTATGTTGCCATGAATTCGTAGGTATATTTTGTTGTTTAAAATGCAGTTGTCGGTGTTTTTTAGAGAACTCAAATATAAAAATGGTTGATTTTAAGGTTATGTTTGTGCAAAAAATATATTTTACTAATTTCTTAAAAATGTCTAAACTTAAATATAAATTATATTAGGTAAAGTTATCATTAGTTAATTCTGCACCAACAAATGTACTTACCGAATTGGATCCTTTGGGATAACATGAAAATGCAACGATTTAGTTCTTGAATTTGATTTACAATTGAAAACACAATAATTCACCATGATCCCTTAGATAAAATACACACACTAACGTAACCATATAAGCATTTAAGCGTTAAATTTCTTAATCAATGATATAAGGAATAATCAATCGAAATCAAGTACTAAAAAAGTTTTTTTAATTTTTTCCTTGCAACGTAAAACACAAATAACGTGCGCGATTTAGCTGTGCAATTGAACAAAATTTGTCGAGTAAGACTTCTGCCTTCCTCTCTTTTGTGAAAAAACTACCTATTTATTTAAAAATGATGTACAGTTCGTAGTTTAAATGTATTGTTGACAATTCTTAAATTCCTATAAAAACGAGTTTTCTATTATAATGATGTATTAAGTACTTGACATACTTTTGCATTTGTAATACACCCGTAATCCAAATCTAATCCAAATCAGAAATCGTGATATAGAAAAACTTAAAATTGACTGTCCCAGAAGTCAGTTACAACCTTACTTAGTTTCCATGAAAATTAATTTATTAGAGCTTAACTTGATTTTTTAATTAAATAACCTTAAGTACACACATTAACAAGAATATAAATTAGTAAAACGTAATAAAAAATGTACCAGCTATAGCTTAATTCAAGGTTGTAATATGCAATTATTTAAATCTTTAAGGTGTTTATTTTAGTTAAAAAATATTAATTTGTGGTTAAATTGTATGTTAGCAAACACGGTGTTTAATTTACCATGGTTCATAGGTAAGTAGACAAATTAAAAAACAAGTATTTCTTAATTATGAAAAAAAGTGTGTGTTTTTTGATAAATGGGTCGTTTTAAAAAAACACCCGCCTTCCGCTGCCCGTAAGTTTGAATTCCAATAACTTTGTTAAAAATTATCGGATCTTATTGATTTAAAAACCAAGTGAAAGCCTAACAAGCCCTTAGTAAACTCTTTCAGAAAATGTTTGTTTAGTTATTTCAAAATAATTTTTTTTTATTTTGAAACTTGTGAAACACACATTTTCGCATGTCCCATTAGCGTTTTATAAAACTTACATACATGTTTTTTTTTTAAATATTGAATAACCAGAACTTTGTGTTGCTTTATAGCAATCCATAACATCCTTAGTTAATACAGTAAACAATTTATATATAAATTAATTAATTTTAATCTACTTTTTTAAATTTGACTTCCCAGAAATTTTTTCCGTTGCGTTACGTCCGTCGCGTTACCGATAGAATATTAAAAAAAACACATATATGGCAACTTTTTTGGCACTCACGTGATCAACAAATGATGTTCGGACGTACACATTATCCAGATGAATTTATTATTCAATCAGGAAGAAGATATCGGTTGAAACAGGTGCGGGTAACGCGAATGTAATAATTGTTTGTCCGCTAAGTTACTCAAAAAAATAATAAAAATAAGGTAAGAAAAAATACTATTTTTCATGTTTATGTTTATTTTAGGGCACTAAAGCTCATTGAGAGTAATTAATGACTGTAATGTCTTATTATTATTTTTTAAATATGGTTTCACAAAACTTTGTCCACTGCGTTACCGAGTCCATTGCTTTACCTTAGGGTAACGCAATGGAATTTAGGGTAACGCAATAGAATTTTTTGACAACAAAGTGGATATTTACCGTCGCTTTTATTAAAAGTAGTTTATAATAAATCAATTTAAAATTATTTGTGATTACAACTCATGATATAGATTACATCCAAGGGAAAATTCCACGCAATATACAAGTACTAAAAGGGACCTTCACCAGCTTATAGTCAAAGAAAAAGGGTGTCTATAATTTAGAAATCTAAGTTGTTATTCTGTAAGGGATTTTGTTTATGCATTACTCTAAAATCGTACCACCCTATATAGTTTCTTTTTTACGTTATCTGATTAAGTCCTTTGTGTACCCTAGTCCGTTTTGATACCAATGTCTATTTCGTTACTTTTTTTAGTTTTTGTTAAAAAAAATCCCTAAAATGATTTTACTATTACTTGGTAATACCTGTTTATAAATTAGAGTTTAACTACAGTGACTAAAAGAAAATATTAATGGTATTGTTTTTTTAACAAAGAATCGGAATGGTGTCTTTTAAAAAGTAACTTAACTAAACTAACATAAATATTTAAAAAAGGCATACAATTTTTAATAAAAAATAAAATAAAAAATTGGAGTAAAAAGTTTGTAAACTGAGTACATTTTATTTCAAAATATTTTTATAACAACTTTTTTTATTGAATTAAATTTTGGATTTCAAATTGGTAACACAGTGGAGATATATAAAGCTAGCTAAACACATTTTTCTGAAAAAAACGTAAAAAAAATTAAAAAGTGCACTGCCTGCCTTAAATGTAAGTAAACAAAACTCTAAACATTTATAAAAATCCAATCAAAAGTCAATTTAAGCAAAAAAAAATTTTGATCTTCATTTTCCTGAAAGCGGGTCTTCAAAATGACCCAAATACAATTTATAGGTAGATAATTTTGACTTTTGACAAAAAAAAATTGTTCGGATTTAGTTTTTTCTTTTAGGTAACTTGGTCAAATATGCCAGAAATGCCCAGAATGATGAAGAAAGTGCTTTATGTGCATAAAAATAAAGGGTTTTAAATAAAAAATAAACAAATTTTTAACATGACCGTCGCATAATTTTTTTTTTTCATGTGATTTCACACATTTTTATTTGCTCAAAAAGTATTCCTATGTTGTGAATTTTAGGTTAGAGTTTCCACCGGTAAACAACCGGCAACAAAAAAACATATCGTGCAATTTATAACTAACATACGACGGTCATGTGAAACAGGAGTTTTAAAACCAAAATTAAAAAATAAATTCATACGATATTGAACTTTTGGTACTATAAATCAATAAAAAATATGCCTGTCTAGTAAAATGTAAAAAAAATTAATATAAAGGTTTTAGTTTTAATACCCCAGGGACATGGTATCTTAAAAGTATACAAAAGCACATATGAGGTTTCAATTTTAAAGACCATTTAAATATTTAAACATAGATACTTGAATTTGCACGTAATTTTTTTAGCCCCCCTGGATTATTTTTTGCCGGCGCCCATGCACGCAGGAAAATTATATAAAAATACTTCTTATTAACTTAATTGAAAATTTTTTTTTACTCTCACAGTAATATGTTAATAGCTAATAAATTTCCCGTGGTAATCGATCCCTTTTGGGTTAATTTAGTAATGGTTTTTTTTTGTTCGGTAATATAAAAGCAATTTGTCAGGAAGGAAGAATGTGTCAATATTAGTCCACTCAAGGATATTTGATGTTATGTAGCGTGGAAAATGCTGTATTTACCAAAGTTTTTTATTATTTTTTTATTTTTTGGCACATAAAACATTGTTTTATTTAACCAAATGTCCCCCGATGGTGTTACCCCGTGATAATTAATAAAACTAAATGAGTTTGACCTACACTTTTATTGTGTTTTGATCTTTCATAATTAAGTAGATATTACAGCTCAGGTTCCAGATTTTAACCGCAATTAATTATTTTTTACAATGCTTTAAAAGTCTAAAACCTATCCTCCGTGACTGTTACTCTTTCTAGGTTAACCTATATGTTTTCAAATATCTGAGGTAGTAAAAGCATACTAAAAATATCAGTTCACTAAGTAAATTAAACACATCCAAAGCAATCGAATCAAATATTAAATATTATTAAAAATTAAAAGAAATAATTTTTACAACCATTTACCTATGTAGGTGTTCCAAAAATTGATTCTATCCTCCGTGAATCTGTTTTTGCTTTAAATTTTATGCAACGAATGGCGCTTTAATCATTTTAAATAAGCAAAAACCTCTGTTTACGACATTATAGATGCATGTGATTCCTGAAGGTCAGTTAGAATTTATATGCAGATGAGAGTGTTGCTGTTTTATAATTCAAAAGTTTAAGTTCATTAATTTGCTATTTAAAAACCTATCCACCGTGAAGTGTAATATCTCAGTTAGTAGATTTTTTTATAAATATCTTATGTATGTACAATTGTATTTTTTAAAAATATTAAGGTGTCAAAAGATACAATAACTTATTTCAAATATACAAAGGGATGTTTTAAAAAAACATACGATATATTAACCTTCGTGAAGCTCTAATATTCAAAATGTATGATTTCTTAAAATTCTTGCATTAGTGCAGAACCACTTATGTTATGTTATTACTAGACCTGGTGGCTTCTCAAAAACCCCATTCTAGACTAACAGTGAAACAACCAAAAATAAAAAATAATCATTTTCACTTGGGGGACATCTCAATATATTCACTCGTATGTAAATGTATACTCGGCGATAATATGTGCTTTCTCCTCCGGGTTTTATATACCTACTATTTTTTTCAAGCATTGGAATATTCATTTGAGATTTTGAAACATCAATCATCATTTTGTGTTGTATACTATAATAGTAGTACTGATAATTATATTGTACCAAATTTCTTTATGATTTCAGAATGGTGTGTTATTATAGGTAATTGTGTTCATTTATGTAGATGTGTGGTCTGGTAAAATTCTGATATAAACTGATAGCATATTTTGATTATAGACCCTTTTGGTAACACTAACATGTATTTATCAAAATCCCAGCTGATCCTATTTTAAAGTTTTGAAAACTTTTTTGATTTTCTATTTCTATATATTATTTTGCAATTATTGTACTAAAACTACCTGTACAATTTTAATAAAATTAAGCAAAATAATAAACCTTGTATCATTTAAATTACTTTACTCCCCAGTATTAATTTATTGAGTCACCTAATATTTTTTACCACTCAAAACAAAACATAACAAAAAAAACGAAGATTTATATCTTTATAACAAAAAATACTGGGAGTTTGTCTATGAAATAATTACAACTTGCAAATTTTGTAAAACAATAATTAAGGTGGTTATGAAAAAAATTGCCTTACGTTATAACGCAAGTGACATTTTGCTTTAGTTGTTTATTTAATGTATAATTTATAAAGTTAAAAATAGTATTTTAAAATTAAAATTAAACCGAAATTCAAGTTAAGCTATGAAGAAAATTGTATGTGCTGGCTGTGGAGACAAAATTGTTTTTGGTAATCGAAAAATTCAGAGTTTAGGGTTTCTGAGAAAATATAAAAATTACTGCAGACTTTTTCAAACGAACAGTTCAACTTAAGTGATTCAAAATTACCTACTTCAATATGGTAAAAACGGTATTTTTGCATAGCCACAATTGCCAAATTTTCAAAATTTAGAAATTGCTAGAGAATTTCGCGGCAGCCAAGAATGTATGTGCTTTATCTGCAAAATGGCAAGATATAAAGGGCATAAAAAATTATTAAGGGAAGAGGACCGACGAACGAACTAAAGTTTTGATATACACTGAAAGAAATATATACTAAAGTTAAATAAAAAAATAATTAGGGCAAATATATTTTATGTTTCATATATGGACTACCACATACATTGCTAAAACAAATATATTCGTTTGGTTAGCAGCCTATTGCTGCCCTAGCAATATAAATGTGTTTCTAGCAATATTTTTTTGCTGTAATTCACTTATAGTTTACATTTTATAGTAAGGGTAAGTTTATTTTTATTTAGATCTAACATATCTTCTTTACAATAAATGTATTACAAAATTTAACATACATTCATAATAAACAGTAGTATAAATGTGTAAAGCACTAGTATAAAATTTTTAGTATAAATTTGTATTTACTTTTAGCAACAAATTTCTTTCAGTGTACTCTTCCTTTCTAGGGGATATCGGTAGAAGTAAGAAGCATGTTTGTACAGAGACTGAAGAATTTAAAAATACTGTTTCCATGTTTAAAACAATTCCATGTAAAACCCAAGAAAAAGTTTTACTGAAAATTTAAGGCAAGCAGTAATCGATTTTGCTTCAAAGAATCTTTAGTTATTTATTAGTTTTGTATTAGGTACCTTAAAACAATAAATAAGATATTGCGAACTGTATTTTACATTATTTTGTATTTATAATGTAATTTATCCATATTTCAGTCATGTATCTGCCAAATTTTTAAAAACATTTGATAATGGTACTAGAGTATTTTATCGAATACATTTTTGTGTTACCAAAAGAGTCTATAATCAAAATATGCTATCAGTTTTGGTTGGCATTTTTGTCCGTCCTATACTTTGGTTTTGGCCACCGTGTTGCCTGCCACTGATAATCGTCTATTGTAATAATAAACAATAGCTTTATGTGCAAAATAGAAGGTGTGTACCCAAATCGATATGAAAATATATTAATTAAGTTACCATGCGTTCGAGATAAATTAGGGGGGGTCGGGGGCAAGTATCGGGACATAAAACAGAATGAGAAGCGACTTGGTCAACACACAACTCGTACGGCACAAGCCAAGAGTGCCTCGACCAAGTAAAGTCTTCTATAGTTCGTCTTACACCGGTCGTGAACGGTAAGTTCAATGTTTTATAAATAAAAGAATGAGTGTTTTTGTCTAAACCGGTTTATAAGCCCTTTGGAAAATAAATAAAGTTTACAGAATGTCTGTACAAAAGCTCACCACATAGATATTTCTTAGACCAAAATAAGTAGATTTAAATTTTCCTAAATGTTTTCACCCCGCTATAACTTTGGGTTCTGTATGTAAACAGCATAATTAATAATATCTAATCATGTCAGGGTTCTAAATAAAAAAATACCCGTTTAATTGGCAGCAATGAATATTAATGAATTATTTTTCCATTATTATATTACCTTAATTAATTTATAAGTAATCCACTCTATTTCCAATAGGGTGTTTCACATTCGTAGTCCATTATCATCATAAATCAATCATAAATAACCTATAACTTTTTTATTATTAGGTTTGCGAATATGGGGGTGAAATTTTTGGATTCTTAAAACATTGTTTAAAAGATTTCATGTCAATTTTTTACCAATTACCAATTACCTGAGATAACCCAGGGCAAATTAGCTTGTTTTAATATATTAAGATTTTAATAATGATTGGATTGGAACTATAGTTCGATTTTATAAAGTTGAAAAAGTCCTTTTTTTACAAAAATCGAGGTAGAAAATTTACATATCTTTCTGGGAAAGATAGCAATCGTAAAGATAAGTCCAGTTTGATTTATTTTACGTATATATTATACTTAAAGGAAAAAAATAAGCTGCTGTTGATAAAAATCCATGGATAAATGGCGAAGTTATGAATTTTTCAGTGGAAGAGCAAAATTCAGTTTATCGAGAATTTTTACGTTTTTTCTTCATTTTATTGAATAATATAAAATTTAATATTAAACAATAAATATTGAACATTGAAGATATTGAAAGTTTTATTTTGTTTTAATAAGCATAGGTTTAAAAAAATTCTGGCTCCTTCTCTGTTTTTTGTTGCTTTCGTATTCCGTTTCTCGTATGAGGGACCAAATATAATCACCCATCATGGCTGCATCCCAGAAACGTTCTCCGTTTTCGGTGAAAAAAGTACGTAAAAAACTCAAAAGATTCCAATTATGCACTTTACTTAGGTTTTCACTAAAGAATAAACATATTAGAAAATAAAAGAACAAAATAAAATAAAAATCGTCAAAAAGTTGAATTTTGGTCTTCCACTAAAAAATTCATAACTTCGCCATTTTTCCATGTATTTTTACCAACATTAGCTTGTTTATTTTGTAAAAATGTCAACTTCACGAAAAAAAAAATCAAACCAGCGTTATCTGTTTGATTTAAACCCTTCCCAGGACGATATGTAAATTTTGGACCTCAATTTTTGCCATAAAAATGAATTTTTTAAGTTATTAAAATCGCTAGCGTCAAAATACTTATTTAAAGAAAGTTTGATGGGACATGGTGGGCAGATTTTTTTTCGACTTTGTAAACTAGTGTTATTTAACGAAACGCATCCAGAATAGCCTCCTATTTGCTTGCCAGGGGACTGTAAGTAAAATAGAAGCAAAATATCGCAAATTTGGCCACGTAAAAAATGTTAATTTTCCCAAAGGTCTCGGGTTTGTAACGTACCTAATTAACACATTTTAATGCTAAAAGCAGCTTTACCTAATTCAATTAGTTTTTTAAAATATTTGTTAAAAACATTATGCATGATTATAAATATATATTCGATATTTGTTTTATATATGTTTATACATATACATCTATGTAAATAAAAGTGAAAGCTCTATTGTTGTCAAAAATTTATAACATTCAATGCAAGGATAAAACATGCAATAGATAATTATTTAAACTTGCATTTAATTGATAGGTCAGTGAACCAAACGGTGAAAATTGATATTCGTGACAACAAATTAAATTTGTATATGTAAATGATGTTTTTTAGAAAATAACTGTGGTTGAAAATATATTGCAAATATAACATCAATTCTAATTTTAAAAATCCGTTAATTTTGAATTATTCCAAATTAAAAACCTGATTTTATTTCTTAACTTTTTTTGCAAGTTTCTGTGAAATATTTATTTAGATTTTATTATTTAATATTTGCTAAGTTATGAAATAAATATGCAAAAAACTTTAAATCAATAATACCTAGATTTCTTTTTTGTAAAAAATGTTTTGAAATATTTTAATCAATTAATTTATTAAATACATTAAATTTTTTTAGTATGCGAAGTGGATACTATAGCTTACTAATTTTTTATGCTGCGTACTTTGGTTTGTATAAGGGGAACAGTGACAATTAAAATGCAAAACTCACCTACAAATGCAGCATAGAATGCTTTGTTAGCAAACTTTCTACTAAAACAGCAGTAGGTACTTAATTCGCTTTTTTGCAATAAGTTATTTGGTATAAAATGGACATGTTTAGGTATAAGTGAGAATGTGAAATATCGATGAAATTCAACAAATATTTATTTAGAAGTTTCCCTTATTTGTAAGTAAGTCACCTTTATAACTATACATTTTTTTATTCCTATATACATATTTGAATTGATTTTTATGATAAGATCAAAACTTTTTAAAATTTTAGACAATTTTTCAATCATCATTTATAAGTTTATACCTAATTGAAATAAATATTTATTATTGAAGTAAATATACAGGGTTCTGTAAATATGTAGTAGGTTTTGGAAAGACCATTTTCACCCTGTAATTTTAGAATCAAAACTATATTTATATAAGTAGTTTGTAACTATAACAAACAATTTGTAGATTTAATCCTATATCAATAATTATTCAACCATAATTCTTGTAATTTTCAAAAGGTATCTTATTTTTGCAAAACTTCTTGTAGAGTCTACAATAAAAATAAATATTGCTTTATTAATCAATTTCCCAAACAAAAAAATTAACACATACCTACATAAATGAACAAAACAATAATTTACACACAATTTAATAACACACCATTCTGAAATAATAAAATTATAAAGAAATTTATAATTTTTAATTATAAGGAATCCGAATAACAATAATTTCTGATAATATACAGGGTGAGTCATTTAACTTGAAACTTTGAAATATCTTAGTATGCGTTTTACGAAAAAATGTTTAAATTTAAATAAAAATTAAATGATTTGAGGGGGGAAATCAATCAGTACTAAACTTGGTCCTCATACTCTCCTCCTTATAGGGGAAACAGGGGGTAACTTTAAAATTTACAATGGAACACCCTTTTTTTTATTGCAAATTCGGATCATTAGACTAAAAATAGGTAGATTTGGTCTTAAACATTTTTTCATAGTTGTAAAAAAAATCAATTTTGTTTGATTTTTCTTCTTATACGATTCTGCAATAATTTTTCTATAAAAATATCAAGTGCTCTTTTTGGTAATAATTATCTAAATTAAATCTGATTTTTTTAAGTACCCACGATTTTTTAACTAATATTTTAGTTTCCTTTGGTTTAAGTTTTATACATTATTTCATTCGGTGATAATTATCAATTGCGCACCATGGTCACTTTTTACCTGCCAGCATTAAATCCTTTAATTTAAAGGATTATTGTACTATTTTTATATACAAAAAAAAAGTTTATATAAAAAAAACTATATAAACTATTTTTAATAAAAATACCTTATTTAAGGTAAAAAAAAAACATTATTTTGTCAATTAATTAATTTAATCCTAATTGAGGTATGAAAAAATGGTATTTAGTTATAAATAATAATTATTTTTGAGGTATAAAGAAACAATTTATAGTATAGCAATATTTAATCAATTTAGTTCGGAGATTAATTAGCAAACAAAAAGACCTCCCGGATAAAATTCGATCACGCACTTCATTTCACCGTACAGTCAAGCAGTTTACTACAAACGGGAGTGTTCAACCGCAAAAAAGAGTTCGTCGAGCAAATATTTAATATTGTTACTTTTGCTACTTAATTAAAATTAAAAAAAATAAGTATTTTATTCAAAAATTATTGAAGAATCGTATACAGAAGAAAAATCAAACAAAATTGAAATGTGAAAAAAATGTTTTTAGACAAAATCTACCTATTTTTAGTCGAATGATCCGAATCTGCAATAAAAAATAGGGTGTTCCATTGGAAATTTTAACAAAAAAAATATATTACTCAATACGGACCCTCCACAAAAATTCAACACCCTGTGTAATAAAATTGTCTATGAGTTTTGTCACAACATGCCAAAGTAAGGCGTTTTGGATACTTTAGCGCTAAATAGAATGGTATTTTTGTAAATATTTTTGATTTTCAGAAAATGACTTTAAAAATATACACATTATTTGTGTGTATATTAGCAGTGACCGCCTACAGACTCCCTAACAATGTGATACCGGAAAATTACAATTTAGAAATCCTTTGCCATCTAGGCGAAAAGGACAATTTTGGATTTGATGGCCATGTGAAAATACAGGTACTTAAAACAATTCTTTTATCTTTATCTACACTGTGTAAATTTTAGATAGTAAAAAAATATAGTAAAATTTTTAGGGTAATAATATTATATATTCGTCAATACAATATTAAGATTGTACTACAAAATAACTACTATTTTTTATTATACAATTTTAGTAAAGATTACAACACCAATATTACTAAATCATAAATGTAAAATATATATTTTAATTTTTAATATGTTCGTATAGTAAATTGATTTTACTATCTACAAATAGGAATATTTACTATATGTTTTAATCAAATGTAAGGTGTACATCTAATATTATAATATATTTCACATTAATAAAAAATATAGTAAAAATAAAGATACTTTTATGTTTAAGGTAAATAAACAACATATTTAAATATAATATACAATATAGTAATTCATGGCATTTTAAATATTCAATTTTCTTAGTTTCTTCAATAAACTTTCTTGACCCATTACTGGTAATACTTATAAGAAAGAATTGAACCTACTTGGTTGCACAGTATGTACCGATTGCGGCAAAGGCCACGTCGTGACGCGTCGTTAGACGTGATGTTCTTACATCTCGCCTCTGTTGGCTTACCAACCATGTTATATAAGCTCAGGTATTTCTTTGTTTTGGGTGTGTCGACACTGATGATACCCAATATAGGTCAAAACACCTGTCTGTCGGTATTTAAAGTTGATGGAACCCACAAAAGCTTTGGCGAGGTGTAGGTTCAATTCTTTCTCATAACATTTTTGTATATTAAAAAGTACAATAAATATGTTATTTTTAATTGTTAACATATGAAAATATTCGATTTTAAAATATTTTATATTTAAAATGGCAACATAATATTTTAAAATTTACTATACTTATTAGTAATAGAAAAAATCTAATTATAATAAGAATTAAAAACAAAATTGTTGAGAGTAATAATATTTTACCTTAAGGTTTAACATACATGGATATTTAAAAATTACTAAATATGCATAGTATCTGGCAATATACAAGATAGTTGTCCCAAATAGTAATATAAATTATAGTAAAGGGTATTATAATTATGGTGATCAGCGTTACCCAAGTAGCACAACTGGTTAAATTAACGTTAACTTGTTATTTTCAAAATAACTAAACTAAAATAAATACATTTGGTAAAATGCAACTTGTTGGTTAAAACATAATATTATAGTCAAATTAACCAAAACTGTGGTTAACTTACCAAAAGGTTCAATTTATAGTTAAAATGAACCAAAATATAACAAGAAAATTAACTACTCTTTACCAGTTTTATTGGTTCAAATTTAAAGTTAATATAACGTTATATAACTTCTAAAATAACCTACTTATTAACTAAGGTAAATTAAGGTTTTTTTTTAAGTTACAATTAACTAAAAATTAACCATTTATTTAACTTGGAAGTATTGTTTCACTCATCAGTTAGTTTTAAAGTTAAATTATAGTAAAAAATAACTTTTAAATTAACTCTTAAGTAATAGCAACTAGTTGGTTAATTTAAAGGTTTTTTTTTTAGTTTATAATAACCGTAAAAAAACTAATTGGATAATTCAACTAATTGGTTAAAAAACGTCATTTAACTTAGATTTCGGTTAATTTACTTATAATACTAGTTATTTAACCGTTTGTGCTACTTGGGTATACTTTTCTCTCCGTGAATAACAATATTTAATACTGATTAATTCTAGACCCACTGCGTCAAACCCACAGACAACATAACCCTCCACACGAAGAACCTTACAATCCACGAAAACAACGTCAGCGTTCGAGACGTCTCGAGCAACGATCACAAACAAATCAAAATAAAAAAAGTCGACTTCGATGTCGACAACGACTTCATCGTCATCAACCTATCGCAACCACTGGTGGAAGACCACAGTTACCTGGTGGAAATCAAGTTCAACGGGACCCTGAACGACGAGCTGGCCGGGTTCTACAGAAGCAGCTACGTCGACCAGAAGACCAAGGAAAAAAAATGGGTGGGGGTCACGCAATTCGAGGCCACCAGCGCCAGAATGGCCTTCCCGTGTTTCGATGAGCCGGAAATGAAGGCCACCTTCGACATCAGCATCGGGAGGAAGGACGGTTTAAGCGCCATCAGTAACATGCCGCTTAGAGAAACAGTTCCTGTGTAGGTTTGATTGAAATAGCTCTTTAAAAATCATTAAAAGCTCATTCACATCCACTTAATACGCGTAACTTAACTTAACGTACGTGAGAGACGTAAGTTGAAATACATTGAAACCAATGCAGCTGTTTACATTCGTAGAAAACTTATCACACGTAAGTTAACGTAACCAACTTAAGGGAATACGTTTTTTACGTGAGCCAATCAAGTGCCCATTAAAACGATATAGCGCTATCTTGTTGTTTCACTTTTATATATAGATAGGCAACCCAGTCTACATCGATGTCTACATTGCGCGTGCTTGTATATTACGTTCTTTGCGTGTATTAAGTTAATGTAAACAGACAACTTAACAGACGTAGGTTTCTTAAGTTGAGTTAAGTTAAGTTACGCATATTAAGTGGATGTGAATGAGCTTTAAGTACTCCAGCTTAGTTTAACTAATTTTGGGCCGCTGATTTCAAAAATGTCATTAGTTTTTCTCTAGGACGTCTAGGATTTAAAATAATTTCGTAATAAAATGCTCTGTTCAATCACCTCAAAATGTAAGTTTTTTGTTAGTATTTTGATTATTTATTAAATTATTTTGGCTTAAGTTTACCTTGAATGTACTAAAGTAAATGGTATACGGCAAATAGATCATATTTATCTTAACAATATGAAATTTTAAATACTATAACTAAAATTTTAATGTATTTTATGTAAAAAACAACCATTATTTGACATTTTTTGTCGTTTAAGCCCTCAAAATTTAATGCATCGCATAATTTTGCTTTTTTCTACCTTAAACTTATTAAATCGTATCAAATATCAAATTGAATTATAGAATTATTGTGCTTAATCCTCATCATCGTCGTACATCTTTTGCTGCAAATTTCAGCATATGTCTCCTAGCAATGAATCCAACTTCTTTCCGCTACACCCATAGATATCTACCAATGCTCTAGATTTGCAGTTATTTGGTGAAATCGTTCTCCATGTTCATCAGTTCGGCAAATTTATCAGGATGAAAAAAAAAAGTATTTTAAATGACATATTAACGCAATGAATTGGCGCCAATTTTAGGCCCGATACGAACCAAGAACACTGCCATATGCGACAAGCTCGTCAACTTTGAGAGCATTTTTGAATGCTTGATCTTTCATTAAACGTCGTATATCAGGTCCATTTAATATTCCTGCAAAATTAAAGAAGTAGGTATATCTCATAAAATTTTGTAATGAAATATTGCGTTGGTTTTTCTTGGGCGTAAAGGTACCGCAACAAAAACAAAACAAATTTACAACGACGACATAAATGTTCGTCTCCTTTCTCTTTCTCTGCCACTTCCATTTCGACTTCTATTTCTGCTCTTTTTTCATTTTTGGTTCTTAAAATCACTTTCAAGTAAAAATACAATTTAAAGTTTAAATTTTAAATGTCAATAATTAATAGATGCACTTTATTGTGCTTGAACGATAAAGTAGATAAAGGCGCCTTTATACTTCAATTCGATATTAAATTTTGATAAGACTTAATAATAAGATTCGAGATTAAATTTTAGGGTACTTTAGGCATGATGTGAATAAAAACATATCAAATAATAGTCGAAGAGTAATGCTTATAGCGAAACCCATTTACTTTGTTGCCTTTTCAATTTAATTAATAAAGCACTTCTCTGCAGAAAAGTGCTTTATTAAATATCCCTGGAGCAAAACGAGTGGCATTTTTGAAATCAGCAGCCCAAAATTAGGTAATATAGGTGGGCGTACTCAATGTTAGTAAATCGAACTATCATAGTGTAATTATTGTATCTATGTATATTTTTTAACTTGTAGTAAAGAAAAAGAAGGCTGGTTTTGGGATAGATTCGATACATCAGTACCAATGTCGACATATCTGGTAGCTTTCTTGGTATCAGACTTTGCTTACAAAACTGGCGAACCCATTCAGGGGAGCAATGTCACCTTCAAAATATGGGCTAGAAAAGACGCTATCGATCAAGTAAGACCCCACTATTTTTGTAATTTAATATAGGTAACTCATTATATTTGTTTTTAGGTTGAATTTTCCAAGGAAACTGGTCCGAAGGCTTTGGAATACTACGAGAAATTCTTCAACATAAAATACCCTCTCCCGAAACAAGACATGGTGGCCATTTCCGATTTCAGCGCCGGTGCTATGGAGAATTGGGGGTTGATCACCTACAGGGAAGCCTTACTGCTGTACGACCCCAAGGTAACCTCAAAAAGCAGTCAGCACCGCATCGCGAGCGTTATTGCTCACGAGTTGGCCCATCAATGGTTCGGAAATTTGGTCACCATGAGATGGTGGACTGATTTATGGTTGAACGAAGGTTTTGCCACTTACATGGCTGCCGTTTGCGTCGATCATTTGTACCCTCAATGGAACTCTTTGGAGGAGGAGTCGGCTAGCAACATGTTAAGCGTGTTTTCACTGGATTCCCTGAGGAGTTCTCACCCAGTATCAGTCCCCATTGAAAACCCGAAGGAGATAGACGAGATTTTCGATACTATATCGTACAAGAAAGGTTCTTCCTTGATCAGGATGATGATGATGTTTCTGGGCGATGAAGTTTTGAGAGTGGGGGTCAGCAACTACCTCAAAAAGCACGAATACGGTAACGCACAGCAAGACGACCTCTGGCAATCGTTGACAGATGAGGCCCACAAACAAGGCGCTCTAGCGAAGAATTTAACAGTAAAAGAGATCATGGATACTTGGACATTACAAACCGGCTACCCTGTTATCAACGTTGCCAGAGACTACCCTACAAAATCAGCTAGGATAACTCAAAAACGATTTTTACGCGATGTTGAGAGCCCAGCAGAGAAGACAAAGCCTTGTTGGTGGGTACCTCTGACATACTCCTCTGCAAGTGTACCCCACTTCAACGAGAGTGTACCGAAACATTGGCTATCCTGCCCGCTTGAAGAAGCGAACCTGAAAAACCTCGCGGGTGAAGATGAATGGGTGATCTTCAACAACCGACTAGGCGGAATATACAGAACGAACTACGACGAAAAGAACTGGAATTTACTTGTGAAAGAACTGCAAACCAACTCTGAAACAAAAATACCCATCGCCAATAAGGTACAACTGCTGAGCGATGCAGGCGATTTGGCCTACATCGGGGACCTAAAATACAACATCTTCTTCGACTTAGTCAAATACTTGCATAAAGAGCAAGATTATCTGCCGTGGAAGACGGCTCTGGGCAAAATCGGGAAAATCGATTCGTTCCTGGAGAAAAAACCGATTTACGGCGAGTTCAAAGAGTACATGAAGCAACTGTTACAACCGATGTACTCGAAGATGGGAGGTTTTAAAGTAGCAAAAGCCAAATCCGACTTGCTACAACAAATCAAGCTGCAAACTTTGATTACAAGCCGGTCCTGCCGATTCGAAGTCGACGATTGTGTTAAAGAAGCCAAGGAGCAGTTTGAAAACTGGATGAAAGTTGCTGACAAGGAAAATCCGTAAGTACTACATACAGCATGAGTCTTTTAACTTGAGGGACTTTAAAAACATTCAATAGATACCCTTTTAATGATGCAATAAGATTCTTAGAAGCTTCTTAAAACCTTCCTAAAAAGAATTCTAAGAATATTTTAAGAATACGTTTTTGGAATGTTCTTAGAAGGTTTATTATGGAGCTTCTAGGAAGCTTTTGAAAATATTTCCAAATATGTCAGATACCCACGTTCTAATATGTTGGATTCTACATTAGTAAAATTCTTCAGGAGGCGACAAATACGCCTCACTGTCATAATATGACAGTGAAATGTATTTGTCGTCCCCTTAAAAAATTTTGCGACATAATATACCTATATATTTATTTAAAAATATTAAATAAACAATTTGACCTCTAAACCATAAGTTGTATGACATTATTTCATAAAAAGTAAAATTGGAAAGTTTTGTGGGATAAGTCAGATTAGATTGAAATTGAAGATAGTTAGGATTATTATACATAAAAATGTTAATTCAGAAATAAAAAATCGGTATACAAATTAATAAATATTTATTTTTAACATAAAATAAAATATAAAAAAACAAAATATTACTTTATAAAATAATTCTTCATAAAAGAAAAAACCAAATAGTTCTTCATAAAAAAACTTTTTTCATTTTATTTAAGTTGAATAGAAGATTTTATGTAAAAGCCGGATAATTTATATACCTGTTATCGAATATTGTTTTAATTTGACAAATAACTATAAAAAAATATTTTGGGTTGTGTTTTTACTTAGTATTTAATACTAAGTATAGGTACCTTTATACGTAGATTATGGTATATTTTACTATTATATAGGTACCTAACTGAACTGAATATGCTTAACAGCAGTGCCGGCGTGAGGCATGTGCAAACGGTGCGGTTGCACCCGGCCCCGCGTTTTATAGGCCCCGCGCGCATCAAGGCGTCTTAACGAAATTATTGTACATTATAGCAACATGGCAAGCTGTAAGCACAGCATGACAAAATATTATCTGGTCATTGCCAGAGATAATATCTTTAGTAAGTATCGTTATCTATTATCATTCAGTTCATTGTTGCTAAATGTGTATTAGAAGTTGCCTGTATCCGTTATTATTACGCCGGAAAAAGAGTTTTTCAAAATTAAAATTAATAAATAAATATTTAAGATCAACAAGGTATGTGCCAAGAACGACTAGTGGGTTTGGCTACATTGTCAATAGAGGATGTTGGAAAAGAGCTTCCGCTAAAGCAGGGAAAAATTATGTGTGATTTTTTCTTAAACGTTAATTTCTATATTGATTGAAGGGAAAAGCTGAACCACCCAAGTGCATTTTTAAGTCAAAATTTTCTACTATCCGGTAACACGCTTAAAAAATTTTGACTTAAAAATGCGGTTTTAGCTCTAATCCCTTTAATTGGTTTTTGTTTGATGTTTTATTGGTTTATTAATTTTCAAGATTAAATTCTTAGTTCAAGCCCCGCATTTTTCTTTTGCACCTGGCCTCTAATAAGCTAACGCCGGCCCTGCTTAACAGAATGTTCCAGGAATATTCCTAAATGAACTTTCTATAGCAATTACTTTCTTAACATTCTAAGCATATATGTTTAGAGTGGATTAATTTTTACTACTAAACTTTGCACCTTCTAAGAACCTGCTTATAGGCCAGTGAGAATATTCTTAGGATTATGCTATATTTCTTTTAAGCATATTCTTTAAAAGAAATATAGCATATGCTTCCAGTGAGAATATTCTTAGGATCATATGATCCTAAGAATATTCTCACTGGAAGGTTTAAAAAACATTCTTAGAACATGACTAGAAGAAATATATATATAATAATAATAATAATACTTTAATAATAATACTTTATTGGTGTCATTACAAAAAAATATGTTTACACAGGTCAATATAAGAACCTGCCTATTATAGGCCAGTGAGAATATTCTTAGGATTATGCTATATTTCTTTTAAGCATGTTCTTTAGAAGAAATATAGCATGATCCTAAGAATATTCCCACTGGAAGGTTTAAAAAACATTCTTAGAATAAACTGTGCCATCAGGGACTGTCGCTCGACGAACTCTTTTTTTCGGTTGAACACTCCCGTTTGTAGTAAACTGCTTGACTGTACGGTGAAATGAAGTACGTGATCGAATTTTATCCGGAAAACGCTGAGCGTAGATATTAACAGCATCATCAAGATTCCTGCCTGCTTCTCCATAAATCAAAATCATTTCTATTTTTTCTTCCACTGTTAAAAAATCCATTATGAATAGCTGCTTAACGAAAGGAGGTCTTTTTGTTTGCAAATTAATCTTCGAACTAAATTGATTAAATAATGCTAAACTATAAATAGTTTCTTTATACCACAATAATAATTATTATTTATAACTAAATACCATTTTTTTATACCTCAATTACAGTGGCGGCCCGTCAGGGGAGGCAGGTGAGGCAGTGCCTCATCATAGAGAATTAAAAAATTAAGTATAATTTAAATATTTTACTTTCTATAATATACTATAAATTTTTAATATTTGGATTACATGAATTGTGAAATAGTCAATAAAATTGATTGATTTTATACGTGGAATACCCAGCAACATTTAAATTATTTGAATTTGAAACGACCGCAATTTAAACTAATATTTATAGATGATTGGCTCAGAAGCATGCCTGAACTAATTTAGACTCACGATTGGCGTTAGCCTTGTTGTCTCGTTCTATTACAATGCGATATCATAGTTGTCTCCTTCTCTCGTATTAGCATACGCGAGGCAGGCACGCCTATATCCAAGGAAATAAGCAGGTGTTGTGGCAACACTGTTGCGGAATTTTAGATAAATTATACTTCACACGTTTTTCAAAATTCAATAATAAATGGTATTATTTTTCTTATAATAAATCGATTTAATCTAAATTATATTTCTATTCTAAAATAAACATATTTTAACACTATCGCCATCTTGTAGCCATCACAGTAACCAATAAAATAAATACAGATTCCTTCTTTAGACTTGCTTTGGTTATAAAATTCTGAACTGTTTAAAAAACAAATCTGTGGTTATTTACGCAATATTTTGTTTATTCTTTTTCTATGATCATCGAGTTTGTCTATTTTATGATTCTTTTGCAAGTGGTTTATTCTGTGGGTTTAGTTAATTGAACTTGGTGATTTATGTGAATTTAGTCATTATGGATATTACGGTGAGAAATTGTACCGATATTGTTGACCTTGCTGAACAATGAAATATTAATTAGACAAAAATGAGGTTTATTTAAAAAAAACGTAATTTTTACAATAAAATATATTTCATTGACAAAGTAGAGGATTCCTTCCCCACCACAGTCTAAGTTTTTTACTTAGTTTTAAGTATAGGTTGTGAACTGCGACGTCAGTTTTTTTAAGTTGGGTTTAAAAAAATTTCTTCGCCTTTAAATAATAATAATAATAATAATATGACTTTATTGCAAGTAAATAATAAACATTTACATATAGTAAAAAAAAGAGGGCGAAACCCTGCCTCTGCCTCACCAAAATGAAATGTCACGGGCCGCCACTGCTCAATTAGGATTTAACTAATTAATTGACAAAATAATGATTTTTTAACTTAAATGAGGTATTTTTATTAAAAACAGTACAATAATCCTTTATGATGCGCAATTGATAATTATCACCGAATGAAATAATGTATAAAACTTAAAACAAAGGAAACTTAAATATTGGTAAAAAAATCGTGGGTACTTAAAAAAACCAGATTTAATTTAATAAGATAATTATTGCCAAAAAAAGTGATATTTTATAGAAAAATTATTGCAGAATCGTATAAAGAAGAAAAATCGGACAAAATTGATTTTTTTCATTACAGCGCCATCTATTACAAATATGAAAAAATGTTTTAGACAAAATCTACCTATTTTTAGTCGAATGAAATATTTAAGTTTCAAGTTAAATAACTCACCCTGTATATACAGAGTGTTTAGATTTCGATATACTAATAATAATAATAATAAATATTTCCAGAATTGACCCAGATCTGCGAGGAGTAGTCTACTGCACGACCTTGAAGCATAGCGGAGAAAAAGAATGGGACTTCCTCTGGAAACAGTACACGATCTCAAACGTTGCAACAGAAAAAAATTCTATTCTCTCGGCTTTGGGTTGCATAAAAGATCCGAAAATATTGCAGAGATACCTGGACTGGACTCTGGATAAAAAATCTGGAATCAGGGTGCAAGACATCCCTCTAGTTTTTGGGGCAGTAGCAAGAAATGAGGTTGGGTTTAAGTTGGCTAAAGAGTTCTTCTACAAGAGTATTGCGACCCTTCAAAAGATGTAAGTTGTGCTAGTATTAAGAAAATCTAATTTAATTTTATTCAATGCCTTTTTAGTTTGCAACCTAACAGAAAAATAGGACGATACCTGAGTTCATTGGCCAACCAAATTGATAATGAGGGCGAGTTTGAAGAATTTATGAAATTCGTCGAGAAGCATGAAAAAGAGTTGTCGGAAATCAAAAAAACTGTTCAGCAATCATTGGAAACGATTCGTATTAACATTCAATGGCAGAGAAAGCATGCGGATGAAATTAAAGATATTTTGCCCAAATATTATAGAAAACTATAAATTATAAGTGTAAATAAGTTAATTTTATTAAATAGTATAAATAATTTGGTGTCTTAATAATACCGTTGATATATCCTATATCAATGATAGTCAAAAAGTGTACGTTTCGGGTGTTTCACGATTCTGCCTCTATGTCCTGACCATTTATTTAATTCAGCGAATTTTCTTACGGAAACATTCCTAAAAATTACAGGCCTCCAAAAGTATAACACTTACTAACCATCTACCACATTATGGGCCGGTTTTTCAATCGTTCGTTAAGTTTATCATACGATTAATTTCCTTAGATACTGTTGTTAACACAATAGTATCTAAGAAAGTTAACCGTAAAATAAACTTAACCAACGATTGAAAAACCGGCCCTATCACTGTCACAAATAACGTTTTAGTATTTTTTTTATAAAATTTTACTTTGTTTCGGGTGGTACCATGGTTCTGTTTCGGGTGTTACAAGTACAAAAATTAAACACTATATATAGTGTTTAATTTTTGTACTTGTAACACCCGAAACAGAACCATGGTAACACCCGAAACAAAGTAACATTTTATAAAAAAAAAATAGTAAAACGTTATTTATATATATATATATATATATATATATATATATACAAACAGGCGTTAAGGCACCAAATTCGGATATATATGGGCCAAGTGGCACCTATATAATCGTTGTGGCACCATTTCAAGGTGCCAGAACGTTTTATTTCATATATAAACTCTAATGTGTCATAGTATTATCCCTACAAAATTTCCAGATGGTGCCACTTGGACTATATATATAGAAAAGTACAATTTTAGTTGAACCATATAATCTACAGAGGGCGCTAACTACGTGAGTAAAATATAGAACGTAGCGGCACCATGATAAAATATATACAATAATACTTTGCGGCACCAGAATCAGGTGACCAGATTTTAGATGTTTCCCGATATTTAAGATTTAATTTAATTTACTATTTAGTAGTGACCATTTCGCTCCTTACTATTATTATTATTCACGGCTAGTGAAGTAAGTGAAATTACATAAAAATGAATGAAAAACACAAAGTTTGCAGAAACTAGGGTTAAAGATGCTGCACGTTTTATGACTAGGTCACAAAAGTTAGTTAAAAAAGTATTAGAAGATTTTTGTAGGAATTTTTTTGTTTATATTTAATAATAAAAAACAATACTTAATACTTAATACCTAACAGCAGGCAGATTTTTTAATTTAAGTATACTTATACCTATAGGTATATATATATATATATATATCTAATCAAACTGTTTTTAATATCAAACAAATTATTCTAATCTAGATTTTTTAAACAACCAATATTATTGCATAATTTTAATTGGTACATTTTTAAGAAAAGTATTCTTAACACAAACAAAACTTTAAATTATCACGTTTCATTAATTCTAATAAGAAAAGTAGGTATAGTCGTCACGGCGAATTCTTTACATTACGTCATCAATTTAAAATTTCAAAAACCTGTTTTTATGACATACGTCCTGCATACATCCCACATACGTATAAAAAGCAAATTGTAATGTATGTCTGTCTTTCTGGCTTGCTTTACAAATTAACGACGCAATGTAAAACATTCGCCGAGACGACTACACCTATTATATTTGTGTGATTATTTTTTATCATTTTCTAAAAACCAATAAAATCTTTGAATTTTAGTCATGGATTTATGTTTTAGCCAATCAAAACATTATTAAATTAGGAATAATCTATCAATATTGCAGGGAAAATAATAAAGTATTTTTTGACATTTGTTGTTGAGGCAACAGTTTTTTAATAGTATATTATGTATCAAGTTTTATAAACGCCATTTTAGTTACGAGTTTAATTAAGCACGAGCGAAGCTTGCGAGCGAGTGTTTAATAAAAACGAGTGTCTAGAGAAGTTTATAAACGAGTTGCATACTATACTTTATCTACGACGAACACAAAACAGAATTTAAAGCCAATTTTATTTGTTAAAATTTTGACATCTGTCAACTGTCACCCGAATTTAACCTCACTTTTTCCCAATTTATAATAAAGCTAACTTCAGCCCGTGACGTAAAATGTCGAAAAGCCACTGTTGTTAACTTCAGCCCGTCAATAAAACGCCATAAAGTCACAGCTCGTCAATGTAGGAGTAGATAAAAATCTTTATTTTCTGTTGTAATCTGCCAAATTTGCTTTAATTTCAGGAATTGATTATATGGTTTTATTTTTACGTAATTTAATCGCTGGTTTGCTAGAAATGTGTAAAATTAAGAATTGTGTAAAGAAATATACTTGTACATTAGGGTGTCCGTTATTTACCAACTTATTTTATTTTTAGTTTATGACCTAACAAAATTATCAGACTCATATAAGCCCTTAATATTCATATTAAACCTTGCCACAAAGACAATACATTTTCCATTTAAATTACAGGGGGTTTCGGCACGTTTTACATTTATTTTTTTTTCTCTCGATCAAGTTAATATACAGCAATAGAAGACATATTTTTATAAGAAATTAAACGCTTTACAAAAAAGGACTCTTTTGATTTTTCTGATAAATTCACTGGTTTAAAAGTTATTTAAGGTTAAAGTTAAACCCCTCCCGCGAAAATCTTTACTGGGCCCCCTGATTTCACATATTTTTATATTGAAAATAAAAATTATTATTTTAATTTATTATTATTATTTATTAAAAAAAATATTTGTAAACGAAAAATAACAATAACAACTTTTTTACAAAATGCGAAAGAATATTTTTTTTTTAATAAGTTTCTCCACTGTTTCTTATACAGTTCAACACGATTTACCTCCCATGAAAAAATTTAACAGATTTTAAAATATAGGTTAAAAAAACATGTCCGTGACTTACCGTTTTACGAAATCACGTCATTAAAATTTTTTATACAGCCATTCTTATTATTTTAACATATACATATATTTAATTTTTTATTTTGTTATAAATTATTTTTTCATGTATTGAATGTTTTAAATAATAGAAAAATTATACTTAAAAAAATTTTTTTAAATAAAATTTTTATAAATAAAAATAAAAAAAAATAATTTTTGATTTTTTTTAAATAAAATTTATTCATTAAATAAAGTTTTTCAAAAACTATACATTTAGCTGTTATTGAAGCCGTGATCTGAAAACACGCCGAGACACGGGTATCATTTTTTAAGTCTATTTTCAAAATCTGTAATCTTGAGAAAATAATTTAAATTTTGTCATACTACTAAAATAATAGAAAAATAATATCATATTTTTATAACATACAAAGATAACTAGCAATCTAAGCAATCTTAGAATGTTTCCATAATTTTTAAGCCTCGGGTCAAGTTTTTTGTTTTGCAGATAATACAATGGAAATAAGTTTTTTAATGTTTTGGGGGAAGTATAGGCCGGGCCCCCACAAGGCTAGGGCCCCCCGCGGTGGCGGGCGTTCGCGGTACTGTCGCTACGCCACTGTTCTCCCTTCTAATCTGTCGCAAAATTTGCTTTACATTAATTTTAGAAATTAATTGATGATTTTATTTTTATGGCATTTCATAGCTGGTTTGCCAGAACGGTTGCAAATGGGTAAAATTGATAATTTTATAAAGACATATTAGTAATATTAAGAGTAAAGAATAATTGAACGGGCAAGAGAATGATAATTTTTTTATAATAAAGGGCAAACAAAATTGTTATTGCAATACCAAATTTATTTTAATTTATAATCACAATATTGTTTTTTTTCTACTTTAATAAAAAAAATTTACTTTACCCCTTGAAAAAGATCACATGTCTCAATATGCAGGCCCTGTATAATAATGTAAATTAAATTTAAAAAACTAGGTATGCCAAAATTATTATTGTCACAATTTATATTCGTGAAAAAACAGCAATCACATGAAATGTGTAAAAATGGATTTTTTGTTTTGTACACCCATAAACGAACTTTATGTAAATATTGTAATTGTTCCGTACCGACACGGTTTACAAATTTATTTTCAAGGAAAGTAACGTAGTTTTATATATTTTACAAATTTATTTTAGAATAAATTTGAAATTTCTAAATTATCGTGTTAAAGGCAAAAAGTTTTGCAAAAGTGGTAAAAAGGGACACTTAGGTAAAGGAATTACAGGTTTTTAGAACTTTGCCTAAAAATCTGGCGTCCAGATGATTCAAGAAACGATGGTCCAGGTACACGAATAGAGTAAAGGGAAGCAAAAAACAGGCAGAAAGTTTTTGGAAGTGTTAGCGAACGGATCGTTTCTTGTAAATTTTTGCTAAAACGAAATTTATTGCAAAGTTCTATTTAAATTATTGTTACGACTGTTTGTGTATTCTCCAAGGTTAGTTTTTAATTTAGAATATTTAAAACGAAAAGTAAAATAAATGTGATGACAATAAATATTTTATTCGAAACATCTGACTTATTATTTCGACAAAGGACTTCCTAAAGCGAGCAATATTTTAGTAAAACACTAACTTTCAAACAAAGGTATTATATATCTGTATAGTGTCAGAACGCATATATACTTAAAAAATATATAAGGTGCCATTAATTCACATTAAGCGCCAAAAATATTGGGTGCGGGAACGTCAATGTAGTTTTTGGTGTCACTTGGTACTTTTACGCGTATATATATATATATATATATATATATATATATATATATATATATATATATGGACAAAATCGGTGTTTTATAAGTCTCTAGGTAGGTATTTATTTTTCCACCCTTAGTAGGTATTGTTTGTCAAAATTTCATTTTAAGGTTATGTTTGTACAACAATTATTTTGTGTTTAGACTTATTAAAAATGTCCAAACTTAAATATAAATTTTATTGGGTAAAGTTATCATTAGTTAATTCTGCACCAACAAATATACTTACCGAATTGAATCCTTTGGCAAAACAACCCAGATAGCAAAATGTAGTCACGATGCGCGCACAGTGAGTGCAGGCGTGCTTTTTTAAACGGCATGCGTGCGCGCAGATTACTACACAGATGCGCTTACATATGCGTCTCATATGCAGCGCACGTGTGCCGGCGCATTTAAAGCGCACGTGTGCCGGCGCATTTCCAGCGCACATGAATGAGTAAAAAAAAGTTGTAAATTTCAAAAGGAAATGCATATATAACGACGGGTTTAATGCAAAATGGCACAAGCGCCAAATTTGTTGAAAAATTGTTAGTACAGGTTGATAGAGAATTAAATTCTCTAACTAGAGCTCTATCGACCTGTAACAAATTTTTAAAAATTTTGGCGCTTGTGTCGTTTTGCCTTAAACCCGTCGTTATATTTTGCATAGAAATGGAATTTAATATTGTATAGAATTGTCAGTGTATAGAATCATTTAAAATCGGGGGTATGTAAAAAAAGTTTTAAAAACCGCAGTTTTAAAATATGATTCATGTTTTATCCAAATTTTCAACAATGTTATTTATTTTTCTGTAGTTTCTGAGATATAAATTTTGGTTTTCAGGCTCGTTCGCCAATGTTGCAACTAATTTTATTCTTACCGGTAATTAATTACTTAATTAATTACTTAAAAAATGTTTAAAAAATCCTTTAAATACTTTGTTTAATATAAATATAAAAATAATTTAATAGTATTATAATAATATATGTGGGTTTACATTATGTCACCACGTTATCACTTTTTTGTAAACTGGGTTGCCTATACACCAATTCCTCTTTTTCTATAAACTGTTTATCTCTGACTATCCCCGAAATTGTGTTTAATAAAACCAGAGATATCATATCTCTGAATAAAACACATCGTAGTTCAGTAGGTAAAGTAAATTATTACTATATTTGGCATATTTTAAAATTGGTACAAAAATTATAATATAAAATATCAATAAAAATACAAGTATTTTTTTTTATTAATTCGGAATTTGAAATATGATTTATGTTGGTAATACCAACTTGGTACTATATACTATATACTATATTATATATATATATAGTCTATATAGGTATGTTTACTTTGATATTTTTAATATTAAAAAATGTACTGCATAAATTCACAAAATACTATTTTGAAAATAGTTTACTCAATATTGCCAATTATAAATTTAGGGTCCCTAGAATTTGGCAAATTAACCCCCAAAATTTGACGTAAAATTCCGAATAAAAAAAACAAACTAATTTCAAAATAGCCATTCGAAGACTTTGATTGGACAATTGTCTAAGAATACAAGTGACTATTTTTATTTTTCAGTGGTTGTTGTAATCGGTGATTATCACAAATAATGGGAAATTCAAAGACAGCTGAGTGCTCAAAGATGGTATTTTTTACCGTATCTTGTTTACGTAGACATTCTCGACGAGATCATGCAGATTTACTTGGGAAAGCGGCTCTGTTAGTTTCCACAGACTATTCCAGAGACAAGGGACTATTCGTTCATATCTAGCCAAAAATTTTAACCTCAAAAAACCCTGAGCATTTTAGCATTCAACATATCTAAACTAGAAATGACTAAAACTGAATTTGAACAGTTGAGGTTGAAAAAGAGGTAAATATAATGTTGTTTTTATTTATAAACAATTTCTTTTTTTGTAGGAGAGGAAAATGGGAAGCGACATCTAAAGACACAAACAAGTTTTAAAATAAATGCATACCTACTCTCCAGCTTCTCTCAAAGTTTTATATGAAAAGACAAACCTTTTTGAAGATATTGTTAAAACCCATGTTAGCTACGAGTGTGATCTTACTTTGACTCCATTCCAAAATTCCGTTTGAAAATACCTTTGAACAAATAACATATAGGGTGGGGTGGAAAAGAATTTTCAAATACCAACCTTTAATGTTGTTTTTAGTACTTTTTTATTTTATACATTTTGTTCTATCTAATTCAAATCAGTGTAATTGCAAAAATTCACCAAAATTTCTGAGAATGTTTGTTTTTTCAATTCGGAATTTGACACATTTGATACTTTGGTATTTTTAATATTTAAAATTGGTACTCCTGTTAATTTGAAATATTTTGACATTTGTCACTTATTTGTCAGAATTATAATAAACATAAACAACTTATATTTGATATTTCAAAATTAATAAACCTTTTTTTATAATTATAACATAACCACAATTATATTCTCCACTAAACTATAGTTGGTTTCATTTAATGTAGACAATTATAAATTTAGGTTCCCTAGAATTTGGCAAAAAAAAGAACTGTACGTATATTTTTAATCATTTAATTAATATTAATATACCTATACAGACCTGTATTTATAATTAATATTTTTAATAAAGTTTATTCCAGTTTATTGTGTTTTTATAAATTACAACCCTACGTTAAAAATAAAAAAGTTTTTACTGGTAATAGTAATAAAATAATTATTTTGATATTTATTAAAACAGTTGACAGTTTCTTCTGTTTCATATTAAAAAAATATTGGTTTTCCCTTGCTAAAGAAGATTCAATATAAAAAAAGTTATTATAATTTAAAAAAAAAAAGTTCTGGATTTTTTACTTTTTTATACCTCTTCAAATAAACATTTTATATGATATACGAGATGGATGTAAAAATAGCATTTTTTTAATTTAAAATTTTTCTGGTCGATTTTTTTAAATGCAAAATAACTTAACATAGTTATTACCACTTTCCGGAATTTTTTAAACTATAAATTATAAATGCTAATAATCAAAAACTACTTGTCGGAAATTTTTTATACTTAAAATATCCGTGGTATGCTGTTAGCGCGCCATTTTCGGGACCCCCTGACCATAGTGTTTTGTAATTATTTTTTTTCTATACAGGGGGCCCCTGTATAGAAAAAAAATAATTACAAAACACTATGGTTTTAAAAGTTTTAAAAATATTGTATTATTTTTTAAAAACATGTTTTACTAAATAAACGGTGTTTTTCATTTATATTCTGTTTCTCACTCAAAAAAATATATAATTTTTCTACAAGAGAAGTCGACGATGATCATTTAATATCGATTTTTACAACTCGAGCTCTAAATCGAGGTTCCAAATTATCGAATACGGTACTGTGCTTAGGTTTGGGTCACTAGCACATGGCCAGACACGGCACGCTGGATATCTCATTGGGCATGCGCAATACGCCCCACGAAAACACGCATATTAGTGGAGAGGCATTATCCGCCTTAATTAATTGCAATTCTTTGCCGTAATCATACATACTTCCGATGCATACGATAGCTATTGGGCATATCCATCCAAAACAGAAAGAAAACGTTTTTTAAAGCAAAATTAGAGAATATGAAGTGCGTTAAAAATGTTGCGGGATAGCATCGTTTTTCCCCAGACGGACGGCAGCGCCAAACGGTGGCGCGGCCACTTCGCTAAGCTCGTCTTGCCGCCCACTTCTCTGCGCGACGTCACATCAGTTGATCGAGGTGAGCATTGGAAGTTTGGTGTGTGTCTGCGAACCGTTGTCATTTCACAGGTCAAACTTGAGTATTGTGTCAAATAAAGCGAAAACGTCGTTCACAAGGCTGTAATCAAGGTAAATACCGGCTTATTAAAGTTGTTTACGTTAAATATGTTAAATATGGGGTATTAATGTTGTATTTAACTTTATAGGAGGTTCCTTGTTTTCGTGGGTGACTGCCAGGATGTGTCAGACTACAGCAACTTCTAGTACCACTTATGGAGTAAGTATTTTTGTTGTTTTTGAATTTTGATGTACTTGTTGTTATATTTAAACGAAACAGTGACAAACGTTATATTATTTTATGATAATTAATTAATTAATTGATTAACGCAAAATAATATTTAAAGAATTTAAAAATAGGTAACCGGTTTTAAATGATTTTAAGTTTTGGCCAAAATACCTCAAAACAATTACTTACTTTTTATTGTCATTTTACTGTCAAACTGACATGTTTCCAAATTTGCTTCTCCTTGATTAATAATGGTTGTCAAAGTTTTTTTTTATTTAAAAAAAGTCCAAAGTTTGAGGTTACATATGTTGGTAAATATTTTTGGCAAGCATTTTGGAAGTGCATACAGTCACGTCGGACGTGTAATATTTTATTCAGCCACTGCGAAGGGGGGCGTGGCTATCACTCGACTTTTTTATATTGAACAATAGTATACAGGGTGGTAAAAATGTGGTGGCGATCGCCATTGCAATCTAGGAAACTATAAGACAGAGGGAAGGTTAAATTAGAGAATTTTATGACGTTTAAGAATCTGCAAAAAAAATCTTGATTTATTGTGAAAAAAATGAAAAATGTGATTTTATATTAAAATTCGTAGCTGTTTTACCATTCTAGTTATGTTGATAAAACTTGGAGGCTTTGTATTTTTGAGAGCTGTTTTTTATTGAACGGCATTGTTAAAAAAATTCTAGATTTTGAGCAACAAATTTTCAATTTGTTATTAGAGAAAAAATCTATAATTTTATATTTTTATTGATTCTGCAATTGTTTTCCTAAGCCTGTGCGATTTTATAAACTTTTGTCACAAATCTTCCCAATTACGGCATTTTTTTTCATAATCATATCACCATATCTAAAAAGCTAATGTTTTTCTCAATCTAGTGATGTCAAAAACTAATATGGCGGCCATAAGGAGTTGAAAAGTTGACTATCGTTGCTCAAAATATAGAAGGCCTTGATTTTTGTTGACAATGTCATTAAATTGACAGCTGTCAAAAATACAAAGCCATCAAGTTTTATCAACATAGCTAGAATGGTAAAAGAGCTATGAATTTTAATGGAAAATCACATTTTTTTTAGTTTTCAATCTCTCATATATTATTACTTTGACAATATTTTTTTCTAAAATACAGTATTTTTAATATTAAGAATTAAAAATTTATCAGAATTATTTTTTTTTAATATAAAATCGGTTATACCACATGGGAGGCAAAATTTCAAAAACTCCCCAATTAAAGACCACCCTTATGTTTACATACACACAACCAATCTTATATGGAATCACCCAGTAATTACGAAAAACAGTATTTTACTTAATATAAAATCAAGGTGATTTTTATTATCCAAACCAATTTTATTAAAAAAAAAATATTAAAACAAATTTTATATTGAACAAAACAAAATGTGAATTTCTCTGAGAAAAAAGTTTAGATTAAAACAGATTAATAATATTATTAACCTGTTTTAATCTAAACTTTTTTCTCAGAGAAATTCACATTTTGTTTTGTTACCTACCTTATCATCGCAACAAAAGTACAACTTTTGATAATCAGCTGTCAAAAGCGTGTGTTACAAACGAGTGTTTTTGAGAATAAATCCGGAAAATGTTACAAAATACCGAAAAAAAAACCGATTTGTTTTGTTGGGTGTATTTCGAGAGGAAATCCTGGGTTGAGTTTTTATCGGTTTTCCAATAAACAGTGTTAATCCGAAAGAAGAAATAAATTTCATTCAGTCCCTGTAAATATAAATTGTATCTATTAGATACAATAAATACACATTTTAGTAATGATTAACGTGAAAAGTGTAAACATTTCAATTTAGTAAAAATCGTCAAACAAATAAGTCGTCTAAATTTAAACAGCATTTAGCATTATTAAAAGCGTTGATTAAGAATTCTTTAAAGTCTCAACTCAACGGTAAAATAGCATTATATTATGTATTATATATAATATTATGTTGCCATGAATTCGGTAGGTAGGTATATTTTGTTGTTTAAAATGCAGTTGTCGGCGTTTTTTAGAGAACTCAAATATAAAAATTGTTGAATTTAAGGTTTTGTTTGTGCAAAAATATTTTTTTACTAATTTCTTAAAAATGTCCAAACTTAAATATAAATTATATTAGGTAAAGTTATCATTAGTTAATTCTGCACCAACAAATGTACTTACCGAATTGGATCCTTTGGCTAAACATAAAAATGCAACGATTGAGTTCTTGAATTTTATTTACAATTAAAATCGCAATAATTCACCATGATACCTTAGATAAAATACACACACTAACGTAACTATACAAGCATTTAAGCGTTGAGTTTCTTAATCGATGATATAAAGAATAATCAATCGAAATTCACGCAATGCTTTTGAATGCTTTTGATGTCGCGCGCGTTGCGAAAACCCGATACTTCTTTAGCGTATACAATTTTAAATTTGCTATATAACTAGTTATAGGTATACCTTTCTTTATATTCTATATTTTTTATCCATTTTACACTTTTATATTATATTATTATTATTATTAATTATTACTATTACTTCTTTTATAACAACTAACGTGTTTTTTTAGACCAATAAGAGTTGCTGGGAGTCAAAATGGGACATGCTATTCGACAAAAACTGCAAGCAATGGATATCTTTCAACCCAGCCTTCGGGTTGCCGTGTTATCCGTGCTATTCGTGCAAAAACCTGTACGTATGTCCACAAACATGTATGAACAAAAAATAATATATTTTTTTTCAAGATTTTCCACGAAAAGATCCCTTCTGGACCACATAAATCGCCGCGCGGTCGTCTTCAAATACAGCTGCCCCGGTTGCGCGAACACTCAAACGTTTTACAACCGCTGTTCTTTGTTGATGCACGCGCGCACGCACTACACGATGCACGAAGGCTCGCTAAACTTGTCGCACGTCGAAATCGCGCCGCTACCTTTGAATCTCGCGGGCTTCTTTCCCCATAAAGACATCCCGCTGTTGTACGACGACGTGGAAGTCGACGTTGCCGATAATTTGTACCTCAACACGCAGTTTTACTATCCGAGTTGTGCCGAACGCGGCAAAGAGGTGGTTACTATGCATCCGGTTGAGTTGTATTTTTCTCCCGATGAGTCTAGTAGGCAATTCACGTTGGCGTTGAAGCAGAACTCTTCGAACGTGCCTCGTTGCATTTTCATCGACATCGAGCAGCAAAAGCAGATCAAAGATTTGTTTTTGAACGATGTTCACTTGACGCGTATCAAAGAGGAAGTTGTGGATGAAAGTTACACGATTCCGGTGATATCTAGGGTGGAGTCTTTAAGTCAAAACGACCCACTGGAGATGGGCGCCAATATTGACAACGGTCGGACTTCACCCGAACCGATGATAAAAACGCACGAGGTGATAAACCTCCCGAAATGCCCCGAGTGCCATCAACCGCAAAAAATACCGATGAACGAGCACTTTATCGGCAACAACGTCCCTTTGAAGGAAGACTTGAAATGCCAGGTGTGCAAATTCGTGGCGTCCACTAAGTGTTCTCTACGCGCGCATCTTCGTATACACGACTACTTGGCGCCGTTTATTTGCCCCGAGTGCGGTAAAGAGTTCGCGAATTTCAACGACTTGGGTATGCATATGGACGACCAATGCTTTCACCTGGCGAAAGGCATACGTTTTAGGTGTCCAGGGAAAAAATGCGGCAAATTATTCGCATTAACGCAGACCTACGCGGCGCATTTTGAAGTGCACATGCAGAGCGTTATGAAGTGCTCCTCGTGTAAAGGTGTCTTTCAGGAGGATGACTTCGCGTTGCACAAATTGTCGCACGCAGAGCCGTGTTTTCTTCTCAAACACTACAGGTGCACCGTGTGCACTGAATACACCGGTACTTTCACTGAAAACAACGCCAAACTGCACATACAAATGCACACGAAAGATAGAGAGAGATGCATGTACGTGTACACCTGTAGGAATTGTAGGAGTTACTTTAGATCTACTACAACCTACTCGACGCATATGGCGAAGTGCACGAAGAATAGCCACCTTAACGGGGCGCAACCGAAAAAAAGCACCGAGTCGGTTAAATACGTGCACAATAACTGCCGGTTGTGCAACATCGTGGTTGTATCAAAAGAGAACAACCCGGCGTTTCTCTGTTCTAAATGCCGCACTCTAAACCACGACAAAACTCAGTGCAAGAACTGCAAAGAGCTTATAGTCTACCGCGAAGGTAACCCAGCCCCGCATTGCTCCAAATGCGGGATGACGCAAGTCATCGAAATCCCCAAGAAGGATAAAAAATATTACTGCATCCTCTGCAATCAGCAACTCTTAAAACACGAGAAAGCCACTCACATGAGGCAATGCAAATTCTCCCGACCGGTGGTGGTGATGGATAAGATAAAAGCCGAGCCTTCGGAGGAATCCGGCGAGGAATCAGCCACGGATTGTCCGCCAAGTGAATCAATGTTCCGCCCCTGCGATTCGGAGAACGATGAAGAACCCAACGCTAAAAAACGCAAACGCGTTTATCGCTGTCGCTTGTGTTACCACAAGGAAACTGAGCGGGCGCCATTCCACGCTCACATAATCAAACACCGCGACGTGCAAACCTCGTATCAGTGCATGGAATGCGGTGAATGCTTCGTCGTTAAACCCTCCCTAGAGAAGCACTTGATGCACTATCACCACATCCTCGACACGGATAACTACCTGAGCGACAACGATTGTTTCGATAAAAAGGCCCTCGAAGATTTGTCGGAAAATATGAAACTCACGCCCGGCGAGTGCAAAGACGTCAAGGAGAACCAGTGCCGCGTTTGCAGGGAACAGTTTCCGGATGAAGCCACTCACGATAAACATTTCAGGACGCACGGGATGGCTTTCCTCATGAAAAAAACCGCCACTTAGTTTTATTCAGTTTTGTATACCTGTATTGTTTTTGTTTGTTTAATAAATACGTTATTTTTTATATAAAGCAGCTCTATTTAATCAATTAAGGTAGTATACACATTAGGGTGATCAAAAAAATCGAATATTTGATGTTTTTAATTGATTAGGTACTCAGAAGATATTCGTATCAGTGCGCATTGAGATTCGGATATGAATATCTTCTCAACGGTTAGAGTAATCTACTAAACACATTAGACCTTTTTTGTAGAGCGTTAAATTTCCTACAAAAATATGTATAAAGATTGATTAAACGATTGATTAATAATGAAATATGGTCTTTTTTATAAGTTACTTAAGAAAAAATGAAAAACTGTGATGTGGACTATTTTGCTATTAATATTAAGAGCTCAAATTTGGTGAGCAATTTCTAGAGGTGCCTAAAAACCAATTTTTCAGCGTCGAAAGAAAAAAAGATATATTCGATTTTTTTAAATCAGATTCCAAGAAAATAATTTTTACATTACAAGTTACCCAGATAACATTATGAGGTTCATAATTGACGCATATTGCAGTCACAACGTGATTGTAATCTGCGCGCATATATGCATCATTTGCGTCATCAATTAAAGTTTATATAGCCAGAACATAATATGTATTACTATATATACAGGGTGAGTCATTTAACTTGAAACTTTGAAATATCTCAGTTAGTATGCATTTTACGAAAAAAGTTTAAAATAAAAATTCAATGATTTTAGGGGGGGAATCAATCAGTACTAAAATTGGTCCTCATACTCTCCTCCTTATAGGGGGAACAGGGGGTAACTTTAAATTTCCAATGGAACACCCTATTTTTAATTGCAGATTCAAATCAAATAGGTAGATTTTGTCTAAAACATTTTTATTTGCAATAATTTTTCTATAAAAATATCACTTTTTTTGGTAATAATTATCTTATTAAATTAAATCTGATTTTTTAAGTAATATTTAAGTTTCCTTTGGTTTAAATTTTATTCATTATTTCATTCGGTGATAATTATCAATTGCGCACCATGGTCACTTTTTACCTGCCAGCATTAAATCCTTTAATTTAAAAGATTATTGTACTATTTTTAATAAAAATACCTAATTTAAGGTAAGAGAACATTAATGTTCTAATAATTATTATACTTTAATTTGTAATTAAAATACGTTTTATTTTTTACTACATTGGCACCTCTAAATTTGCTGTCAGGACCTACTGTTATTTATTTATCAAATTAAAATACTACCTTTAGGAGTTAGTTTTTAATGATACTTTACTTTGTAATAAAGTGGTAATTTTTTTATTAAAATAAAACGTTTAATTTTTATTACATTGGCACCGCTGAATTTGCTGCCACGGCCTACTGTATATTTGTTATATGCTATTTATTTTATTTATCAAACTCTTAAAGTTAAAATGGAGATAGGTACTTAAATACTACTAATACTACTAATTATCTATGTAATTAGTTTAGTATTTTTTTTGTCTATCCAGTACCCTAATGAACGCATAAAACTTGCTAATAATTAATAATCTTATGGAAAATACAACATGGGGTTCAATATTACCACCCAGAGACAAGGATGTCTCTGTTACCACCCATAGAGAACCACCACCTCAGATTTCTGTGGAATTCCGTTTCGTATCAATTGTGAGGTTATGTACGAAACCGCAAAGTAAAATTGTCATGGCAGTGTATTTTCCTTGAATAAAAAATGAACAAATTACTCCAAATTTCGTTGTTTTTCTTGGTAATTTCGGTGGGGCTGTCCAAGAAAACAAAAGAGAAACCCGAATGGGCGAAAAAGGATATCCGCGATTTTACCGATGCGGATATGGAAAGGTTGTTGGATCAGTGGGAGGTAAGAAAAACGGAATAAAATCGGTTTTGGGTGGTATATTTTATGAAATTAAAGGAAGATGAAGAACCGTTGGAAGATGACGAACTTCCAGAGCATCTAAGACCCATGCCTAATATCGATATGAGTCAAATTGATCCGAGCAATCCGGAAGGAATGCTGCAGGCAACTAAAAAGGGGAGAACTTTGATGACGTTTGTTAGTGTTTCAAATAACCCCAGTAAAGATGAAACTGAAGAGTTAACGAAGCTGTGGCAGACTAGTTTGTGGAACAACCACATACAAGCCGAACGGTAGTGAAAAATAATTACACCAAATTCTTTTAACCATAATATTGAAATTTTAGATACTTAGTGGGCGATGATAGAGCAATATTTCTATTCAAAGATGGTTCTCAAGCTTGGACTGCAAAAGAGTATTTGGTGGAACAAGAACGGTGCGAAAGTGTAACAATAGAAAGTAAAGTCTACCCAGGAAAATTCTCCAAGAAGAAGGAAGAACTATAAACATTCCATACTATAATAAATAATTTATTAAATTACAACTTAAAACTATTTTTTTTTATCAATAAATTTTTTATGAAGTTTGATCGGCCATCGAGTTTTCATTCTGCATTTCCACAGCTTTCTGAAGTTCCCTCACTACCGTGGCGAGAACTTCGGGGTTTACCCCGGCTTCGCAAAGCCTCACACAAATCGACATAGTTTCTTTATCCAAACCAGTGCACAATAAACGAGACAGCTCCATTAAAGCCTGAAATGTCTCTTTGGCCTCCTTAACCTGCGCCAATTTCGAGTTGGACATCTAAAAGGCAACAATTTAGCGTAAAATAATGTTGTTTGTTATTTTAACTTACTGTTTTTCTGTTTTAACAAACCTAACCCCCAAAAAAACGTCAATAATTTAAATTTACGTGCCGTTGTGTTGGCAGTACCGCAATATTGTTGTGAAGTTTAGCGATAATTTAGGGATTTTCGAGTTACAGTAATTGTCAAAATAGTCAGCTGCTTTTGTCAGGTGATTTAATTGACTCCGAAAATCTAATAAGATTATTTCGTGAAAATGGCCCTACATTCTGCAGCCAAAGGGAAGCTTATTTCCGTTATCGGCGACGAGGTATTTATTCCACACGTAAATATTCATACTTACTTATAATAATATTTTTAGGACACCTGTGTAGGGTTTTTACTGGGTGGAGTAGGTGAAATCAACAAAAATCGCCACTCCAACTTTATGGTGGTGGATAAAGGTACACAAATAGTTTAATTCAGTCACAATTGTTAATGTTTTTATTTCTCAGCCACTCCCATTGGTGAAATCGAGGAGTGTTTCAAGCGGTTCATTAAACGAGATGACATCGACATAATTCTTATTAATCAAAACATCGCCGAAACTATTCGTCACGTGATTGATGGTCACAACCAACCCGTCCCTGCAGTATTAGAAATCCCGTCGAAAGATCACCCGTATGATGCCAGCAAGGATTCTATTTTGAGACGTGCTAGGGTAAGTGGGGTTATTTTTTTTTTAAATTTTATCCATTGTGGTTATATTTTAGGGTATGTTCAACCCCGACGATATGGCAGCCTAAGTATTGTTTTCATTGTAAATAATAAGTATAAATAAATATTCATAGATGTAGACAGTATAATTTATACTCTAAATGTATATATACATTCCTGTTATATTTCATAAAATAATCATTACTGATTATTCAAGTTTCAATAAATATTAGCAAAAACATTATTTTGTTTACTTTATTTGAAGAGACCCATACAATTAAATAAAGTTCTTTAAAATTTTAATGTGGGTTCTGCCATCTGTAGTGATATTTTAAAACTAACAGCTCCACACCTAAGTTTCATTTTGATATTTAAATACAAATTATTGAGGTTATCTATCTGGCTTATTTTCTAATACTAATGCATGTATTTATTGTCTTATAAATATATACATTATACACAAAAAATACATAAATTGTAATATTTAAAAAAAAACAAGTGTTAGTAGAGCTATATCGTTGTCAAAGTTCAGAAAACTAAAAGCTCCCGCTATAGCTCTCAGGACGAATCTAGATTCAGGTCGTATAGAGTCGTTGCATCTATCGTGTTCTCCAAAGGTTACCTTGATCATAAACCACATAAACCTGAAAAAGAAATGCAATTTTTTGATATCAAAAGTAAAAAAAAATAGTAGATTTTTTATGAATCCTAATAATAGTTATTTATGGTACTAAATTCTCTGACTTAGGAAACATAACACACAAGTGACATACAATGTTTTATCCAACAAGTGGAAGAAATCGTTTTTTTTAGATAACCTCAATTATTTGTTTTTAAATGTTGAGGTGGACTTGTGCATAGTACTCTGGCCATGGCTCCTTTGATTAAAATAATATTTGTGGTTATGTTTTTGTAAGGATATGGCGGCGCTTTAAACACTGCTTCCAAAATTATGATCCTTTTCTTTTTTATCATCTACTATGAAAACAAATCAAGTAACTTACTACAGTTTGATTTTTAAAAGAAGCAAGTTTTTTATTAATTTCATTCTAATGATTTCCATTACCCTGTATAATTATTTTTTATAATATCATTTTTGTAAAAATATGTTTTATAGCCAAAAAAATATTTGTCCACTTTTCAAAGGGCAAAAATGCGCATATAAATAATAGATACTTTAATTTTAAAAACAAGTAACTTTCGTCAAGTTCTTTTTTTATCTGGACTGCGGCAACGTTGCAAATTTAGGGTTTTGGTTGGTAAATACAGTTGTCAAGTTGGTCGCATTGATTGAGCTACACTGAAAAAAATTTACGAAATTTTACACATCCAAACACACATTTATTTCTGTTTTTTTACTTAAGAAATGTGTTGTTCCATATAAAACATGTACACACATACTTACATAAGTAAAATAGCATCAATTTATGTATTTTTTTAAATTAATATGTAGTTTTTCATATTATTATGTAATAAATCCTTAAATTTATGTGCTTTTACAATTTTTAATGTACTTGTACTATTATTTTCCTAAATTTTAGATTTACATGACCTTTGCATTTTTACACATTATATGTAGTTTTACAGTATGTTTGTCAGGGCCGTAGCGAGGCTGGTGCAGGCGGTGCGGTGCACCAGGGCCCCCGACCTCAAAGGGGCCCCCAAAACTAAAAAGTTTTACTAAAAAATCGTAATTTTCGATATTCTATCCTATCCTAAAGTTTTGCACCGGGGCCCCTGAGTCCGTCGCTACGGCCCTGATGTTTGTACATATACATTTAAATACGTGGCATCAAAATAACCAACGATCAGATGTGTAAATTTACTAAATATTTTTTTGAGTGTAGTTATACATCTAATTGTGGTTATGTATAAATTATTGTAGGTTACATTGTGCAGTTGTCAAGTTGAGTTCGTAGTTAAAAATGCAATTAATTTGGCTTTGGTGGTGCTTGGATGAGTAAAATCATATAAAAAAAGTAGTTAAATATAAGTGGCTTTACGGCCCAGAAGAGAAAGTATTCCTAGCGGATAATAATCTTCGCGTTGAAAAGAATTTATATAAAAGAAATTAAAATTTTTTGGGAACGTAAATGTTGTCCAATGTGAAAATAATGTGTGATGTAATATTTATAAAACCAAATTCGTTACTTTTTTACTCCAAAAATGTCCATAAGGCGATGTACTTTTTCTTCCATTGTGGCATTTGGCATAATTTCATCAAAATGAAGTTTTGCCCTCAAAAGGGCTTTTACATTCGAATTCGTTGCTATTATTTTTGGCATAATTATCTTTTTATTTATAATTGACAAGTAAATTATCAATAATAAATATTATTGTCAATTTGACAGTGTCAAAGTATTTAATTAAATTCTTTAGCAGAAGTACCATTTTTAAATACTAAAAATACTAAGTCAAACTGGCATAAGCCACCAAAAACACAGTCCAGATAAAAAAAATGAATGGTAGATTTAAAACCCGATTTTCGACATACGTAAATTGACATTTAAATGCAATCAAACAATTGAGGTTACGTATCTGTCAGTGTAACACTATAAATTATAATTTCGTTTTATTAAAAAAAACGAGTTATTCTAGGATCTTATAACAATATATTGTTAAAATTCGAAATAAAACACCAATATATTTAATTTGTTTTTATTAATAATTGTAATAAATAAATTTAACAAGGTTGCAAAAAACACACGGGAAAAACCTAAATAATCACAGCTGTATGGAGATTTAAACTACTAATACTACAATAAAATGAAAATTAAATTTAATACTTTTGCATTGCTAAAAATGTAAAAATGCTTTGAGTTCTAAAATCTTTTTTTACATAACATTTATAGCAAAATTTTGGTGATAGCTAAAGTTTAGAAAATTTAAATATAAAAGTTGTACATTCTTAACTATTAGAAAATATTTAATAGCAAAATTGTTTTATTTACTTAATTAAAAAAAAAATTAATTACTTAATTACAGAAAACAGAAAAACTGTTTTATACTGATAAATTGAATTGTATAAAGGGCAAATATTTAAATAATGACAAAATTGATAAAAATTATCAATTAAAACAATATTTTCGAGTATTGTCCACGATATTTCATATTTAGCATACAAATATTATTTTTGGTCTATTAATAAAACTAAAAACCTCATTTTTCTTCATGTGCTGAGGCAAATATTTTTTGGGAAAATACTGTTAGGGATCCTAGAAGAAAAATATTAATTTTAATTTTTATTTATAATACAAAGTGCGCAAATATTATAGGTTTTATAAGGAGCTCAGGCGGGCTATTTATAAAACCTTAGTAATTAGTTTTATTTAATAAAAAGTACATCCTGTATGGTCTAGTGGTTGGGATACCTGGCTTTTACTCTTTTACACAGCCTAGATGTGATCAAAACCGCCCTATTTTATTGTTTTTACCATATTTTAATTGTAAAATATATTTATTATTAAATTTTGTCACAATTTTTTACACAATCAAAATAAGTTATATATGTTTATAACTTTCAAGATGCTTTATTATATTTATTTTGTTTTGAAACTTACTTTGCATATAATAATAAAAATTTAATATTTAGTCATTTTACATGTAATTTTGTACATAAAAAACACAAATTCTTCAAAGTTTCTTTCAAATTTTCTTTTAATTTTTAACTGTTTTTATGCTAAAATTAATTTAAATAAATTTGCTAAAAGGTATTTTAAATTAAAAATGACATTAAAAAAGGTAAAGTGATTGTCACTAAAATCTTCACTTTTCACTATTTTTTAAATGTTCATAACTTTTTTAAAAACTCACCAATCAAGATGCTTTTTTTAATTTTTTTTTGGTTTTAAAACGAACTTTTTATACAATATTATAAAATAAGTATAAAATATTAAAATATAAATATTCAGTCATTTTGAATGAAATTTTTCAGTTTTTAGAAAAAAAACTCATTTTTCAAAGTTTATCTTTGTGTTTTTGTTATTTTTTCTCAACTGTTTTTATGAAATAAATATGCTAAAAAGTATTTTAAATTACAAATGTCATTAAAAAAGGTAAAGTGATTGTCACTAAGATCTTCACTTTTCAATATTTTTTAAATGTTCATAACTTTTTTAAAAACTCACCAGTCAAGATTCTTTTTTTTTATTTTTTTTTGTTTTTAAATGTACTTTTCATATAAAATATTCAGTCATTTTGAATGAAATTTTTCAGTTTTTAGAGAAAAAACTAATTTTTCAAAGTTTATCTTTGTGTTTTTGTTATTTTTTCTCAACTGTTTTTATGATAAAATAAATATTCTAAAAAGTATTTTAAATTAAAAATGTCATTAAAAAAGTTAAAGTGATTGTCACTAAGATCTTCACTTTTCACTATTTTTTAAATGTTCATAACTTTTTTAAAAACTCACCAATCAAGATGCTTTTTTTTGTTTTTAAATGTACTTTTCATATAAAATATTAAAATATAAATATTCAGTCATTTTCAATGAAATTTTTCAGTTTCTAGAAAAAAATACTCATTTTTCAAAGTTTATTTTTTATTTTTGTTATTTTTTCTCAACTGTTTTTGTGATAAAATTAATTTAAATAAATATGCTAAAAGGTATTTTAAATTACAAATGTCATTAAAAAAGCTAAAGTGAATGTCACTAAGATCTTCACTTTTCACTATTTTTTAAATGTTTTTTTTAAAACTCACTAATCAAGATGCTTTTTTTGTTTTGAAAAGAACTTCTCATATAAAATATTAAAATATAAATATTCAGTCATTTTGAATGAAATTTTTCAGTTTTTTACAAAAAAGCTCAAGATGCTTTTTTTGTTTTTAAATGTACTTTTCATATAAAATATTAAAATATAAATATTTAGTCATTTTATATAAAAAATTTTAGTTTATTTAGAAAAAAAACTAATTTTTCAAAGTTTATCTTTTTATTTTTTTTAAAAGGTATTTTAATACAAATATCACTAAAAAAGGTAAAGTGATTGTCACTAAGATCTTCACTTATCACTATTTTTTAAATGTTCATAACTTTTTTAAAAACTCACTAATCAAAATCCTTTTTTTTCTTTTTTTTGTTTTTAAATGTACTTTTCACATAAAATATTAAAATATAAATATTTAGTCATTTTGAATGAAATTTTTCAGTTTTTTAGAAAAAAACTCATTTTTCATAGTTTATCTTTTTATTTTTGTTATTTTTTCTGAACTGTTTTTATGATAAAATTAATTTAAATAAATATGCTAAAAGGTATTTTAAATTACAAATGTCATTAAAAAAGTTAAAGAGATTGTCACTAAGATCTTCACTTTTCACTATTTTTTAAATGTTCATAACTTTTTTAAAAACTCACTACTTAATCAAGATGCTTTTTTTAATTTATTTTTGGTTTTAAAATGAATTTTTCATATAAAATATTAAAATATAAATATTCAGTCATTTTGAATGAACTTTTTTAGTTTTTAAAAAAAAAAAAAACACATTTTTCAAAGTTAACTTTTTTATTTTTGAATTTCGCGCTACTTACCTTGGAAAAAATTGGTAAAAAGTTGGTAAGACTGTAAGAAGTGACAGAAAATCCTATTTCAGGAAGAAAATAAACATGATGAAAAACAATATTTAAAATTATCCTGTCCAGATGCACAAAGAAAATATATAGAAAAAAGAATTTATTTAAAACCTTATTTATGTATATACATTCAAATTAAACTATAATAATAAATTACTAGAGCTGCTATAATTTCCATAATTTATATTGTGTTAAACGATTTAAAAAAGTCTGCAATGTCATATATCCTTTTTATCAATAACAATCTGATTCTGTTCGTTCTCAGTATTCTCATTTTGTACAGTATCCTGCTCGATGGCTTCTGCCGATGTTGCTTTCTTCAAGTAGGTACCTCCCGTGTACCCCGCTATAGCACAGCCCAACGCGGCCGCCCCTCCCACTTTTAAACCCGCCAATAACCCCACAGGGCCCCCTATTATGGATCCCAAAAACGCCCCTGTAACGGGGTATGTAACGGATTTGTATTTGGCAGCTCTTTTGAGGAAGGAGGTTCCTTCTTCGATGTTAATGACTGTGTTTTCCACGATTTTTTCAACTTCTTCCACAGTTGCGGATTGTGTGTCCACCATGGAGTTTAATTGTTCGTACATTTGGTGGAGATCCTCTACGTCTTGGTTTATGTTTTGCACCGAGTTAAAAGTCCTTTCGGCTTGTTGTATTTTGATTGTTTCCAGACTGGTTTCGAGTTGAATTTGTTTTGCATTAGTAAAAGGGTTTTTTTCTGTGTTTTCTTTATCTTCCTCACCACCTAGAGGGTGGATAACTCTCTCGGCCAATTTTTCCATCTCGTTGTAGCCTGTTATCAACTTTAACAGTGTTTTCCTCATCGATAAGGTTTTAACGTCGAACTTATCCAGGTCGGGATCGTCAACTTGAGTTCTTAATGTATCCAACTCGTACATTAGGTCTCGTAACTGTTTGACAGCGCGTTTTTTGTCTTTAATCTCTCTCTTGATTTGCGTTGCATCGTTTAAACTAATAATTTTCCTCATCTGCTCTTTGTATTGCTCCAAAGCGTTTTCGTGGTGCGGAATTACTTCGTCGCTGAATTTTGTCAGCGGAATTTCGATGATTCTGAACGGTTGCTTTTGTATGGCCGTCGTTGCCATTTTGTACGTTTGCATTTTTGTTGTTTCAATCGAAAGATTCGCGTTTTTAATCGCTGGATTCTATGTTTTCAAACAAAGCACTACGAATTTTGACATTACAATTCGATTAACCTTCAAACGTAAACAATTACGTCGTTAGATTCAGGGCTGCCAACTGTAACGGTTTTCACTGAAAGGCGAGCAGGAGCGTACTCGAAATTTTCGGTGCCCCGAGAATATATGTTATTAAGTTATTTTCCCTTAATTTAGACTTATTATTATTATACAGAGCTTTAAATGTTTTAAAGTTTGATATAATTGATTATTTAGAATGTCAAACATAATTTTTATATATTGTTTGCAATATTTTTTATACTATAAATTGTAGTGTAAAAAACATTAAAAAGAAAAAATGTTTTAAGGCTTATTTTAGACAAATTTACTTTTTTATCCAGAAAATGTCTAATATCTAAAGTCTTTCAAAAAAATCCCATGCAAGATTAGAGATGTAAAAACCGATTTTTTACAGATAGAAAAAACATGAAATATGTTTTTGTGTAATCAAAATTTAAAATTTTGGCAAAAATTATTTTTGTTGAATCTTAACAATTTTTCAAAGTTCAAATGTTTTGTAAATGAGTGGAAAAACATTATAAATATAAATTTTAATACATAATTATAAAACCATTAATCTTGACATCTCATGACAGGCCGTTTTACTTTTTAATTGGAAAATAATGAAAAATAATTGTTTGACTTTTTTTATTAATTAAAAAATAATATTTTAATTAAAATTAATTAATAATTAATTTAAAAAGAATAAATGACTTTATTTAAAAACTTTACTTTTATGTTTAAATTGCATTTAGGTACTCTGTTTACATAAAAGTTGATTTCTTTAAAACATAAAAACAACTTATTTTAAAAATTTGTAATGTTTAAATTAAAATAACAACTATTCATTTAAAAGAAACATAATCCGCCATTTTAAATTTGATAATTTTGATATCAAATTCATAGACCCCAAAAACCCAATAATGAACAATTTCTGGGCAAAAAAGTCCACAATTTTTTGTGATGAAAGACCACAAAAACCCAAAAATTGACATTTTCCGGGCAATAAACTAATTATTTTTCAAAAAAGTTCGCCATTTTGGTCCGCCATTTTGAATTTGATAATTTTGAAATCAAATTCGTGATCAGCGACCCCAAAAATTAACATTTTCCGAGCGATAAAGTAATTATTTGATAATTTAAATACCTATCAAATTTGTGATCAGCGACCCCAAAAACCCAATAATGAAAATTTTCTGGGCAATAAACAAAATTTTTTCAAACAAGCCCGCCATTTTGATCCGCCGTTTTAAATTGAATAATTTTGATATTAATTTCTTGATCAGCGAACCCAAACTCCCAACAATAAAGATTTTCAGGGCAATAAAATATTTTTTTTTTATAAATTGTCCACCATTTTTGGTTCGCCATTTTGAGTTTAATGATTTTGTTACCAAATTCGTGATCAAAGACCACAAAAACCCAAAAATTGACATTTTCCGGGCAATAAACTTATTATTTTTCATAAAGTTCGCCATTTTGAATTTGATAATTTTAATATCAAATTCGTGATCAGCGACCCCAAAAACCTTAAGTTACCATTTTTTACATTATTATATTCACTTTTCGAGTTTTGGCACTATTTTGCTTGGGACAGTATAACTAAAGTCTATTCAAATCCAAGCTGGACTAAACAAAAACGCCCAGACGCGTGATAACTCGTTTCTATTGGTCGATTCTGATGGTGTGACTCGCATTGTGAGCTCTTATTGGTCGATTCGGAGGATTGTGTTTACATTTAGTCCAGCTTGGATTTGAATAGACTTTAGGGTCCATATAAACAATATTTCGAAGAAAAATCTCACCTGGGATTACCTGCAATTAAAATAGGGCAAAAAAATACTTACTCATAAAATTTTGGAACCACTTGGGCTTCTGCTTGACGTGTATCCCGAAATAGTAGAACGGTATGCCCGACAAGGTGCACAGGGCTCCTCCGCACAGCGCCAAAGGGGTGTCCAAAATCGGCAGCACTATCAAAAACAGGCAGATGGCCACGAAAGCTATGGGAAAGAAAATATTGACTTTTATGGGCCGAGGCAGGTCCGGCTGCGTGTATCTGAGGTAGAGCAGGCCCGCCACAGACAACATCACGAATGCCGATTCGACTATCGTGCAATATTCTATGAGTAGGTGGATATCGCTGGTGCACAGCATCAGCAACGATAAACCGTTCTAAAAAAAACATTGTCACGAAAATTACATTTTTTTAAAACGTCCCAACTCACCAGAAAAAACAGACTAGGCACAGGAGTGTTCTTCTTGATATTTAAGTGGGATAAGAACGACGGGAAATGGCCATTTCTGGCTCCCACATACAGCATCCTTGATGATGCCATAATGTGCACACTTAAACCCCCGAAAGCTGATATGGCCACCATGATGGGCAGAATCCAAGCAAATTTTCCCAGTATGGCATTACCAAAAGTCTAAAAAGTTACAATTCTGTGCTACATATATATATATATATATATATATATATTTGGGAACACAAGTTTTTATTATTATGTAGAGTAACTTTAGTTTTACGGCTTTGTCTTAATAGTTTTTCGAAAAACTTTAGTTATGTAATTTAATTTGTACATTTAAAAGATATCCATATGAACAAAATATTTTTTTTTAGCAAACATATTGTCAAACGAAATGTTTTTAAAATTTTTGGAAGATTTAAATATTTAAACAAATTTAAAACAATTTGAATTTTTGTGCTAACTTTTTAAAAAATTTCCAAAATAAATAAGTGTTACTTTAAAACTAGTTATTTATGTCATTAGGTTAAATAGTAAGGCTTTTTGTGCTAAGCTCAAGGTTTACAATTGAGCGAAGCACAAAAAGGCACTTCTTGGCCGAATGGCATAAAACATTTTATCTTCAAAGCACTTTATATAAGTCAATTTAATTCAACATCAAAGCGGCCTAACCTCACTTTTTTAGAATCTTATTTATTTATTAGCTAAAGATTACATTAAATGTAGAATAATTATTATTGCTTTTAGAAGCAGTAATAGTTTGACAATACCTAGCAACATGATTTAAGTAGAAATGGATTTTTGCTATTACATTGAATTCAAAATTAATTGTTTAATTAATAGGTAGGTATCTAATTTTAATTTGTTTGGATTTTTATTTAAAAAATAGGTAGTTTGGAATGTTTAAGCTGCGTTTAACATTTAATTTCACTGAAAACTTAAAGCAAATTAAAACTTAAAGATAATTTAAATCGTCAAAACAATACCCCTAGCGAGAAAAAATCGAACTACTTACTTGCCTCATAAAATTTTTTATCGGCCTAGGCCATAACAAGGTATTTCTTTATCGAATGTTGACAACAATAAAGTTTAAATTATAGACCGCGTCGAGATAAATATCTTTATATAAAAAAAAAATTTTAAGAAATGAATTTGAAAAACGATTTTTTTGAGGTATCCTAAAGATTTGGAAAAAATTCCAGGTTCTGGAAATGTTTGCACCAAAAAGAAATTATAAAAAAATTACAATAAATAGTGTGTGCACTATAAAACTACAACTGAAATTTTTGTTAATTTTGAAATTTTATGAATTTTGGAATGTGTAAGTTTAAAAGTTTTTAATTATTAAAAATTTTTTAAATTCTCCCAAATATATAGTTCAAATTGACTTCCTCAAGGTCGCAAACCATTTCTGGGAATTTTTGGCAACACCAGAAAGGTTATGACAAAATAGAGTAATTGCATCAAAAATGAAAATCCCTAAAAACATTTTTAATGTAATCTAGAGGTAAAAACACATTGCAAAAATATTTTTTTATATTCCAAAAGTTCAACCCGGCCCCAAAATATCAAATTGAAAAAAAGGTACTTTTCAAACGTTCCGAACTCCCGCCATATTGCATGACGTCATAAGCTTCACCAGCTGTCAGAAATCAAGATGTCAACAAATAATAAACACCGATAAAGTTTATGTTTAACATGGAAAACGCGAAACCAAAAATTGGTTGTAAATATTGTTTTGTGCCTTGTTGTACAAATACAACCTGGAAAACTCCTCGCAACATCGTAAAAAAATATCAAGTGAAACAAGTGAATCGCGACTGTTTCATGCAAATTTTTGCCTAAAATTACAGGAAAAAACATTATTTAGTTTTTGACCATTTGATTTTTATTTTTTAGTGAATTAATGTGTCTTTTATCTGTCAACATTATTTAATGGCGCACATGTATTGATATTTACTTGATAAACACAATAATTCAATCAAATGGTTAAAAACTAAAAAACGTTTTTTTTATATTAATATTAATAATAGAAAAAAAAAACTAAACAAGTAGATATACTTACAACTGCAATAGCATCAGTGGAAATCATCTCATCGACCGTCAAAACCGACAAATAAGCCGTATTGGCCAGCACGTAAATCCCCGTGACCAGAGGCAAAGAAATGTAAATGGCCCTGGGCAGATTCACGAACGGGTTTCTTAGCTCCTCCGTCATGAAATTCAGATAGTTCCAGCCCGAGTACGTGAAAATGCCCGAGTAGAAGGCCTTGGCGATCTTTCCCGGGTTCGTGTTCGAGTTGGCGAACGCGTTCTCGAAATGCGACACGTTCCCCATGCCCATCCACGCCACCCCGATCATTATTATCGACACTAAGGCGCCTATCTTGCAGAACATGAACACGTTTTGGAGTTTCAGCGTCGCCTTCACGTTGTACCCGTTTATGAACGACAGAAAACCTGCGAAAATACGGATCTGTCAAACGTTGACAGTTAACTTGACGTCTGTCAAAAAGTCATGGCTGCGCGATTAAAGAACAGATTTAATCAATGTTACCAGATGTAAAACATTTACTTACTCTAGGAAAATTATGCATTAAAATAATTAATACATTACATTTTATCACACATTAATTTTTATAAAAAAAAAATTGTAATTTTAAAGTGTGCTATCTTGTATTGAAACGTTTTATTATCGGAATGGATTTTTATTTACAAAGGTTTGGCGCGCCATTTCACTTTTTAATCGTAAATGTTTTAAATGTAAAAGAAATTGAAGTAGGTTTTTTTAAAATTATGGTATATATAACTTTTTATAATTTTTATTTTGACTGACATAATAATAATTAAATAAAATTACGTCAAAATAAGGATCTGTCAAACATTGACAGTAAACTTGACATCTATCAAAAAGTCATGGCTGCGCGATTAAAGAACAGATTTAGATCAATGTAACCAGATGTAAAACATTTACTTACTCTAGAAAAATAATTAATACATTAAATTTTGTCAAAAAAAAAATTGTAAAAATGTAATTTTAAAGTGTGCTAACTTGTACTGAAACGTTTTATTATCGGAATGGATTTTTATTTACAAAGGTATGGCGCGCCATTTCACTTTTTAATCGTAAATGTTTTAAATGTAAAAGAAAATTGAAGTAGGTTTTTTAAAATTATGGAATATATAATTTTTTATAATTTTAATTTTGACTGGCATAATAATAATTAAATAAAATTACGTCAAAATAAGGATCTGTCAAAAATTGACAGTAAACTTGACGTCTGTCAAAAAGTCATGGCTGCGTCATTAAAGAACAGATTTAGATCAATGTAACCAGATGTAAAACATTTACTTACTCTAGAAAAATAATTAATACATTAAATTTTATCACACATTAATTTGTGTCAAAAAAAAAATTGTAAAAATGTAATTTTAAAGTGTGCTAACTTGTACTGAAACGTTTTATTATCGGAATGGATTTTTATTTACAAAGGTATGGCGCGCCATTTCACTTTTTATTCGTAAATGCTTTAAATTTAAAAGAAAATTGAAGTAGGTTTTTAAAAATTAACAATATAAAATTTTTTATAATTTTAATTTTGACTGACATAATATTAATTAAATAAAATTACGTCAAAATAAGGATCTGTCAAACATTTACAGTAAACTTGACATCTGCCAAAAAGTCATGGCTGCGTGATTAAAGAACAGATTTAGATCAATGTTACCAGATGTAAAACATTTACTAACTCTAGGAAAATTATGCATTAAAATAATTAATACATTAAATTTTATCACACATTAATTTGTGTCAAAAAAAAATTGTAAAAATGTAATTTTAAACTTGTACTGAAACGTTTTATTATCGGAATGGATTTTTATTTACAACGGTATGGCGCGCCATTTCACTTTTTAATCGTAAATGTTTTAAATGTAAAAGAAAATTGAAGTAGGTTTTTTAAAATTTTGGTATATACAATAATTTTTTATAATTTTAATTTTGACTGACATAATATTAATTAAATAAAATTACGTCAAAATAAGGATCTGTCAAACATTGACAGTAAACTTGACATCTGTCAAAAAGTCATGGCTGCGTGATTAAAGAACAGATTTAGATCAATGTTACCAGATGTAAAACATTTACTAACTCTAGGAAAATTATACATTAAAATAATTAATACCTACATTAAATTTTATCACACATTAATTTGTGTAAAAAAAATGTAAAAGTTGTAATTTTAAAGTGCTAACATGTCAAAAAAATTGTAAAAATGTAATTTTAAAGTGTGCTAACTTGTACTGAAACGTTTTATTATCGGAATGGATTTTTATTTACAACGGTATGGCGCGCCATTTCACTTTTTAATCGTAAATGTTTTAAATTAAAAAAAAAATTGAAGTAGGTTTTTAAAAATTAAAACAATATAAATTTTTTTATAATTTTAATTTTGACTGACATAATATTAATTAAATTAAATTACGTCAAAATAAGGATCTGTCAAAAATTGACAGTAAACTTGACATCTGTCAAAAAGTCATGGCTGCGTGATTAAAGAACAGATTTAGATCAATGTTACCAGATGTAAAACATTTACTTACTCTAGGAAAATTATGCATTAAAATAATTAATACATTAAATTTTATCGCACATTAATTTGTGTAAAAAAAATGTAAAAGTTGTAATTTTAAAGTGCTAACATGTACTGAAACGTTTTATTATAGGAATGGATTTTTATTTACAAAGGTATGGCACGCCATTTCACTTTTTATTCGTAAATGTTTTAAATGTAAAACAAAATTGAAGTAGGTTTTTTAAAATTATGGAATACCTATATAATTTTTTATAATTTTAATTTTGACACATAATAATTAAATAAAATTACTTCAAAATAAGGATCTGTCAAACATTGACAGTAAACTTGACGTCTGTCAAAAAGTCATGGCTGCGTGATTAAAGAACAGATTTAGATCAATGTTACCAGATGTAAAACATTTACTTACTCTAGGAAAATTATGCATTAATATAATTTAAAAAGTTCAAAAAAATTACTCACATATAACTGCCGCAGCAACTAATCTAACTCCAACATCAGGCATATCACAGTTGGGAAAAAATGGTTGTATCACATATTTGGCAAATGTAAGGCCCATAATGGAATTTGTTGTTGGTCTAAAAAATGCGGTTTCAGATTTTAAAGACCCTGCAAAAATAAACCACTTTTCTTACACAAAAATTAGATTGGCGGCCCACAGGTATAAAAATGATGGTAGGGGGCCAAAGGCCTCATGAATATATGCATAATCCCCCCCTGATTTGGGTATAGCTGTGCCCAATTCGGCATAGCATAAGGCACCAATCATTGATAATAGTCCACATAACACCCATATCACTAGAGAAAACCCCACGGAATCTACTTCTTGAATTACGCCTTTCGGAGATATGAAAATACCTAAAAATTAAATAATGGGAAACATAAACATAATAAATATTGGAATGCATATCAAATTTACATCTTTTTAGCGTTTTTTTAAATTTTCATGAGTGTTCTTCTTCTTCTTTTTCGGTTTGATTGGCCTTTCCCTTCCGGGAATTAGCCAGCTGTATTTTATTCAATATTATACTGGAGCAAGCGAGTCTAGGATAACCTATAGCTTACTCCTTTTCTTCTTGGTTTTATATTTTATTTATTATTATTTTTGTCACTTTTTCATGAGTGTTCTTGATTTTCATATTAAATTTCGTGCTGCCAACTTAAGAACACGAAAATATGACATTTTTAAACCTTAATTTTGCCATTATAACAACAAATTAACAATTAATATTAATACTTTTCCAATTTTTATGTTGTTTTTAGTTTTAGAGATACTTTAATTTGTAATATAAGTATTAATTTGTTAATTAAAATGCAACGTTTTAGTTTTACTAGGCACTGCTGAGGTTGCAGACATGGCCAACTGTTATTTATTTATGAAACTTCAAAAGAAAATACTACCTTAAAAACTAAATTTTGAAATATTTAACATATAAAATAACTGTTTAATCAAATGCAAGCACTTATAAAAATAAATTTATTAATTTGTAGTGTTAAACTTGAAAAATACCAAATATACAATTATATTTATCAAGTGATAAACAAACATATTAATAAGTTTGAGATAAAAATAATCTTGTCAAATCTTCATTAAATTTGATTTATTAGCGGAAATCATCAAGTGCCTCATTGAAATAAATTGGATTATTAAGTTAGGCACTTGAGATTTAATGAAGATATGAAAAAGATCACAATTTCAATATAGATTTTTTTTAATTGACCATTGACCACACGTTTTTTTAATTCTGACATCTTAATGAGTGGTGTTTTATACACATTTTTTTTGTAATTGGATAACATTTAGAGGTCCTTCTGATGGTTGTTGAAATAACCAAATTATTACTTTATAAATAAATATTTTAACAACAGGGTGGTTATGCATTGTTTTAATTTAAATTGTCTAGTAAAATTATACAGGGTGTCCCCGGGTGTCCCATTTAAAAAATGTTGTATTTGTAAATATTTTGATTTTCTGACTTTTTTATTTTTTTATTTTTCACAAACAATTTTTAATTTTCAATACCAATGTGTGCTGTAACAATGTAATGAATAGACAATTAACAATAAATTGCATAATAAATTTTGTAGAAATTATATGAATAAAAATTATAATTAATGGGTTTTGTTATCTACATTTGTATGTTAATTTATGCTTAACTTGTAATTCTTTATGAATAGCAAAAGTGCATTTACCCTAGTTTTTATTTATAAACAATTATTTTAACAAACAACAAGAATTTTCCATAATTTATTTAAAGGTTTAATGCACATATTTAAATCCCTGTTATTTAATTGTTTAAAAATAAACATGTGCCTAATTTAATAGCTAATACTTAAATTAAAAGCTAACAAAACAAAATTTACAAGATAAATGAAATAATTTGACTTTAATTTAACGTTTCCTGGGCCCACTAACATAACAAAATAGTGAATAAGTGAAGAATTTATAAAGAAACATTAAATTAATTTTGCAATAACTTTTCCCTCCATAAAATTCTTGAATTAGGCACCTAGTATTGATTGAATTAATTGAGTAATCAATTATAATTAGAATGGAAAAACAAAATTAACTATTGTATTGTACTGTATAGAATATATTTGCTTAAACATTCTACCTAATGTTCTATAGGTATTTTAGTTACATAACCTTCACATTTCACAGAAAAGCAATTTAAATACCACATAACATCTAATAAACCATACTGGTTTATTAGATATTAAAAAGAAATAAAAAAAAACTGTCAGATAATTAAAAAAAAATGACAACTTTGTGTGTTGAATAAGCAAATATTACACATCTAAAAAATGTTGTCATGGAAACAATTTAAATAAGGCATCTGTGGTTGACAGTTATAATTTTTGACAGTTTGTGTCAAATAATTTCTGTTTAGTTTGTTTATTAATTTATTTAAAAACTATAACTTACCAGATCCGAACATAATCCCCAAAACTATGGCCACCCCTTCCAACAGCCCCAATTCTTTTTTTAATTTAACTTTTCCATCTTGTTCTTCGCATTCTATAAGGGAATTTTCCGTTGGGGATTGAACTTCTTTGTTATTTGAAGGCATTTTAAAAATTCTAAAACCTAACTTATCATGGAAATTTCGGTACATTTACATCATCATTACTTACTTTATATTTTGGTCTCGCTAATAATCTTCAAAAAAACGAGTGTTTAATTTATTTTTTCCGTTATATTAACTACCAAACTAATCATTTTTTAACACACGTGCATTATTTAACTAAACAAAAGATTTTAGGTTATAGTTTAGTAACCGAAAACGTAAACAAGACTAACCAAAACTGGACATGAATGCAAAAAGCGATGTTGCCATGTTGTCAGTTTTATCCCAATTACTTGGACATAATTGATTTTCAATAACTGTATTTAATTGCGTTGAAGTTTAACGAAATAAATTAAATTTATGAAGTTAAAAACTCAGTAAATGTATGATTTATCAAGGTGATTGATGATTTTTTTTTATTCTTAATATTTTTTTATATTATCTTTGGCAACGTTGCTTTTCGCGCACGCAATATTTTAAAATCAATAAGGTAAAACATCAAAATCATCCTAAATAGGTATAATTTTCAAAAAATGTTTCATGCATAATTTTTCGAAAATATAATTTTATTTTTAAAACAAAAATATTCCTAATTGACATTTTATAACAAACGTATCACTTCCAAGTTGTTTGATCAAGTCTTAAAAGATTTACAATTATTTAAAACATTATGCAATGGAAGATTTAAAAAAGCGTTTAATTAATTTAGGTGCATGACCCTCTTTAACGAATCTATTTGGGTTGTAAATTTGCAGAGTTGGTAGTCCTACTTTGTTTAAAAAATTGACTGTGTAAGTTTTCAAAACAATTCGATTTGTCAACTCCTGTGGCAAGTAAGCAATATTTATCCTTAAGGTATTTAATATTTCCCAACAAATTAACGCAGTTATGTATAATTTCGGCGAATGCAAGCGGTCGCAATGTTAAATTTAAATTTCGCGGGCAGTTTTGACGGGCGTGTGTTTGGTGGAATTTAGTGGAATTAATTTTTATTTGGTCTTCCTGTCCTTCATATTTCCAAGTCGTCAAACTGGTAAAAGCAAACTGTTTGCTTATTAATTGCGTATACGTAATAAATATTGAGTTATCGCATAATTGTGTGGAACATAAACGTGATATATTAGATTACCTTGCAAAGTCCTACTTAATTACACATGTAAGTTACAGTTTAGACTAAATAGGTGTAAGTAGTTGATGTTTTGAATTTGTCCAAGGGGTTTAGTGAAAACCCAATCTATTGCCGAAACTAAAGTAATAATATTTTGTTATTAAGATTCCCAACAACACTGGCAAAATTATGAACGGCTTTTGGAAACTATGGAATAAATAGGTTATGTGTGTTTAACTTAAAATAGTTGTGTACTATATATATTTAAATTCTATTTTATCGAGTTTCTAAAAATTTACTAAGAATATCAACTTAAGCTAAAGATAACTACACTATATTTACTAGAAAACCAAAAAATGTCAGGGTGTTTATTTTGCTTGGGAAGTCACTCTTTTCAAAATGGCATCATCAAAACTGTAATTTTTGCTCTAAAGAAATTGCTAGGATATTTTTGTCATCAAAAAATTACTATTTTAGTTCCAATAGATAATAAAAATTGTTTTTATAGGTTAGTCAAGAAGGTAATGGTTAATATAAATATATTTTTTTTAATATAAGGTTTACTAAGGAAGATGACAATTCTGGAGAATGATGTGATTTCTATGCGCAGCAAATTATCTCTGTCGAAGAACAAGTACAAGACCGGTGAGAGTTTGAAAAGAAAGTTTGTGTACGAAGACAGTTCGGTGCCGTTGCCCAAAAAGCAGGCATTTGACATGAACGGCTATCGCACGGAGCAGAAACGAAACGGGGAGGCTGCGCAAGAATCTCCCGTTTCCACTCTGTCCAACATGGGCAACACGTGCTTCTTGAACAGCGTTTTGTACACGTTGAGGTTCGCGCCGACGTTTCTGCACAATTTGCACCATCTAATCGGCGATTTGGCGCTTATTAACTCGCGGTTGAGTCAGAACAAAGGTAAGACGTCATCGTTGGGGAGGAATGTCAGTGCCATCACCGGGCCCAGTTCCAGGAGCACCAGCAGTAAAGATTTGCTGTCCCTAGGTAGTGACGTTGTGCCGAAGACTAAGGTGCAGATTGTCACTGAGAAGTTGCACGAGTTGTTCATAACGATGCATAATTTGGAGGGTAAGGATTCGAGCGAGGCCTACCAACCTGTTGCGTTACTGCAGGCGGTACGAGACGCGAATTCCATATTCGAAGGTAACCATCAGCAGGATGCGCACGAGTTGCTGGTGTACCTGCTGGATAACATCAGGGAAACTTGTGATTTACTCACTCAACAAGTTCAAAGTAATCCTGTGTTACTGAATGAAACTGAACCCCTTTCTACAAGTAAGGTGAGTAACTAATTTTTAACTAAATTTATTTAGTGTTAATTTTTTTATTCCATGTATTAAGAAAAACTATTAAAAACCGAAAAAAGCCTTTTTAAAATTTAAAAATCAATTTTAATAGCACAAATTTAAGATTGTCTTTTTGAAATTTACTTTTTATTATTCTGAGTACCAAATCAAAATTTTTATAATTTTCGCAAATAAAAAATAATAAAATTAACAGTATATTTCAGTTACAAGAAAATCTATTAAAAACCGAAAAAAGCCTTTTTATTAAAAATTGGTACAATAAAATTTTAAAATCAATTTTAATAGCACAAATTTAAGATTGTCTTTTTGAAATTTACTTTTTAATATTCTTAGTACCAAATCGAAAAATTTAAAATTTTTGCAAATAAAAATAATAAAATTAATAGTATATTTAAGTTACAAGAAAATCTATTAAAAACCGAAAAATGCATTTTATTAAAAATTGGTACAATAAAATTTTAATAGCACAAATTTTAGATTGTCTTTTTGAAATTTACTTTTTATTATTCTGAGTACCAAATCAAAATTTTTATAATTTTCGCAAATAAAAAATAATAAAATTAATAGTATATTTAAGTTACAAGAAAATCTATTAAAAACCGAAAAAAGCCTCTTTATTAAAAATTGGTACAATAAAATTAAATTTTTAAATATCTACAATGATATTTTTAATTCGCGGAATAAAAATTATTTTATGATATTTTTTATCTAATGTAAATATCACACATAGGAATAATTTCTTAATAAAAAATAAATTGGCGCCCCATTTTTTTAAAGATATTTTTGAGATCTACAAATTTTTTATTTAGGATTTTTACTTAAATCTACATTTTTTGCCGTAAAAATTTTTTTGCCTTAAAAATTGGAAACGGTAAAATACAGATTGAAAGTTTTTTATCAAACATGTTTTTTTAACAAAATAATTTCCATAAAACGGTTTTAGGATTTTTTTACATTTCGTTTATAAACATATTTGGATATTTTAATATTCTGCATAAAGAAATCTAAAAGTATATAATTTTTGTCAACAATTCTTGAACACAACAAAATTTTAAAAAAATATATTAAAAATGTTAAAATATGATGTTTTGTAAAAAATTTAACATTTTCCTTTTTTTTAATTCAAGATTCAAACAATTTAAAAAGTTTATTATTTCTAACAAAAATCGAAAAACTAGTAACACATAATATTATACATATATTATACATATTTTTTTTATAAATAATGCTCTTTTTAATCAAAATGTTAGATTTTATGTTTGGCAGAAGTAGTTTTTAAAAATTCTTGAAATATAGACTGTGTAATAAAAACTTCATAAAAGTTATATATTTACAATTAAAACTGATATTTTGTTAGAAAATTCCACACTTGATTATTTTCCAAAATTATGTAATTATTTTTAAGTTTTAATATGCTTCCAACAGGCTCTGAAATTAGTTTAATCCAATGTCCTCTAAAATGTTATTCGTCTAATATAATATCACATTTTAAGACATTTTTTAAATGCTTTTTTCGACAAATTTATTGTTAACGTTTTCAGGAATTTTCCCTTAGAAAATCGCCAATACTTGTTTTTCATAGTTTTTTATTCCGCATAATAATGTAATTAATGTAATACCTATATTAAAATACTGAATACCTTTTGTGAAAATAAATATGCATTCGAATTTTTTTATATTTTTTGTGATACGCCACTGGTTACACACTTGTGTTCTGTGAGTGTGCGACTCACCCCTGTAAAATCTTTATTTATTGTGCGATTTTAACCGGATTTGTTTTAAACTGCAGATCTTGATAAAGTGTATTTTTGGAGCAAAAGTCACTGGATTCACTACCCCTCAAAAGTACCCTAAACTAAATTTTATTAAAAAATTTTAAGAAAAAAAATGCAGAATAATAACTACAAAAATTTATTTTGTCAAGTTATCCATGAAAAAACATTGAAATAAAATTAAACTTTTAGTAATAGTACCATGTTAATGTTAGTTTAATTTTATTTCAATGTTTTTTCATGGATAACTTGACAAAATAAATTTTTGTAGTTATTTTTGTGCATTTTTTTTCTTAAAATTTTTCAATAAAATTTAGTATAAGATAGTTTTGAGGGGTGGTGAATCCAGTGCCGTGCTTTTATTTTGTTTAAAAAAATCGCTAATATGAATTCTTAAAAATTTACTCTTAAAAACTGACATAGTAGGCCTTGTATTTTGTATTAATATGGCGTATTTTGCTCCAAAAATACAGTTTATCAAGATCTACACTTTAAAACAAATCCGGTTAAAATCGCACAATAAATAAAGATTTTACAGGGGTGAGTCGCAAACAAATGGGTCACACTGTAGATATCAACCAACAAAGTAGCTGCGCGTTGCCAGTTGTATTGTTACTAAAAATTTTCCTGCAAAAACAATTTGAGCACATAACTTAAAATTTGAAAGAAATGCGCTAGATTCTGTCATAAAATTTGCCAGATTTTGTTGAATTTACCTTTGTTACAAAAATGACATAATAAACAACTAATAAAAACGCCAAATTAACAATTTGTTTAATTGATTTTGTCATATTTGTAACTAAGCTAAATTTAAACAAAATCTGTCAACTTAACATAATAAATTAAATTATCAACCAGATTAGCCTTAGGAACTACCCATTTTAATATATTACATTAATTACAAAACACCCTGTATAATCTAAAAAAATATGGACCGAAAAAATCATTAAACATTATATTTTCAACGGGATGTCAAAAATGTAATGTTTTCAGGTGAGCAACAACAGCAAACTGTGGAGCGTGCGGAGGTCGTGGAAGAAAAACTACAAAAAAAAAGACAAAGAACCGATCTCGGAGGAGGAGAACGGTACCAGCACCACCGACAACGACGACAGCAACTCCGTCGACGGCAACGGCGACGCGAACAAGAAAAAGTTGGGTTACAACTTCGTGGCGGAAGATTTCGAAGGCATAACGCTGCGGCGCACCAAGTGCTTGGAGTGCGAGAGCGTTACAGAAAGAAAGGAACCGTTTTATGATATTCCGGTACCGATTTCGCCGAAAGAAGACGATTTGGATGAGAGTTTAACCGCGAGTGATATTTACCGTAGAGCTTGTGTTACAACGGAGAAATTGTGCGAGTCTAATAAGTATTTGTGCGAGAAGTGTAAGAGATATAATGAGGCGAGTCGCGAGGTTCTTTTCGAGAAACTTCCGAACATAATGGTGTTACAGTTGAAGAGGTTTACGACTACATCGGCGGGGGTTCAGAAGGTTAATACGTTTCTCCCCACGCCTTTGGAGTTGGAGTGTTTTTGCGAGGGTTGTTGTAAGGTTTACGAGAATGAAGAGGACGAAGATAAACCTCGGCACCGTTACCAGTTGTGCTGCGTTATAATGCATTTGGGCGGTACCATGGCTTCTGGGCACTATATAGCTTATGTTAAGGCTTCCCACCATTTAGAGGATTACGCGGACTGCTCGCGGGATTCCCCGAAAGGGAGTCTCTCGGCGAGTTCTAGCGAGAAGTCGCTGAACATCCTCAAGTACTTGAAACCGCGCGGGATGATCTCGAACTCTCTGGAGAAGAACGTGGGGGGGGTGCGCGTGTGCAAGAGCGCGGAGTGCTGCGGCGTGAAGCTGAGCAGGAACGCGGCGAACAGCTGCGCGTGGCTCGAGTGCGACGACGAGAACGTGCGGCCGATCGGCTCTAGGGAGTTGGAGGAGGAGCTGGGCTTCAAGCCCAACTCGACCTCTACGCCGTACTTGCTGTTCTACGCGAAGATCACCGACCCCTTCGAGTGATTTCGCCGGCGGAAAGGTCGTTTCGTCGTCGGCGAGTGCGGCGGTTTTTTCGGGGATTTTTGTGATATCGCGAGTTGAGTCGGGTGGTCGACTTGTTCTTGCTCGTCGAGTAGGTTTTATTTTGTTTAATGCGGCACGAAAAAAATGTAAAGATTAGTGGAGGTTGCTTTGGAACGCCACCGAAAATCGACGTTTGGTTTGTATTGCACATAAAAATTAAACGAAAAGTGGTAAAAATGTAATTTTATGGAACAATAAAAAATTGATTACAAAAGTTGATGGTACCTTAGTATTTGATATTTTAAGTCTGAAGACTGAAGAAAAGATGCATCTTTTTTAGTTTCCAAAAGTGACAAGTTTTTAATATAATTTTTCCATAACAATCATCAATTTGTCGTTAAAAAATAACGTTTCTTCATATTTTTCCAAAAAAACTGAGAATTTCTGGGACGTACCATTTTACAAAAAAAAATATCATTGAGATTTTTTTAATTGAAAAAACAAGTCCCAACTATCGCAAAATGATCATATCGGACAACATAACTAAACATATAAAAGTAAATAAATACAATATTCAACATGAATAGTAACAAAGGCTTTTTACATTCTCTGGGAGTTTGTTGTAAAGTCTGTACCCTTGGTGACACCGAGTTGGTGTTTTATCCTCATTTCTTCATATTTCGTTTCGTCTCTTTCCAGGTCTACTCGTCCTCGCCCTCTAATATTATGTTCATGTGGACGGCTCTCTAAAGGTTGCTTCTCCATCCTGTATCTCCTTTGTTACGATCTTGTGCACCAATTTGGGAGTTTCTAATGGTCTCAGTCCGATATTCAGTTCTTGCGTGTTTTTATAGAGTTGCTCAGTGGGTGGTATTTGTCCATTCTGTACATGATTTCGTTGTAAGGATTTTTTCGGGGTTTAATTTGCAGTCGCCCAAAAAGGTTTAAGATTTGACGGTTGGCTTTTAATATAAGTATCATAAACCAATAATCTTTGAGGTGCGTTGTGGTTATTTTGTGTTTGAAGAGTGTTTCAGTGAGCATCCAGTTTAGTTTCTTGTCGATATTCAATCCCACGGATTTGATTGTTGTTACTTTCTTTAGTGACTACCTAATTTTGATGTTCTTTTGCTCTATATTCAAAGTGCATAATGTGTTTTTCAAAAGTTCTACAGAGGATGATAATTTCAATACAATTAAAAAAGCGACAAATCCCTCAACAAGAACGTTCGAGTGATTTCGCCGGCGGAAAGGTCGTTCTGTCGTCGGCGAGTGCGGCGGTTTTTTCGGGGATTTATGTGATATCGCGAGTTGAGTCGGGTGGTCGACTTGTTCTTGCTCGTCGAGTAGGTTTTATTTGTTTAATGCGGCACGAAAAAAATGTAAAGATAAGTGGAGGTTGCTTTGGAACGCCACCGAAAATCGACGTTTGGTTTGTATTGCACACAAAAATTAAATGAAAAGTGGTAAAAATGTAATTTTATGGAACAATAAAAAATTGATTATAAAAGTTGATGGTACCTTAGTATTTGATATTATAAGTCTGAAGACTGAAGAAAAGATGCATCTTTTTTAGTTTCCAAAAGTGACAAGTTTTTAATATAATTTTTCCATAACAATCATCAAGTTGTTATTAAAAATTAACGTTTCTTCATATTTTTCCAAAAAAACTGAGAATTTCCGGGACGCGTCATTTTACAAAAAAAAAAAATCCGTGAGATTTTTTTAATAGAAAAAACAAGTCCCAAGTATCGCAAAATGATAATATCGGACAACATAACTAAATATATAAAAGTAAATAAATACAATATTCAACATGAATAGTAACAAAGGCTTTTTACATTCTCTGGGAGTTTGTTGTAAGGTCTGTACCCTTGGCGACACCGAGTTGGTGTTTTATCCTCATTTCTTCATATTTCGTTCTGTCTCTTTCCAGGTCTACTCGTCCTCGCCCTCTAATATTATGTTCATGTGGACGGCTTTCTAAAGGTTACTTCTTCATCCTGTATCTCCTTTGTTACGATCTTGTGCGCCAATTTGGGAGTATCTAATGGTCTCAGTCCGATATTCAGTTGTTGGGTGTTCTTATAGAGTTGCTCAGTAGGTGGTATTTGTCCATTCTGTACATGATTTCGTTGTAAGGATTTTTTCGGGGTTTAATTTGCAGTCGCCCAAAAAGGTTTAAGATTTGACGGTTGGCTTTTAATATAAGTATCATAAACCAATAATCTTTGAGGTGCGTTGTGGTTATTTCGTGTTTGAAGAGTGTTTCAGTGAGCATCCAATTTAGTTTCTTGTCGATATTCAATCCCACGGATTTGATTGTTGTTACTTTCTTTAGTGACTACCTAATTTTGATGTTCTTTTGCTCTATATTCAAAGTGTATACGAGAACGTGCGGCCGATCGGCAGTAGGGAGTTGGAGGAGGAGCTGGGCTTCAAGCCCAACTCCACCTCGACGCCGTACCTGCTGTTCTACGCGAAGATCACCGACCCGTTCGAGTGATTTCGCCCCGGCGGAAAGGTCGTTCCGTCGTCGGCGGGTGCGGCGGTTTTTTCGGGGATTTATGTGATATCGCGAGTTGAGTTGGGTGGTCGACTTGTTCTTGCTCGTCGAGTAGGTTTTATTTGTTTAATGCGGCACGAAAAAAATGTAAAGATTAGTGGAGGTTGCTTTGGAACGCCACCGAAAATCGACATTTGGTTTGTATTGCACATAAAAATTAAATGAAAAGTGGTAAAAAATGTAATTTTATGGAACAATAAAAAATTGATTATAAAAGTTGATGGTACCTTAGTATTTGATATTAAAAGTCTGAAGACTGAAGAAAAGATGCATCTTTTTTAGTTTCCAAAAGTGACAAGTTTTTAATATAATTTTTCCATAACAATCATCAATTTGTCGTTAAAAAATAACGTTTCTTCATATTTTTCCAAAAAAAAAACAGAATTTCAGGGACGTGCCATTTTACAAAAAAAAAATCCGTGAGATTTTTTTAATTGAAAAAACAAGTCCCAAGTATCGCAAAATGATAATATCGGACAACATAACTAAATATATAAAAGTAAATAAATACAATATTCAACATGAATAGTAACAAAGGCTTTTTACAGTCTCTGGGAGTTTGTTGTAAAGACTGCACCCTTGGTGACACCGAGTTGGTGTTTTATCCTCATTTCTTCATATTTCGTTTTGTCTCCTTCCAGGTCTACTCGTTCTCGCCCTCTAATATTATGTTCATGTGGACGGCTTTCTAAAGGTTACTTCTTCATCCTGTATCTCCTTTGTTACGATCTTGTGCACCAATTTGGGAGTTTCTAATGGTCTCAGTCACATATTCAGTTGTTGGGTGTTTTTATTGAGTTGATCAGTGGGTGGTATTTGTCCATTCTGTTCATGATTTCGTTGTAAGGATTTTTACGGGGTTTCATTTGCAGTCGCCCAAAAAGGTTTAAGATTTGACGGTTGGCTTTTAATATAAGTATCATAAACCAATAATCTTTGAGGTGCGTTGTGGTTATTTTGTGTTTGAAGAGTGTTTCAGTGAGCATCCAGTTTAGTTTCTTGTCGATATTCAATCCCACGGATTTGATTGTTGTTACTTTCTTTAGTGACTACCTAATTTTGATGTTCTTTTGCTCTATATTCAAAGTGCATAATGTGTTTTTCAAAAGTTCTACAGAGGATGATAATTTCAATACAATTAAAAAAGCGACAAATCCCTCAACAAGAACGTTCGAGTGATTTCGCCGGCGAAAAGGTCGCTTTGTCGTCGGCGAGTGCGGCGGTTTTTTCGGGGATTTATGTGATATCGCGAGTTGAGTTGGGTGGTCGACTTGTTCTTGCTCGTCGAGTAGGTTTTATTTTGTTTAATGCGGCACGGAAAAAATGTAAAGATAAGTGGAGGTTGCTTTGAAACGCCACCGAAAATCGACATTCGGTTTGTATTGCACATAAAAATTAAATGAAAAGTGGTAAAAAATGTAATTTTATGGAACAATAAAAAATTGATTATAAAAGTTGATGGTACCTTAGTATTTGATTTTTTAAGTCTGAAGACTGAAGAAAAGATGCATCTTTTTTAGTTTCCAAAAGTGACAAGTTTTTAATATAATTTTTCCATAACAATCATCAATTTGTCGTTAAAAATAACGTTTCTTCATATTTATCCAAAAAAACTGAGAATTTCTGGGACGTACCATTTTACAAAAAAAAATATCATTGAGATTTTTTTAATTGAAAAAACAAGTCCCAACTATCGCAAAATGATCATATCGGACAACATAACTAAACATATAAAAGTAAATAAATACAATATTCAACATGAATAGTAACAAAGGCTTTTTACATTCTCTGGGAGTTTGTTGTAAAGTCTGTACCCTTGGTGACACCGAGTTGGTGTTTTATCCTCATTTCTTCATATTTCGTTTCGTCTCTTTCCAGGTCTACTCGTCCTCGCCCTCTAATATTATGTTCATGTGGACGGCTCTCTAAAGGTTGCTTCTCCATCCTGTATCTCCTTTGTTACGATCTTGTGCACCAATTTGGGAGTTTCTAATAGTCTCATTCCGATATTCAGTTGTTGGGTGTTCTTATAGAGTTGCTCAGTAGGTGGTATTTGTCCATTCTGTTCATGATTTCGTTTTGATTCGTTGTAAGGATTTTTTCGGGGTTTCATTTGCGGTAGCCCAAAAAGATTTAAGATATGACGGTTGGATTTTAATATAAGTATCATAAACCAATAATCTTTGAGGTGCGTTGTGGTTATTTTGTATTTAAAGTTTCAGTGAGCTTCCGGTTTAGTTCAATCCCACGGATTTGTTGTTACTTCCTTTAAACTTAAAAATATGTTACCTTTATCGAAAATCGTCAATTTTAATAAATGTCTTTTGACTTAAGATTTAAGATTCTTGTTTGGATGTTTTTTTCTACACATTTATAAAATATCCAAACAATTCTCAGTTTAGTCGCGTTTTTGAATATTTTTTCCAACCCATTATCAAAAATTGTCAATGTTACCTAGTAAAATTTAGACTTGTTTTATTTTTGGAAGCGTAACTATTTCATTTTTACTTTTTTGATGATTAATTTTTTCAAAACAAAATTTATTAAACAAATAGATTAGAAATATTCCCCAATATCAAAACAAAACACAAAGCACTGTGTTTTGTTTTGGTGTTGGGGAATATTTCTAATATTTGTGTAACATATCACCAAAGTTGTCCTTTTTTAAGTAACAAAGTTTATTGAAAACGTTTCAGGAACTTTTTCCTCATTTTGCAAAAAAAATCATTAAATGTATGATTTTTGGCATATAAAGCGTTTAAAAATTTCTTACTACAAAAAATTTTAAAAAATCCACAAATTGTTTTTTTTCAAAATCAAGATACCTACGTATTTATTGTTTTGAAAAAATCTAAAAAATTTAAAAAAAAATAATAATAAAAATCTGAAATGTATAGGAGACTTATTAAAAACATATTTTTTGAGTCAATTTTTTGAATGATTAAATTTTATTGAAAATATTTTCATTGAAAAAGATTATGATTTTGATGTTCTAAAAATTAGGTACTTTTACACTTTTTAAAATTGTAAATTTTTGAATAATGTTCAAAACACAAAAAATATTTAGAAATAAACAGCTGTGTGGATCAAGTTTAAAAGTGGGAAAAAAATTATTTTTTTTTGATCATTTTTGATAAAAAGTATCATCCAATAAATAACATATTTGTACAGGGTGATCCCCTATAATGTCGCCCCCCTTTAACTTTTTTATTTTAAGTGTCCCAAAAAATTTAAAAGTGTGGTTATGTAGGACCTAAAAAATACTTTTTTTCTACGTATAAAAAAAAATTGGAAAATTAATCAGTATACAGGGAAAAACAAAAAGTTTATTTTTTTTCAATGGATCACCCTATATATGTATTTATTTTTCGATTCCTTGTCAAATTCTAAGCATATTTCATATAACATACCATTTACCTAAATTCAACCGTTTCTGAAATATTTAAATTATTTTTAAGATAATAAGTTGAAATAGTTTGTCTTTCTCTGTCTGAGTACGCCATTTTTACTTATTTTACAAGACATATTGATATAATGTCACTATAGTAATTTATTTTCAATAAAAATTTTGGTTTACTGTGGTTTCTTGATTTCTAGCAGTTTAAAAAAACATTTAATGATAACATTTCGAATGCGAATGTTTCAGAAACAGTTGAATTTAGGTATATGGTTTGTTATATGAATTATGCTCAGAATTTTACAAGGAATCGAAAAATAAATACATATATAGGGTGATTCAATGAAAAAAAATAAACTTTTTGTTTTTCCCTGTATACTGATCAATTTTCCAATTTTCTTTATACGTAGAAAAAAAGTATTTTTTAGGTCGTACATAACCACACTTTTAAATTTTTTGGGACACTTAAAATAAAAAAGTTAAAGGGGGGCGACATTATAGGGGGTACCCTGTACATATAAAAAAATCACTTTTCATTTGAAAAATCCAAAATAAAAATATAAACTCGATCCTGGAAAAAAACGTCATAATTTTCGTGGTAATTTTTATATTTAGACTTTAATTACAAACAATTTTTTCTTATAAAAATTCTTAAATCAATTTCATGTTTTTCTAAATTTTTGAACACCCTGTAGATAAAATCCCAAATTTTTGTGTGTCAATGTTATTTTTAAGACCATCAATTTTTTTTATCAAAAATGACTTCTTTAAAAAAACAAAAGTTTTTAAACTAAATTTTTTATAACATTACAAAGTTATGACAAGTTTTGATATTGACCTGGATATTTGGTTAATAATGTTTTTATAACTTGATTTGTGGTGAAAATTAAAATCATAAAATTAAAAATTGACATTTATATTTCAAATAATTTAGCAACCAAGAAGAGCATTTCGACCATCACTAAAAATAATGATTGTACCTTTAAATTAATGAACAAATCTGCTTGTTAAATAAAAACATACGAAAACGATGTTGTTGAATCTCACTATGAGCAACTAAATATGCACATTTAAATATTAAATAAACGCATTATCATTAAAGATATTTGAATCTCTGTATAATATTTTTGAATGAGCTTTATTAAGTCATACCAATCTAAATCAATTTATAGGACACGTGTATATAATTTTGGGGTTCCATAGTTTTATTTTATTGACATTATATTTATTACTGAAATGGGGTTGTTATTTATTACTTTTGTATTGTAAAATTTAAAAAAATGTCGAAAAACTTCTCCATTTATAGAGAAATATCTTTATTATTAAATAATAATATTTAGACAAAAATTGATTGAAATTGGTGTGACTAAAACTTGACCAGTATTATATTAAACTTTTAGCTTATAGAAATGATTGCCTATTTTTTGCCTTCAATAATTATGAGCTTAAAAATTGTATACTATAGAACTTAGAAGTTTTAGAGGCAAATACTTATTATATTGAGTATATTAGCAAATTTTAACTCATAACTCAATTGAAGGTTCAAAACTCGTGATACTAGTTAAAATGTTTATCGGTGTAAGGGTTTTTGACATTCCTCTAGTGTTTTTATTTAAGTGAACTTTTGTGTAATCTTTTTGTAAAATTTAAATATTTGTTTTATGAATTTTGGTGACACTCAAGAAGTACTCACATACAGAGTGTCTGTAAAATACAAAGTTGGTAAGTTTTTACAGACAACCTGTATATTTACACTATTTTTTTCACTCTAAATCTTATACAATGTGGCCCAAAAATAACTTTAGGTTTGATGCTGTATTTTGGCCTACAAATAAATCTTATTTAAATTTAAAAGAAATCTTAATAGACCCAGGTGGTTGGATTTCCTCTATATTAAGCCTGTACGCAATCTAAAATGTTAAATCTTACTAATACCTACTTGTAAATAGGAACGGATTATATTGTTAAAAATTCTATTAATATGCTTTTGTAAATTGTTATAAAGATGTACAATTTTTCTTAATGATTATAAGATGCTGGAGCTGCCAGAGTTAGTCGCTGTGTTAGGTATGAAATACTTAATTCTGTGAAGAAAATGTAAAAGCATGGCATCATATAAATGTTAATTATTTATAACTGCTAGTTTATTTGTAAAAATATAATAAACTTTAACACTTACTTATTTTTGAGTTTTGCTATTTACCTACCTATAAATTCTCCATTTGAGGTTCCAAAGAATGTCTTTAAAATTTAATATATGATTTTGTGAGACACCAGACACAGATTTAAAGAAAGTAATTTTCATAATTTTCAAAATTTATAAATATTTATTTTTATAAAATTCCATTAATTTAAGGTATGTAATAAGTAATAATTGATATTTCGTTTTTTAAAAAATGTTTGTTAAAACTTGTAAATAACACCATAAAATCGTAAACAAAAATACAATATGGAGGCTAAAATTTAATCGCTGTTAAATAGTTCTAGTGATTTATTTAAACGAAATTTATTCGAAAATTCAAGGCTTTTGATTGGTTCATATTATAATGAGGGAAATAATATATACAGTAGAAACCACGAATATATGAACGTGACTCATCAGGCACAATCGTACGAAGCAATCTATCGAAGGTCACGGGAAATTGTATTCCAGTGCAGTGCTGTTCTAACGGGCGCATAAGTATTTGTACAAACACTTGAGTGTAATATTGGTTGCTATACTTCTGATATATTTGCTTTTAAAGTTAAATTTTAACAATTAATTAATCTTTGTATTTACCGTTTTAATCCAAATAACGTGCAATAACAATTGCAATAAAGTTCAAAAAACGTGCAATATCAATTGCAATAAAAACCACTGCCACTACAACGTTTAAAACGATTATTAATCCGTAAACACACACCGATTATTTAAAGTCCAAAAAACTTACAATAAAAATTGCAATAAAGTCCAATAAACGTGCAATAACAATTGCAATAAAAACCACTAGCACTACAACGTTTAAAACGATTATTAATCCGTAAACACAGCAGAAACCCCATATGCAAAAACGAAGATCATATGACATATAAAAACAAATGGCCGACAGTAGAGTTGGTTGCCTTACTATGTAATAAAATAAAATAAATTGCCTAAAACACGAACTCTACTGAATTCCAACAAAAATAAGTAACAAGCTAGGACACGCGTCCTATGTCAATCTTTGTCGAACACCTAGGCAGTTTTACATCACAAATGGCGCATTTTAGACCGGATGCTTAAAAACCTACGTACGAGTACATTTACCGCTGCATCGAATGTACAAGACAAGTAAAACATTAATGCTAGCATGTCTGAGATATGTTCGGCACCCTATGAGTCACGTTCATATATTGGTGGTTTCTACTGTACACTTGTAGGGGAGAGAAGGGTAATTACCCTACTTATTAATGACCCCCTAACCTCATATTTTGGTTATTTTGAAATGTTGGATGAAACAATAAAATTCAAAAAACTACTTTGAAGCCAAATTTTCTTCAACTGAGTTGAGGCTTTGGTGAACCCCCTGTTTTAAGAATCGAGGTATTGTATTTGCTTGGCAATTGTACACCCTGTATAAACTTTATTTTATGTTTAGGTGATTCCCACTGAGCTTCGCGGAAATGACAAACAAGAATATTTGATAAATAAGAAGGTCAAATACTATATATTTATATCAGAAGAACAAATAGTTTATTTCGCTTTGTGTAAGTGTATTTAAATTGGTTTATATTATTTAAACCCTCAGTATAATAAAGTTATCTCTTTCCTGTGTAAAATTTAGTCAATAAAATCATCATATTGTTTTAGTTTCAGTTTCAGTAGGTAGTGCAATTTTATAAAATATATTAGAACATTCATTTGCAAATTTTGGTAAGTGTATTTGGTTTTCATTAAAAACTTGCACATTTGTTTGAAACAGTTTTGCACTTATCTTGTTATGGCCGTGGGCTGATTACATGTCACCGCTGTCGCGGTAGTTCTTTGTCTATATAATTATAGCTCCTGGTAGCGTGATTGAATTTTCATTTTATTTATTTGAAAATTGTTTAAAATTAAAAGAGTTTATTGATTATAATTTAAGTTTTTTTTAGAATCATGGTTTTATTATTTGCAATGGTGATTATAATCAGCATATTTAATGGTTATTCGCAAGTTTGTAAAGAAGACTATAGTCGTAGTGAAGAATGCCGTAATGGTTATGGATGTGGTAATTGTCTAAAAAGGTTAAATTTAAACTGCTCAAATATTGAAAATTTATACGAAACCGAAATAGTTGGTATCCAATTCGAATGTAATGATATAATAAAACCTGTAAAAATAATACGAGTAACTAAAGAAATATCTGAAACTATATTTCCATCATTTTTTGTAAATGCCATAATGCACTTTAAATTTAATGTACTCTATTTAACTCATCTGAACATCAAAAATATATTACCAGGAGCATTCAAGAAACTTGATAACCATTTAAAGGCTTTACACCTTGACAAAAATAACATACAAATAATTAAGAAGGGCGTATTTAATTCTTTAATTGTGCTTAATGTTTTAAATTTGGAATCCAACAAAATAGAAGCTATTGAAGAAGATGCATTTCTTGGGCTAAAAGAGCTTACACATTTAAGTTTAAAAAATAATTTGATAAAACATCTCGATCAAAATACTTTTTACTCCTTAAATAATCTGTATTTGCTGGATATTTCTACGAACTTATTAAATACTGAAAAGTCGTATTTTAAGTTTGTTAATATTTCAAAATATTATTTGAACAATAATAAAATTAACCGACTTCCTAATTTTATGTTCAACGATACCTTGAATACCTTAGATTTAAGCCATAATAACGTTACGAATATTGAACCCAAGGCTTTTTTTGGGCTAAAAAATTTAACCGATTTAAATTTAAACAATAATAATATAAGTACACTTTCCAGCGCATGTTTGCAATATTTAGTAAATCTAACCAAATTGGACTTATCGGGAAATAAGTTGCAAACAATTTCATTGGGTATGTTTGACCACTTGAACAATTTGGAGGTTTTGAATTTAACCAGCAATTACGTACGACGTCACTTCCGTATATGGATTCACTGTATTAAATGTAAGGTATTTGGGGCTTGCTTTCAATAAAATAAGTGATTTTAATGAAAGGGTGTTGAAATCTTTCCCTAATTTGAAAAAAATTTCTTTGGACGGGAACCCTTGGGCTTGTAAAAACCTCTTAAACGTAATACAAGAATTTACCGCCAAAAATGTTATAGTTGAAAAAGGAAATGAGCATCATTTTACCAGTGTATTTGGTATAAAATGTACTGAATATGAGTCAAAAAAATCTGACAATGCTATTGAGACATATAATTTTCCTGAATTTGAAACAATTGACGTGAAAAATACCTCATTTTTTAAATACTTTGAAGAGGATTTTAAAAAGAGTAATTTTTTCAAGTATTTAAATTCCTTTAAAAAGGATCCCATATTGGATCAAAACTTCACATTAGTTTTAAGGGATATTCTTAATAATATGACAGATACTAAAGATGTTATAGAAACAAATCAAAACTTAACTTTTGTTTTAAGAGACATTCTTAATAATATGACAGATACTAAAGATTTTAAAGAAACAAATCAAAACTTAACTTTTGTTTTAAGAGACATTCTTAATAATATGACAGATACTAAAGATCTTAAAGAAACAAATCAAAACTTAACTTTTGTTTTAAGAGACATTCTTAATGATATGACAGATACTAAGGATGTTATAAAAACAAATATTGTTGATTTTTTTAAATTATTTAATAATACTGCATACGAAAGAATCAACAGTGTTAACTTTAAACTTAACGATGAAAAAACTTTGCAGTTACAAACCAAAATAGAAAACATAGAAAGAGTTTTGGAAAATATTACGGGAATTTTTAAAAAACAAAGTTTAGGAAATGTTTCTCCTGCAAAGTTGGTTTCAGATAATTCAAAAAAATTGGAACTTACTCCAATTGTTACAATTCTTACAATCAATACTATTGTTGTATCACTAGGTTTAATGCTAATAATTTATATGAACTTAAAATCCACAAATAAAAAACAAATGCATGAACAAATACCCCTTAGCTAGAATTAGTTATACCTCCAGAACATAATGTTTAATGTATAGAATATTATACATAACTTCATTTAAAACGTTCCTAATCTTTATAATTTAAATTTTAATATGTAATATAGTATAATAAATTACATAAATACATATTCTTGTAGGGAATTAAACGATCTACAAAAAAGATTTGATATGATTTTTTGCATAGTCAACTCTTTTAAAAGTTATTTGAGGTTAAAGTTCAACTTCAAATAGTAAATGATGACTTTTATAGTTTTTCATACTCCATCATGAAATATTCTCTCAAAAACATAAAATATCATAGTTTATCGAGTGTTCTTCGGTAAAACAATACAATTTTTACGAAATATCAATAATCGTGAAAAAACCGGTTTTTTCCTATATTTAATTTTTTTTTAAATTCGAAATATTTTTTTTACTTGAGAATATTAGGTAATGTAGTAATAAAAGCTATGTTTCAATAATTTTTTAATTAAAATAAAAAATATTCCATAGTATCAAATATACATATATATATATATATATATATATATATATATATATATATATATATATATACAGTGGTAATAATGCACATTTAGGCCAAATTGTGACAAAGATGCATGCAATATAAAACGTACGAAAGAGTGAGATTAACAACCATCGACTGGTTAACAAACGTGATTCCCCTCCGTCATGAGCGTGCAGTAGAAATTTTTAAAACAATTAAATCAAAACGGTCTATTACACGCCAATGTTTTGCTTCCCCTTCTTTAACTATCTGCGTTACCCGCCGGGCAGGTCCCGCCCACTCGACATGTTCGAGATTTGCCACTATTTAGTGTCAGTTTCATTACGACTGAGGTATGGTGTAGTCGGTTGTTATAAAACAACGTAAATATTTTATTATGATTTTGTTTACAGAAACAAAAATTCCTTGCAAATATTTCTTAGGAAATGTGGAAAATAAACAATAATATTCTTGTAATAAAAAAACAAATATTCTCAAATAAAAAAGTATTCTAAAAAACGTAAAGAAAAAATAATTTAAAGCAAATGTTAAAATTATTTACAACATTTTGAATTGTTGCCCTTGCTGGTAAGGGTCTATTTGGGAACATATTTGGAAATAATCTTTGAATTTCTCGATCTGAGATCCCATTTAAATGCCACGTTATAAATTGAATCTTTTCTTCAAGGGTGTAAACCATTTTTATTAGAGAATATTTCCTAATTTATAACAAACGTACTACATCTTACTTACAAGTTGTAAGTTACAACACATCCTCTTGTCTGCGCCGAGCAGACTCTGCGGTCGGGCCGCCCGTCTCGGACGATGATTGTAGACTAGAGTCTACAGAGCATACGGCACAAAGGCTTTCGATCCCGCACATGCGCTTTGGTTTATCAGCTGATCTACTGTTAATCAACTAAAATGGGCAAAAGTGAGCAAAACCAAGCAAAACCAACCCAAACTCAACAACACAACCCAACCGACCCCGCCCCATTGGCCCCCCCCCGCCCCATTGGTCAATAGAGATATAATATATGTAAGGGTAGATACATTTTATAAATTTTGAACATTAAATAATTTATATTTATTTAAATTATAGGTAAAATAGCGCAATGATAACAAACAAAATACCCACCAGGATGATAACAAAACTTTTTGAGTTCTGACAGTAGATCAGCTATTAACCAAAGCGCATATGCGGGATCGAAAGCCTTTGTGCCGTATGCTCTGTAGACACTTCTTGATTGTAGCCGCGCGGCGCGGTCTGACTTGCCCCACTACTCTTACGTCACTCCACCACTCCCACGTCTCATAATGCATTTGTCTTTATTTAATAAACGGCCTAAGAGCACATTACCATCCCTGTATATATATATATATATATATATATATATATATATATTTAATATATTTGATTTACCCATTGACTTTATTAATAAGAATGTAGAATTTTGGACACAGGATGAAAGCTATCAAGATAATCTAGTATTTTTCAAACGTCTTAGCGTTTTCAATGATGTAGCATTAATAGAAGAGTACAACAAATGCTTGATTCTAAAAAAACGGGTTTTCACGATTATTGATATTTCGTAAAAAATGCATTGTTTTACCGAAGAACACTCGATAAACTTTACGAAAAATATGATATTTCATGTTTTTGAGCCAATATTTCGGAATAGAGTATGAAAAACTATAAAAGTCATCATTTACTATTTCAGGTTGAACTTTAACCTCAAATAACTTTTAAACGAGTCGACTAAGCAAAAAATCATATCAGCCCATTTTTGTAGATCGTTCAATTCCCTACAAGAATATGTATTGATTTTTACAATTTACTGATTCGTTAAAACGCAATAAAATTAAAAACAAAAAAATGTTTTTTTCACGTGTTATTTAAATGGAAAATAAAAAATCGCGATGAGCCACCTCTTAATATTAATATTAAGAGCTCAAACTTTATCAGATTTTTTTTTTCGTCATCTTGGACGATATTTTCATGGTAGCTAAAGAAAAGAAAATTAAAAGTTTTTTTTGGCCCACCCTAGTATACATGCCCCCGAAGTATGATAAAAACTTTAGCTGTTTTCATTGTTTACTTTGTCTTTACTTTTTCTATGATGGCAGCCGCTAAGGTTAGACGTGTTTTATGAGCTCGGCCATTTTTCGTTCGTTAAAAGAAATGGATCAAAGAATTTGTATCCAATTTTGCTACTGTAATGATGCCCCAGCAACCATATTCGCCAGACATGCCTCTGTCTGACTTTTTCCTATTCCCAAAAATAAAGAGAATTTTAAAGGGCCGTCGTTTTGCAAGCATAGATGACATTAAAAGCGCATCCCTGAAAGAACTAAAGGCTATCCCAAAGATCGAGTTTTAGAAGTGTTTCGAGTATTGGAAGAAGAGCTGGCACATGTGCATAATATCCAATGGGGACTATTTTGAAGGCGACAACATAAATGTAGACGAATAAATAAATATTTGTTTCAAAAAACGAAAATTCCCGATATTTTCTGAACACACCTCATATATTAGGTATATTGATAGTAGGGAGACTGGGGATTCCCCTATAAATACTTATAGGCACAAATGGGAATCCCCACAATGGTATACCAAAATTGATGTTTATAAACATCTATTTTGCTGAGCGGTGCATTTCTTGGGAAGAAATTTTTATACATTACATATGCAGTTGATCGGTTAACGCCCTATAGAAATATTCGTAGGCCATATAGAATTTTGTACGTCAAATATTATTAAAAATGGATAATCAGCCAACAACCGAATCTGTGTTAGAAGAAATATCTATTAAAAGTGTGACAGAACCGAAAGCAATAATCAAAAACGAAACATTTCTGAAAGAAATTCTGCAACTTGCTCCTGAATTCAACTCATGGAAACACCAAACATTCAATGAACCGTTCCATTTGGTTTTGGACAATTGTCCCAATGTTCAAGATAGTTATGCACAAACCAACTATTCTCTTAAGGGCAAGTTCTACGCAAGCAAATATGTTATTCGCGTTGAAAATCCCTTTCTTTTGGCCCAGTATTATTTGAAGAAAATCCAGGTACAAGAGCGAAACGGTATGGTGGAAGAAAAAGAGTACTTCCATGGGACACCTGGGTACAATTTGGTACCCATTTGCACAAACAATTTTAACTGGAGTAAGTACACCAAAAACTATAATTGAAATGAGCCATTCCACGCGTAACGGATAGGACAGTTGCCGTGTTTTTATTTACAAAATAATATTCTTCTATTACATTACCAATGTCAAATTTTTATAAATAGTTCTAAACTAAAGCTGTTTAACAAGGTTTTTATTTGGCAAAATTAGGTATCGTGGTTGACTGTTTAATTCCTTAAAAACTAATAATTTAAAGCGTAACGGACGGGACTTTGTAATAGTCCCGTCCGTTACGCTTTAAATTATTAATTTAAAAGGAATTAAACAGTCAATCACGATACCTAATTTTGCCAAATAAAAACCTTGTTAAACAGCTTTAGTTTAGAACTATTTATAAAAATTTGACATAGGTATTAATACAGGGTGTTATGTAATTAATGTTATATATATAACATTAATATATATTAAAATACTGAATACCTTTTGACATAAGGAATAGAGGAAAAATATTTAAAAAAACATTTTCCAAAGATAAAGAAAAAATATGCATTAGAAGTTTTTTATATTTTTTTGTGATACGCCACTGGTTACACACTTGTTTACCTCTGCACACCTGTATTTTGTGAGTACATAGATACCAACCAACAAAGTAGCTATGCGTTGCTAGATGTAAAAAATTGTTACTAAAAATTTTTCTTGCAAAAAATTAATAAAAACTCAATAAATACAAAAGTTTTATGCCCTTAAAGCTTTAATACCCTTCTGTATTTATTTACTGATCCAGCTATTAGCTTAAGCAATGATTAGAAAATTTAGTACCTTTGAAATTTGAAATCCATAACCACAAAATGAATTTTTTCATCAGTTTTTTTCTCTGTTTACTCAGATGAAATTGGGACCAGTTCACAGATTAAACTTTAAACATTTAATAAATAAATCCAAAAGCACTTCCCTTAATTAAGATATTTACAATTTGAAAACATAACCTAAAATTTAAAAGAAATGCACTAGATTCTGTCATAAAAGTTGGCAGATTTTGTTTGAATTTACCTTCATTACAAAAATGAAATAACCAACAATTAATAAAAACGCCAAATTGACAATTTGCATTGTTTATTTTGTCATTTTTGTAATTAAGCTAAATTTAAACAATGTTTGTCAACTTTTTTGAGAGATTTTTCAAACACTGTTGTTACCAACCATAAAATAATAAATCCACCAGATTAACCTAAAGTTCCTAGTCGATCAGTGGCGTACTTTTTGGTAGGATAAAGGTTATTATAAATTATTTTTAGACTTTGGAATTTAGAAAAAAAAGTTTCAGGTGCTTTTTTATGGACCCTAAGGAACAACCCATTTTAATATATAACATTAATTACATAACACCCTGTATAATAGAACAATATTATTTTGTAAATAAAAACACGGCAACTGTCCTATCCGTTAAGCGTGGAATGACCCAAATGTCTTTTAGGGTGCCTTTTTATATTTTTTAAGTGCATAAAAGTCCGGTCTCTAATATTTTTATACATACAAAAAATAACCGAAAACCTTAAAATTTTTTGTATGAATAAAATAGTAATATGGTGGACTGTTAATTTGATAAAATACTAATTATTTTTAGGAAAAGTTACTCATGGAAAATTTGGAAAAGGCGTCAGTTTTTCACCGAGATCCGATTATGCCAAGCATTCAACACAAGAAACCCTACTTGAAGACATGCCAGTATTACAAGATTTTTTCGAAGAATATTCAATTGATTGTTCCATGTATTTAAATTCAATGTTCTATGCAAAAGTGCTTCAAGGAAAATGTCAAACTGCAGATAAATATACGATAAATCCTGTCAAATCATTCGACACAACCACAAATGGTAAAGATACAGTTTTTGTTAAATACGAGGATTTTGAGTTTTTTCCTGAATATATTGTTTTAATGGAAGAAGCTAAACGTTATAATATAATTGATTATGATAGTGATTTTTAGTTCTCTGCTAATAGAATCGTAATTTCTATACTTTAACTTTATACAATGTATAATAATAATAAACTTATTTAAATTTAAATAAAAATATTATTTTGATACATTGCGCGCCATCTATTACAAATTTGCCGCATCCTCAAACTCAGGCAACTGTTTTTACGCCCAAATAAAAAAGTAACCTCAAAATAATACGTCAAGAGTTGAGGTTAAGTTTCTAGTAGAAACTATTTACATGAAAAACCTCTAAAAAGCAATTGGTACAGAGAAAATGGGCGGTTGGAAGTTGGAAATAGCGAAAATGGCGATGTACGTCACGTTCCCAGTCTGTTTGTTCCACTATTTCAATCAACCAGAGTATTTCGAAGAATGGGTAGTTAAAACGAAAAGGGAAATTTACCCGCCGGAAAGTTTGAATAAAAAAACGGAATACGAGCAAGCGGTGAGGAAATTGCGCGAGAAACAGGACAGGGAATCGGTGGAACTAATGGAGAAAAGTTGAATAAATAAATAATACTTTTATTGATAAATTGGTTTTTATTACATAACAAATAAGTTAATCGGCTTTGATTGGGCGGGATTTTTGTCGGGCCGCCATAATACTGGCGAACATGGCTGGTATGGCGCACAACATTATGGGAACTTGTTCCCCGTACTTATCAGCAACCACTCCAGAGAAAAGTGGCGAAACCATCCCAGTCAACGATAAAATGGACTCAAATAAACTCAAAATGCCTCCTTTCTCCTGTTCGGAGGCTCTGTTGGTAAGCACATTGGTGAGAGTTGTGTCGATTAAAGGTCTCGCAATTCCCATCATGACAAAGAATATCATGAAGATGTAGAAGTTTGTGGAGGTACCCATACCGGCAAAAGAAAGCATTAAAAGTATCGTGCCATGCATTAGTCTTTGAAAACCTTCATCGTTGGCGTATAAGGTTTTTTTCAGCTTGATCATACTGAAATTGGTGGCGATATTGCATATGCTTATCAAGGTCAGTATAAGACCCATGTTTTTGCCGCGGATCATGAAAGTTTGCGCCAAAATCACGCCTAAATTCGATTGCATTATGCCGGAGCACAAGTCTGTCAAAAGTTTTATCGTGAACAGTTCCCAGAATTTGTCCCAGTCAATTTTTTTCAAACTTTGGAATGCCTCTTTTAGTTGGTTATTTTTTTGTGCTTTTTTGCCTTTTTCCTGCGGTTTTTTCTCTGGGTTTGGCAGGAGGCATGCGGTAACTAAAAAAAATATGTTTTGCAGTTTAAATTTTCTTTTTCTAATATTGGTATTTTTTGCCAAACACATTTTTAATTCGCTTAATTAAAAGCGATTGTGCCGCCATCTAGCGACAGAATTAGTTTGGATTACCAAGGGTGTCCAAACTTTCAATCTAAATTAAAAATATAACATTCAATAAAAAATATCCTTAATTTTTAATTTAGTGAATTAAAAAAACGTGTTTAACAAATATAAGAAGCAAATATTTTAAATTAATTAAATTAAAAATATCTGTTTGGCATAAAAATTAAATGTAATTTTTAATTAAGCAAATTAAAAATACGTGTTTAACAAAAAAACAACAATTAAAAGAAATTAAAATTAATATTTTAAATTAAATATATTAGCTTGTGATAAAAATCTAGATAGATCTAATTTTTAAAATGTATGTATAAATAAAAAATATCACATGAACATGTTTAATCTGTGAATTAAAAATATCATATCATCATTTAAAAACTAGATTTAATTGTTATTCCAAATTGATATTTTTAATTTCTTAATCAAGCCAAACTGATATTTTTAATTTAATTAATTTAAAATATTTTCTTCTTATATTTGTATTTTTTTTGTTAAACACATTTTTTTAATTTGCTAAATTAAAAATATCAAAGGAGGAATTTTTAAATGTATTAAAAATATCATTTTATTAAATAAGCAGATATTTTTAATCGAATACAATTTCTGAATAAAAAATAAAACGGCGCACAGTGTTTCAATTCTCGAAATTTTCGGCGAAATATCGCTGATAACGTATCTGGAATCAGAATTCCAAAATTCAAAATGGTAGATCCAAAATGGCGGACATATTTGTCAAAAAATTGACACAATAAATTGAAAATCACCATACAGGGGTTTTTGTGGTCCCTGATAATGAATCTGGAATCAGAATTCCAAAATTCAAAATGGTGAACCTCAAATGGCGGACATTTTTATCAAAAGCTTAATTTATAATTTATATGATATTATTTAATACCTGCATAATATGTAGGTATTAAATAATGTCATATAAATGTAATAATAATAAACTTAATTAAGCTATTTTATAAAAATATGTTTTATTTACTTTTTAAAAAGAACCTCTTAAGGGTTTTGAATTAATTTTGACAATTTTTTGATAAAAATTTCCGCCATTTGAGGTCCACCATTTTGAATTTTATAATTCTGATTCCAGATTCATTATCAGCGACCACAAAAACCCCTGTTGGTGATTTTTAATTTATTCCGTCAATTTTTTGACAAATATATATTATATATATATATTAGGGTGGCCCAAAAAAAAGAATATTTTTTTTCTTCTCGTCTCTTGTAAAAATATGTTAGTTTATCATGCTGTAAGAGCCCTTTCAAAATATCAGCTCGATTAAAAATTTTGTAGGGGTCGCTCAAGATTTTTAAAAATTTTCAAAATAGTCAAAAATTGAATTTTTGTTTTATTTTAATTCTTTTTCTCGTATCGATATTATTTTTTAGGTTGAATATAATAAAAATTCTGTAAATTTCAAATAAATATTTTGATTTCTAAAGGTCGCTAAAAGTTCGTTGATATTTATATTCAGAGGTCGCTCGAAAACATTCAAAATACTCTACTTTGAAAGTTAAAATAATCTTGAGCGACCTTTAGAAATTAAAATATCGATTTAAAATTTTCAGAATCATTATTATTTTTAAATTAAAAAATATAGAAACGAGAAAAAAAATCCAATTTTTGACGATTTTGGTAATTTTTAAAAATCTTGAGCGACCCCTAAAAATTTTTTAATGGTGCTGATCTTTTGACAGGGCTCTTTAAACATGACAAACCAACATTTTTTCACAAGAGACGAGAAGAAAAAAAATATTCTTTTTTTTTGGGCCACCCTAATATATATATTATATATTAAACAATCTCCGTCACTGGATTCGCTATAAAAATTGTCAACACAAATAACCACAATTCAAATTTGACATTAACACACTACAATGCGCATGCAGAGTTGTTTTAACGCACCTACAAGAGGTGGGTTAAATATGTAAAATCGGTGTTAAATATCTTAGTAGTCACGAACGATTTACGCAAGTGAAAGTCTAGACACCGCTGTTGTAATAAACGTTTTGAGTTAAATCCGAGTGAATCGAGTAAACGTCATGAACGCAACGCAGAAATAAAAAAAAAATCTTAAATTTTGTAAAGCAAAAACACAGATACGCGCGCGACATGGGCTTAAAATCGCGCGAGGTTTTTTACCACAACCGTGCCTGAGCGCCCAAGAACATGTAGTTTTAAAGAGCCGGGGGCGAGTTGGGGCAGATAATTTATTGATGGCTTGATAGACAAAACTCTAAGTTATTCAACGGATCTTGAACTGATGCCTTACTATTCATTACAATTTTTGTAGCTCCATTGTTCTAAAAGCTCGATTCAAAGTTTGCGATTTTAACAGACCGATCTTGTCGGTTACAATAACCCGTTGTACAAGCAAAATCTACGAAAAACAAATACATATCTGAGTTTTACATATCTTGAAGATCACCCTTTATCAAACCGCATAACAATCGGACACACCAAACACAAGTTATTCACTTTTAAACAACAAAAAATTTTCTTTCAACTGAAAGCGTCAAGTTTAAACTGATGTACAAGACAAAATATACGTATTTTGTATAATTTTTTCAATACAGGATGGCGACAGGTATTAACTATCCATCTAACTAAAAATTTACCTGAAAAAAATGTGAATTTTTTAGTTTTTGCCGATATTTTCGAGAATTGAAACACTGTGCGGCGGCCTATAGACATTACATTATTTTTAAGGTAAACACAAAACACATTTGGAAGGTACCAAAACAAATGAAAATATTTGTAAATACGTCTCATTTTTCTTAAAAAAAAAAAACAATTTTTTTTGTAACTGCGAATTATCAAAACACAAATTCCTACCTATGCTCACAATTCCAATCAGGCAAATAATTGTCATGTTAATGGTGGAACCGTTTTTATTTTCGTTCATGAACCCCCCCATAAGGGCCCCCATCATAAAAGTCAGCGCCGAAAAACCCCCCAGTTTGCTCATGGCAGTGGATTTTTCTTCTGGAGTTTTGGCAATATCTGTCACCAAAGTTCTGATGAGACTTCCTGTGGGTGCACCAAAAGCTAAAAATTGTATTTACAATTTTTTTTTTTTTATTAAAAACACCAATTATAATGGGGTAGTTAAATTTTTTCTGACCTATACTTTTTATGGTTTTATTCAAGGCGTTTTGTAATTTTAAACATTTCTGTGAAATCGGAATTTCAATTGAGTTTACCGTTTTCGAGATATTTACAAAAAAAAATCTCCTAATTACGTCACTAGGCTATTGACAACGTTGCCAGCTTTTTCTATGGTTGCCAGTGTGTTTAGTTTAAAATTCTTACGATAGATGACGCCACGTTATAATATTTTAGTTTCAAAACCACTTGATCTATAATTTTAGTTGAGAAGAAGAAGAATTGATTTTTTGACGTTTCTTTTTTTCGGGTTATGTTGTTTTTTAATTTAGATTATTGAAAATCAATGTTATTGTTATGTTATTTGTAATTGATATTAGATAAGTGATTTATTAATAACGGACTCCAAAGCAGAGGAATCTTGTGGAATGGTTGGTTACATTGAACATTGGAGCTTTTAAACAAATAAAGTAAGTAGGTACCTATAATTATAATCATATTTTATCGTAAATGCATTTCATTAGTATAATGCCTAGTTCTTTATATTCTTTTAGATATATCTTGGACTCTAAAATATCAAACAGTAATACGATACCTCGTAATAAGGAAGATAGGTACTTAATGAATTTGGTGACCATATTTCACTCAACTGACAGTGACAGTATTTGTACATAACCTCTTCGGGTATTTTCTGACATAACCGAATGAAATCATTAACAAGACAACTTGACAACAGGGTAATTTTCAACCAATAGAAATCTTAGAATGTTGGTCACATGGCGAGGTTTGTGACGTCATAAAAATTTATATTTTTTGTAAATATCTCGAAAACGGTAAACTCAATTGAAAAAAACATAAAAAGTATTAATTTTCTGGATCTAAAATTACCCAAAAAACATGTTGAATAAATTAATATGCAAACTTTGTTTAACCATTTTCAAAATTTAAAAAAAAATATTTACTTACAGCATATCAGTCTACTAATATATATCACAGCTAATGATTCAAGAGGCTTAAATACTAAAATTATAATATTTCCCACTAATGAAATGCTAAGACATTTAATCAGAATGCCTTTTCGTCCGCTGTGGTCTCCTATACTACCCTATAATATTAATTGTGTGAATGTTAAAATCAACAAAAATAAACGTTTTTTACTCACAACTATGGGATTCCAAAATAGGCTGACAACAGCACTGCTAGACATAACGATTCCCATGTAGGAATGACTACCCCCAATGCCTCTTACATAGGGGGAAAATGTTATTATGAACATGGACAAGTTCAATATGTCCTGAAAATAAAAATTAAACACTTATATGGCACGCCATTTCAATTTTTAATCGTAAATGTTTTAAATGTAAAGGAAAATTGAAGTAGGGTTTTTAAAATTATGGAATATATAATTTTTTATAATTTTAATTTTGACTGACATAATAATAATTAAATAAAATTATGTCAAGCTTAAGTTTAATTTAAATTTAATTGATACAGATAGGAATATGTCTAGGCCTAATAATAATTATTTTTTATGATACATTTTAATTTGATACTAATTTTGTTGTAACATTTAAATATATTACCAGACGAATATTTTACATAATATTTTGTTAGTTGCATTAATATTTGCCTCATTTAAATTTGTTCCATTTTTATTTCATATGAGGTTCTTTATTTTTTATTTTGAAATTTATATTGGAATTATTGTGAGACTAAAAACATTGTTGGACAATTTTTTTGAACAAGATTTTTAAACTATTTTTCTTTATTAATATTAATATATTTTTTTATTTATTAATAATATTATTAATAATTATATTTAATTTAAATAACAAAAAAAAATTAGAGCTTACATTTTATGTGTACACATAAGTATATATACCTATATATAGAAAAGTTTATAAACGAGGTGCATACTATACTTTTTCTACGACAAATACTTATTATTATCTTAAAATGATTTAAATCAAAAATTTGTATAGACCGCCATCTATGAAATAATAGGGGAATATGTGTGTCACCGTCAAATGTCAAATTTTTATATTTTATAAACACAGATTATAAAGGTTAGGTATAAATCGAAATGTATTTCTTGAAAATTGACAGTTTTTCACAGTGAAAGTAAAGAAAATGTTTTATGAGCACTTTACAGTGGAGTCCGTGCCCGAATTTAAGTTATAGTTTACTGCCGGCCAAATTAAAAGGTCAGTACAATGTTCATATAAACTTTTCAAATACTTTTGTATTTTTGTATTGCGATAATAAAATAATTTTCACATTTAGTATTATTTTACAAGAAAGTCACTTTATTTTAACGATTGTATGACATTTGACAACTGTCAACTAACTTAAAACTAACTTCAGCGCGTGACTAAAAACCTGTTGCTAACTTCATCCCGTGACTAAAGCGCCATAAAGCCACAACTTGTCAATAAAGGGCGTTTTAAAAATATTTAAAATTTGTAAAAAGTCAGGTTTACCATTTAGGTAATACATGTCAGATTTCATTTATTTGTTTTTGAAAATCATTTAAATATCTACTTATTGAAGTAGATAAAGCCTAGTATTACACTCGAGATTATGCGCATTATCTCTCTTATAATAATATACTATTATATAAGTAACTACTCCAATTTTAGATTTAGAGAGATAAAACGTTAAAAATAGCGGGACAAATATTTTAAATAAACCTTAAATAAACCAAATAAGAAGGATTCTTTTAAAACCAGCTTTACACCATAAAATGAGTTACATATGCAGAGATCATTCTATGTAATGATAATTTATACTTTTTATAATAATATATTTGATTGCTATAATGATGCATTTAAATTTTTAAATATCAAACTCTGTAAACAATGATAATACATTTTATCTACTAAGTTTATATTTACCAATGCTCCCAGTAAATACACAATTTTCATAGACATGATGACGTAGGTAGAATGTAGAAAAACACAAAACCGCAAAACAAAAATCAGCCTTCAACTGTCTATAGTGTATCACTTTACTCTAGTATTACATGTGCACAAGTATTGTCTATATTAAATCTGAATCAAAGATAAAGCGTCCCAAATATGATTAAACAGTTTATTTTAATAGATATAATTACAACTCGCTAAAATTTCTCACTTTAAGTACTTACATACAAGTATTAGTTACCTAATATAAATACAAATTAACATTCTTATCTGGTTCATTTGGGTATAGGTACAAATTGCGATAATGACAATAGGTAGGTACTTTGCTTTCCAGGTGAATATAATCTTTTTAAATAGTTTACACTCGCCTATCTAGACAATTTTAAAAGAAAAACAAGTTTGCCGTGTTTTATATTGGCATGAAGTACACAAAGACTTAAATAATTAAAAAGGTATGCTCACTGAAAGAATTTTTTATACAGTTTTTTCGATAAACGAAAATTTATGGTAATAACGATTAAATTAAATTGGCTAAGTTGGCAATACTAACTTGGCATATTTGTTATATGGTTGGCAACACTGACTGTGATAATAATAATAATAATTTGCAAATTGCTTATAAACTCGCCTATGATTATTACGTAAACATTTTGAATAGCACAATAATTTTAAAACATGGTTTAAGTAATCAAGCACATAATATATATTATACAGTTAATAAATCGTTTTTAAGGTTAAAATAGTGTTATTATTACTTTTATTTATTGGCTACTCTTATAATGACGAAAAACATGGTTTTATCGGCTGCCCAGTGGACAAAATATTTCCAAACAACAAAATGCTTTGAAAAAGCTCTACAAAAGGTAAAAAATACCAAAATAAAATAAAAAAATCAATGCATATTTTTTTAGGTTAAAGTAATAACAGTTGAGAACGGAACTGCACAAGCAGAATTAAAAGTTGAGGAGGAGCACACTAACGTTATGGGGGGTTTACATGGGGGTCTATCGGCCACTTTGGTGGATTGCATTTCGAGTTATGCATTGCTTTCAGATAAAAATGGGGGCACTGCGAGTGTATCAGTGGATTTACACACAACGTAATAAATTATTATTTTTTAAGCAAAAAACTACACCTTATATTGTAGGTACCTTAAAGGAGCCAAAATTGGAGATGAAATCCTCATAGACGCCAAGACGATTCGTGCTGGCAAAACTTTGGCTTTTTTGGAAGTTTTAATTAAGAATAAAGCCACAGGGGATCTACTTGTCAAAGGTTCACATACAAAGTATATATTAAGATCGTAAGACAATTTTAAATAAATTATAAACAATTTAGATGAAAATGTTTTTTATTTAATACATCACTTTCTCATAATGTATTTGGTGTGTGATCCTTTCACCAAAACATTCCCACTTGCCTTATTTGTTATTAAAACTTCCAGAAAAGCCAAACTTTTACCAGCTTTTAGTGTATTAGCTTTTATTAAAATATCATTGCCTATTTTCACTCCCTTACAATAACTACGACATATTTACTCATAATTAAATAAAAAAACAAAATTTACTCACCTCATAAACATATCAACTGAAACTGTAGGGTAATCTCCATTCCGATGTGTCGAAAGGGCATACGTAGACACCATATCCACCAAAGTTGCTGAAAAACCACCATGAAGCCCCCCTAGAGAATTCGTATGCTCTTCTTCGACTTTTAACTCCGCTAAAGCACAACCACCCCCCAATTTTAACAATTTAAGCTAAAAAAATAAGGCTTACAAACAATTAAAAATGTGTTTAATATTCTTCACCTTACTCATTACCTTGTCGAAAGTTTTAGTGCACTGTAAATACTTTGTTAATTCCGATATTCCCGTCATTTTATTACTGTTTTTAAGTTTAAAATTCCCTCATGTTGAAAAGGTTATTTTTGACGTATGACAGTGTCGCCATCTCTTTTTGACTAACCAAAACCTAGTAGATTCGTTTATAGGACAAGAGATGTCGCTAGGTGCACTAAAATCGTTTTTTATTTAATAAGGCAATGGTATTTTTGATTTTAAAGAAAAGTGTTTTAAAAGGGTGAGTTATGATTTAGTTGTTTGTTTTGGGGCCCTAAACGTCTGTTAATAGGACTTTTGCCGTGGTGTTTACCACAACAACACTTAACTGAAGTTGAGTTGAGTTTGGATGCGTTTTATTTTGTAATTCACGACGTAATCGTATAATTTGACAATAAATCCGCATTTTGTTTTGCTGCACACGTATCGACGATAAAATAGTTGAATGAATATTTATTTTTTTATATGCGCCCTAATATCCTTTCAAGTCTCTTATTATTTACCGAATTTGTTTTCTTTTTGTCCCCTATTAAATTTAATGGGATTGTGTTCGGAATTTTGATGATGCTCGTTTTATTTCGGATAAAAATATCAGAAACATTTAGTTATAATGGAGAATCGGGGCTTTGCAAATTAATTGTCAAATTTTGACACACTAGATTTGCTACTTTTTATTCAATTCAATTTCTTTAAATGTTAGACATATTCATCCAGATAATGTAAGTATTATCAGTATTATTTTTTGAGATAAATCGCAGTGATAATTTAAATCCTGTTAAAATGTAGACCAACTTTGACAGACTGTAGTTGTGTTATTTTCTAATCAATTTAAAAAATATTTACATTAAATGTTAGATAATTTTATACACTTTGAGAAAAAATAAAAATCTTTAAGTATATACCTACGCTAAAGAAGTATCGCTAGTAGCGCCACTAAAGTCTCCACTCAACGGTAAAATACCATAATATTATGTTTTATAATACTTACATAATATTATGGTATTTTACCGTTGAGTGGAGACTTTATAATATTATGTTGCCATCAATTCGTAGGTATATTTTGTTGTTTAAAATGCAGTTGTCGGCGTTTTTTAGAGAACTCAAATATAAAAATGGTTAATTTTAAGGTTATGTTTGTGCAAAAATTAATTTCTTGAAAATTTCCAAACTTAAATATTAGTTAAAGTTATCATTAGTTAATTCTGCACCAACAAATGTACTTACCGAATTGAAAATGCAACGATTTAGTTCTTGAATTTTATTTACAATTAAAAACACAATAATTCACCATGATCCCTTAGGTAAAATACACTAACGTAACTATCTAAGGGGCATTCCACGCTAAATCGGATGGTTTTAAAAAAATTTTTTTGATTCCTCCAATTTTTTAAATTTTTTAGTACTCCTTGAAAGAGCTTTCTCAGTAAATTTTAAGATTTATTTGATCACGGGTTTAAAAGACATCAAATTTTCAAAAAAACTGCTTTTTTTGTTTTTTTCGCTCATAACTTTTTAAAAATGGTCCAAATCAAAATGTTCATCCTATATAAAATTTTCGTTTTTAAATGTACCTACTTTTCGAAAAAAAAATATATTGAAAATATTTAAAGCGTTTTATGTAAGTCAAGATTTAGTTTTATTTAAGTGTCTTCTTCGAGTTTTGCGAAATATTTTCAACTTCTATCTATTCAATAACTATTCAGCCTGGTTCGGTAGTGGCCTTCTTTAATTACTATTGTTTTTTTCGATTTTTCAAAATTAAATAAAAACTTGATTCCATACTACAATATTTATTATTAAGTTCAAAATATAAACACAAGAAATTAACTGAATCGAGCTTCCATGGAAGCTCGATTCAGTTAATTCAATTCAATTCAATAGTGAATAATATAACGGTTATGATACGAGTAAACAAACTACGTAAGTTATTAACATGGGCAAGTCTTTTTAAATATAAATACAAAAATTCATGAAGATACTAATAATTAATAAAGAAATTACATTGCTACAGAAAAAGCATTATAAAAATAAAAATTGACATACATTTTTAAAAGAACACGAAAATAAATAAAAAAGTTTGTTATAATTGCTCATAAATAGAATTAACTTAAACTAATTGATTTTAAATCCCTATCAACAATAAAAAATATCAGAATCAATTAAATGTAAGTAAAAAAATAATATACAGAGTCGAAAATCGAAACTTATAATAATTTTTAGAGAATTTTTTTTTTATTTTGAAAAATCGAAAAAAAATATTAATTACGGAAGGCCCACTACCGGACCAGGCTGAATAGTTGTTGAATAGATAGAAGTTGAAAATAAAAATTTTTCGCGAAAATTGAAGAAGACACATTTAAAAACGAAAATTTTATATAGATCTATTCGAATGAACATTTTGATTTGGACCATTTTTTAAGAAGTTATGAGCGAAAAACAAAAAAAAATTTTTTTTGAAAATTTGATATCTTTTGAACCCGTTATCAAAAAATCTCTAGTTAATTTTTTATAAAAATTGCTATATAACTTTTATTTTAATGTATAACCCAAATAACGCTGTAATCTCACAAACAAAACGGATAAAATATATAATAAAAAAATAATCTTGGATTAATATGTTCAGTGCTCCTTTAAAGACGATATTTTTTGCGCGTCGTCTAAGCCTCGCTCGCACAATCGATCCGTTCAATACCAATATATAATGTTGTCTGATTTATGCTGAAGCTTTAACTCCGTATAATTTAATTAATTACCAGCTATCCAACCATCATGTTCAAACTGTAGTTCTGCCTTGTTAAATAATATATGGCCCATCTGAAAATTTAATTGAATAACCATAGGGCTGGATGTGTTGTATGCAGCTTTTTATCTCACCTCAGTATCGGTAATTTGTTGGGTTTGTAATTGATTTATTAAGGTCTTGGAAATTATTGGTTGCTGATATGTATTGGTTTTATGGCTTAAAAAAACGAGGATTTTTTGTAATTGGTAATTTTTATGCTTTTTTCGCGCATTAAGAGTAACCCAAATAGCACCCCTGATAGCAAAATTTGATTCTAAGAAGATATGACCCGGAATAATGGAATATTCTTAGAACCTTCCCTTATTGCTAAGAATGTTCTTAGGGACTTCAATAGATACCCTTTTAATGATGCAATTAGATTCTTAGAAGCTTCTTAAAACCTTCCTAAAAAGCATTCTAAGAACATTTTAAGAATACGTTTTTGGAATGTTCTTAGAAGGTTTCTTATGGAGCTTCTAGGAAGCTTTTGAGAATATTTCCAAATATGTCAGATACCCACGTTCTAATATGTTGTATTCTACATTCGTAATATTCTTCAGGAGGCGACAAATACGCCTCACTGTCATAATATGACAACGAAATGTATTTGTCGCCCCCTTAAAAAATTTTGCGACATATTAATATATATTTATTTAAAAATATTAAATAAACAATTTGACCTTTAAACCATAAGTTGTATGACATTATTTCATAAAAAGTAAAATTGAAAAATTTTGTGGGATAAGTCAGATTAGATTGAAGTTGAAGATAGTTAGGATTATTATACATAAAAATGTTAATTCAGATATAAAAAATCGGTATACAAATTAATAAATATTTATTTTTAACATAAAATAAAATATAAAAAAACAAAATATTTCCTTATAAAATAATTCTTCATAAAAGAAAAAACCAAATAGTTCTTCATAAAAAAAACATTTTTCATTGTATTTAAGTTGGATAGAAGATTTTATGTAAAAGCTGGATAATTTAGATACCTATGTAAAAGTATTTTTGTTATCGAATATTGTTTTAATTTGACAAATAACTATAAAAAACATTTTGGGTTGTGTTTTTTATTGGTATTTAATAGGTATAGCTACCTTTATACGTAGATTATGGTATATTTTACTATTATATAGGTACCTAACTGAACTGAATATGTTTAACAGAATGTTCCAGGAATATTTCTAAATATAGCAATTACTTTCTCAACATTCTAAGCGTATGTTTAGAGTGGATTAATTTTTCCACTAAACTTTGCACCTTCTAAGAACCTGCCTATAGGCCAATGAGAATATTCTTAGGATTATGCTATATTTCTTTTAAGCATGTTCTTTAGAAGAAATATAGCATGATCCTAAGAATATTCTCACTGGAAGGTTTAAAAAACATTCTTAGAACATGACTAGAAGAAATATAGCATGATCCTAAGAATATTCTCACTGGAAGGTTTAAAAAACATTCTAATTAGAATAAACTGTGCTACCAGGGTAAGACGTCGTTTACGACGTAAGTCATCTTTAAGACGTCTTTTAGAAATCTAATGTTACAAAACACATTATTAAGTCGTTGCTAAACGTCGTTAAGACGTCTTTAAGATGTTAAATACTACCTATTTAAAACGTCTTGGCTATGCAGATAAGATAAGATATCTTTAAGACGTCTATCAAAAGACGTCTTCCAGACGTCTTTTTTAGATCTTCAGACGTTCAGGCATAATACAGACATACAAAAGACATTTTTAAGACTTTGTGTGCTTCAAGACTTTAAAGTCTTTTAACATGTGTGTTTTATGATTCCACCATTCAAATTTCTAAGCCAATGGTGGAAAAGGAGTTTGGCCTGTTCATAGTCAACATGAAGTATTTCCCATTAGCCTTATTAGTTATTATTAGAAAGAAAAACTGCCATATGTTTAGTAAAGTAATAATGCACCCCAAAATCGACTATGGCCTTAAAACACGCAACTTTTTATCAAGTCAAAATGGCTTTTCCGTGTTGCGTCGGGTGCATTTATTCCGCATCATTACGCAAATACTATTTCCTTTTTTATCCAGCGGTATATGAAATTGAAATGTTCCCCCCTATAGGAGAAGCATCCGCACCCAACTTGAAAACGTTTTTATTCGTGTAAATGCGTACTTAATCGGGTTTCGGGGGATCCCACATTTTTGTTTTACGTTTTCGACGGTATGTAAAGGGTTAACCACATAGTTATTGGACACTTAAGGAATATTATTTATTTAAAATGTAG